ACCAGGCTTGCTGAGCGTGCGACTGGCCAATAGGACCAGTAGTTGTGGCCTCTTGTTGATCACAATCACGATCACCGCTTAGGGTTGGCATAGCTGCTGAAGCTAGTATCCCCCCATCAAGGTGGCACAGATCTGTGCATGCGGTGATACAATACTAACTGCGTTTCTTCGTGGACAGCGCCACTGCAATTAGGGAGCGGCAGCAGCAAGAGCCGCTAAGGCAGCTGAGCATAGCATGTATTCGCTTTGTTCCTCCTTGTTTATCTCATCCACAACACAATTTGAAAACATAGCCTCAACTAGTACCATGACACTGAGTCAACCAAGACAGAGAACCCCCGGAAAATGCCAATGGAGCAACATGACAGTCCGCTGTGGAGCCTCACTTGTCAAAGCGTGGCCACGTAAACAGTTGGTGATAGCAGGCCGCTACATCTCTACTACGAAATATTTGGAACAGGCACAAAGAAGGCTGTGTTCATTCATGGCTTGAGCGCCGACCGGCAGATGTGGGAGAACCTGATCGAAGAATTCCTAGACATAGGCGACTACCAGTGGCCTTGTCTATGACCAGCGCAGCAATGGATTTTCCGATAAAGGCGATATAATCTTCAACATCACAACGAAGCTGTTTGCAGCCGACCTGATGTCGCTCTGACAGCAGTCGGATGGGACAGAGGTGTCAATGTTGTGGGTGCTAGCATGGGTGGGATGGTTGCTCTGGAATTTGCCTGCAGCTATCCTCAGATGGTTAATACACTGACCTTGGCAGTAACAAATGCCGGCTTAACTGTGCCACCACTGCGCGGAATGTTTGATATGCTCAGGTGCACCTTTGCCAGTAGCCTTATTTCTCGTCACAAGCTCACATGTGGAATGATCTTCCCTGATCCTTTTTTGAGGTCGCCATCACCTGAAGGCAGCAACTGCAAAACCATGCTGGATTTTTGTGTCCAACGGTATATTCGTTGGGAAATGTATACGCACCCAATATCGTTCCTGCCGTTTTTGAGCCAGGTTGGCGCTGTTATCCGCCATCATGTTTCATCAACACGACTTGAGACTTTGGGCAAGACGCTCCCCAACAAGCAGATTCTCATTATCACAGGTGATCAGGACCACCTTGTGCGTATAAGTAACTCATTCTACATTGCCAAGAAGGTCGGCCACAAAAACGTACGTTTCGAGCAGATAGAGCACGCTGGTCATGGCGTTATGACCCAATATCCAGAGCGGGTTTCCCAGTGTATTAACACCATGATTGGTGAGGTTACAAAGAACCGATTACCCACCGTGGGCGATCATTAATAACGTCAAAGAGAAGGCTGATTAGTTCAACCAGCTTGATAAGTGGATGTTTTGCTTTGAGGCTATTGCCTAATCTGGATCAGCCAACTCATCTACTGCTATCTAGTTCTCTCGCATAAAACACAATCGATCCCGACTATGTTTATTACTCTACATAAACTTGGTAAATGAAAACTAGATGGAAGGCGCACAGAACTCTGTTAAGCGGTATTAGAAGTGGTACGTATTGGTTTTTGAGTCAAATATAGCCCTTACATTAGAGTCCAGGAACACTGCTGTCTCTTGATCTGGCGTGAATGGTGCTGCATCCTTTGTCTGTAAATATGTGTGGTTTCCAAGAAGTGCTCCCTGCCAGTAGCGGGTCGATCTCTTCATGCGCTCATCGACTTTGGCCCTGTATTCATCCAGCTCATCGTTTGATAGTGCTGCGAATAGGTAGTCTGGATGAACGATAAGTCCTGCTCCATTTGACTGGCTGAAACCAAACGATGTGAAAAGTGCGGCCTTGACAGCTGGCACATGGATAGTCTTGCTTGGATAGACAAGATACTCAAACTGCTCAAAATCTTTATCGATATTGTCAGCATTCCTATTTCCTGGAATCAGCCCCGTCGTCATCGACTGCAAAATCCCATGCATAGAGCAAGTCGCTGATGCGCCTTTCATATGGCCAAGAATCCATTTCTGGCACACTACAGGAATAGGAAGACCAGGCGTTCGTCCAAGCTGCTTCAAAAGTGTGCTGACAATGTTAGATTCATTCTTATCATTCAGCTCCGTGGATGTCCCATGGAATGACGATAGCCCAATATCATCTGCATCAAGACCCCATGTTGCAAGTGCCGCATGCAGAGGCGATATTGATTTGCCCATTTTGTAAAAGTCGTTGCCCCATGCTGATTTCATCCTGTTTTTCATCTTTTCAACCATATGACAGCCAGCCAAAGTATCAAGTGCTGCTAATTGCTGGTCGCGCATCTGCCTCCGGAAATTAATGTCAAGCAACTGATGGTCCGAAGGAGTAAGGCTTCCCCTCCCTATCGACAGTATTCCTTGGCCTGGAGCTGGTATTATTGCGCGTTGACTTGTCTGTAGCAGTTGCAGACATGGCTAAAATGCCATATATGGGTGCCCCGATTTTAAGTGCAGCAGATGCCGACATTAGAATGGAAATACCTGAGCCATAGCCCTCGGTGAATCCACATCTGGTAGATGTGCATGGTCTCGATATTTCCTGTGGGGCTCTCCCCTTTCTTAGCTCATCACTGGCACTTGCTGTGGCGCTCATCACATTGAACTCATATGCAGTATCATTTGCAAACCCTTCTCCAGCACCAGCGATCATGACATCCGCTTTACCCAGAATGATCGATTCAGCAGCAAGATCTAGTGCAATTGCCGAAGTGGCACATGCGCCTACTGTCGGCTTTAATGGACCAGATGCTGAGAATAGAAGCCTATTGAGCCATGCGCTGATATTGTTGATAGTGCTTTCGATAAACACATCGGAGCTTACACCTTTATCCAGATATCTGTTGCGTATCATATTGACATTGCTCTGTGTACCTCCATAGCAAGAGCCAACAGCATGCCCAACTTTCGAAACATGGAAATATTGATAGAGCTCATAAGGATCAGTTATCCCTGATCTAAGGAGGGCCTCCATCGCAGCAATAAGCGTGTAATGGTTTACTATATCCATATTCTGTGCAAGGTCTTTGGGTATTCCAAGTCGAGCTGGATCCCACCCAGTCGGTAATTGTGAAGCAACTGCAGGGCCATATTCAATTGCCTTTAGCACATGGACAACAGCACCTTTAAGGAATCTGACAGACCACGTTCCATCAGGGTTTTCCCATGTGTCAACTTTCTCACCATTAGCCCGCCTGAAATGGGCTGCTTCCTCGGCGCTGGTCTCAAACGGAGGCATGTCCTGATCGATCTGAAGCTCACGCATGAATGACTTCATATCAACCGCATCCTCACCCCAAACTTGTGGCTCAACAACACGAATTCCAGTGTGCTCCAAGATATACGGCTCGTATTTAGCCTTGACATCCCTGTCATGCACTGGCTCCTGTGTTTTTGCATCAACCCACCCAATGTAGTAGCCCCTTGTTCCTGGATGATCGCCACTGAATCTCTTGATCAGTCCCATCATCCATGCCAACTCAATGCAGCCTTCCATCGAGAACATACCATGCGCCTCTTGCTCCCAGCGTAAGGCTGCATTTCCAAATGCCCCAACTTCTCCATAACCTGTCACAACAACAATCTTATCCAAGTCAACCATGCCTTCCAGATATCTTAGGTGATCGAGCTGCTCGTATGATTTTATGGATGGGGAGTCAATCCGGTGCTGGGCCCGAGGCATCGTTTTGTTTGCATGCGCCATATATATAGGGCTATCTTTTTGTTCGATTGAAATGGCAGTACATGCATCGTAGTGCATACGTCGCATTATACTGGCATTTGCCATTCGTGTTAAGCGCCGATCCAGTAATGTATTCCTAAAGCTGTCAATAGACATCATCCCTCCATTAAAGTTCCCAATTAAAGGATAGTCATGAGCGATATCCTCCATTTGCTGGGACAGGAGGCAAAGTATGTTGAACGACATCTCCTCATGAGAGAATGTACGGATACCCATCTCCTCTATGCATGCAAATATGTTCGCTTCATCAGATGACATGTATGTGCTACGGATGCATCCGATCTCGCCGCCAGTGATTGAAATGTACTCTGACCATGACTCTGTGTGCCAGCGGTTGTACAGTGTATGCAAAGCTGCTTTCGTTTCACCATACATACCGTCATTTCCTGCTATTCCATGATTGGATGAATGTGGCAAAACAAGTAGCGATGGGTGCAGTGTGTTCCCAGACTTTACCTTAGCCGCCTTAATCTGGTCCAATCATCCGTAAAAGATTGGTCAGGAGGGTGCGAATTGTCAGCTCAGAGTAAGAGTCGATATTCTCTGCATCCTTGCCACATTCTGGGAACACGGCGAATGGGGCAATATAGTCCAGATCCCAACCAAGGCCATCACTATCATAAATATACTGGATGAGGGCCTCTACATCACATGAAGACGCCTGGTTGAATGGGACAAGGACTAGCTGGGATCCACGAGAACCAAACTTTCGGTACATCTCTTCGAAGAATCGGACTGACTCAAGGGAAGAATTGGACATTGTGGTAATAACCTTCGCACCGCCGGAAAGCAAACCCTCGACCAAACCCGACCCAATGGATCCCATTCCACATCCAGTAACTAATGCACACTTGCCCCCAAATGAAATACCATTTATCGCTGCCTCCTCCATGGACTTGAAGTATTCTTCAGAATTAGCCTTGCTGTATGGCCAGGTGTTTCCAGTCTGCCGCTCATACATATGCAGTAGAGGCAATCCGTCATTGCTAGTCCGCTTCATATTTTGGACATAGTCATATATTGAATGCTCATCCTCTCTGGGAATCTCAGAGCCAACAATATCACCCCTTGATGTAACTTCAGCATATGGTCGCATTGGAGTAGAGAGCCCTTTATAGACTGGGGCAGAGTTTTCTGACTCCTTACATTCTGCATAGATGGTCTCAGCTTGCTCTAGTGCGCGATGTGCGAGCAGGCTATCAGCGGTCTGGAGAGTCGAAATGAGTGCTTGCAACATCAAAAGCAGTCCAGGATTGGAGCGGTTCTTGAGCATATGAATACGTTTCATGTATGTACCCCGATCCATACTTGGCTCCTCTCCGCTCAGGATGCCAGAAATCCATTCAAACGCATCCTGGCGGGCCCAGTTCCAGTATGAGTCATAGTGACGGACTTTGTTTGCATCAAACATCATCTTGGTCCTTTCGATAAATGTGCAGCCAACCTCTTGTTTAATTTCATCGAGGTCTGACTCGAGAGTTGCTAACTTTACCTGGTACTTTTCAGCTGACCTAGCACCCTGACGTATATCAAGTCCTGCATGTCTGGCGAGCGTCTCTACTTGCTCAAGGATGAGATTCTTTTGATTCCTCTGAGCCCTGTCGAATTCAGCACTATTGATAACAATTGACCCGGCGCTCATACCATTATTGTCACTATTTTTTGCTGTAGCTGTCAATGGCAGCCCCACATGTCTAGCATATACCTGGACTGCCGAATCCAGCCAGATTTTAGCTGCATCCTCATCTGCAAGCCGACTTGAGGGTTCCATAGTAGCTGATAAGGATAGAACGGCCTCCTGTCTACGAGGACCCAACCCGTATTTATCCATCAAATAAGAACGAGCAGCTGACAGCGTGAATCTGCTCGGGAATTTGCTGGTTAGCAAATTAATGACAAGCAGCTGCGAATACTTGCCAAGGGAATCCATAGTGCTTCCGAGTTTTATTGCGAGCTCCTCCAAGGACAACTCCTCTGCGTAGTCAGGCATTCGCTTGCTGAATTCCTTTTGAAGTGCGCCAACAAGTTCATTTTGAATTATTGACTTTCCTGCAACTAACCCTTTGATTGACATTCCAGGGTTGATTTCGAACACGGATTTAGCGAGTTTGTGAGAGACTATTGTTCTTAGAATGTCAATAGTTGGAATCGGCACATCATTATCAGTTGATATTGTGGTTGGAGTAATGGGCAGTGGAGATGGCTGTTCCTCCAGAGCAGGAATTTCGGGACTGGATAGTTTTTCTGGAATGTTTGGTATACCATTTGTGGTCTGGGCTGACGTTAGCAACAATGCGTCAGTAGGTACAGCAGGCTTTCCCTTCCAGACCTGCCACTGTAATACACATCATCCTTATCTCTTCTTGCATGTAGAATAGCAACTTCCCCATATAGCCAGTTTTCGGTTTCCAAAGTCTGAGATGCCATACGACACAGTATTGGGCTTGGGCCAATCTCAACCAGCCGCTTCACAGAACAAATTCTGAATATTGTGTCTTGGGTATCAATCCACTTTACTGTCGAAGCAAACTGGAATGATAAGAGCTCAATCAGGAGCGTGCGTGCTAGTGATATTCTGGTACTTGTGGAATTATGGCTGACTGCACTCCAACAATTGATGACATCCTCAATTACTGGTGAGCGGGTGATGGCATGGATATGCCTGAAATAGTTTTCTGTAATCTCAAATGGTTGGCCAGACAAGTTAGGAATATATCTTCCACAGAGCGACGTATGTAGCCTACGGACGTGTGGAATCCTTTGGTCAAGCAAGCTACGGAATGTGTCAACACTTGTCAGCAATTGGCTAGAGTGTGAGGGAACATCAACGCCAGGGATACGGGTAGTTATTCTACCATCTTCCTGTAGCTGCATATCTGGAGTTGCAGAGAGAATACCGTCTATTATATCCTGAAGGATGTTTCCCTCTTCCAGCTCTGCTGATGACAAACTCCTTTTGGATATCTCATGCGCAATAAGGCACATGTCATTTAAACTCTCAACATGCCCTGTGACAACGTATTGCTGCCCTCGGACATTGTAGTTGATAACTTCTAGGAGCTGCTGCTTTCCGCTCACGAATACAGTCAACAATTCGGAGCAGGTGCAGCTCGCTGAAGCCAGGCTAGAACACGCTGAGGATTGATAGATGCCATCGCATACTGGGAGCGCCATTGGTATCACGATCTACTGAAGCATGGAGCAAAAGCCCACGATAGAGAGCAATATCGACCGCATCCTCGACAGAAACAATATCAGCAATTGCTGCGAGTGACCCAAACTCACCAAGCGAATGGCCAGCGAAAATAGCATCGTCCTGGATAAGACCATGAGCACGCATGTCTGCAGCCTGAGCTAGCGACATCACCGTCTGGATCGGCTGTGTGAACAGTGTCGCATTGAGCAGGCCATTTGAACACCGGTGCGTGTATGATTTCGATGACCGAGTGATCCCGGGAATCAGCTGCTCTATCTTGCCGTCATATTCACGCACCAAAGAGAGGTAGTGTGTACGAATTGGTGTGCCTTTCTTGCCACCAAACTTAACCAAGTACTCTCTCGGATTTTCTTGGACTATTTTCAGTAGTGAGACACCATAGTTCTTCAACATGTGCCTATCAGCTCGATCCCACACATCTCTGGCGGCTGTGGATGACATGTAGAGGTCCATCCCCATGCCAACAAACTGCGACCCCTGGCCAGTAAAGACATATGCAGTCTTTGCCTGGGCAACCTCAGCTGTGAGCGTCAGCACTGTTTCCCCATTCTGGTTTACAGTCTTGCCATCGATAACCATGTATCCGTTGTTCATCCCCGCGTGAACCAGCTCTACCCGAAGTTTGTCGTCTGGATAGACCTTTCCAACAAACTGGACGCTGTATGAGCGCATGCGCCGAGGGTCGCTATCTGCAACAACACGACTCAACAACAGCGCGAGATGCGGCTGATGTCCACATTCTGTGACAAGTCATTTCCGATTCCCCAGTATATGCTGCAACATACGGGTTTGTGTGCACCATACTCTGATCGCCAGAGGCATGCGCAAACTCCCAATTTACTGACGGTGCTTTAAAGGACAAACCACCTGAATTTCCTTTGTGCGATACCAGTGTACTGTCATACTCAAAGTGCGCTGTGCTCGCATCGCTCAGCTGGTTTTCATTCAAAAACTGGATGACATAGTTGTCATAAGCATCATTATTCTCGTAATACACGTCAGCAATATGCTCATATTCTCTGGATGGATAGCAAGCGATACACAGGTCCGGCTGTTTTGATTTTGGAATAGATCCCATTGGATTTGAACTGGTAGTGCGAATGGAGCCTGAACTCCAGAACATCTCCACGCATAATGCTGAGAGGCTCGGAGCTATCTTTGAATATAAACCACTCTTTAGCACCAAGCGCTGTAGCATCCTCATCTGATTCGATTTGCATGCGTCGCACAGGTTCATCCATTGATCGGAACATTTGGTTGTATGCTGCATATTGCCGCGTATGACAAAGACATCTTCAGCTATAGCAATGAGGTTTCCATTGCGGTAAAATCTCGAAGTGAGGGTTGTTTTCTGGCCACTCTCAATGTTTTCAAGTGCAGTGAGTGATACCTGATAGTCTATGGTTTCTCCAACATGAAGTAGCGAAGCATCTGCTACATACTTTGTACTATGGCTCAAGTGGATGATCCCAAGGAGACCTCTGTGCAGAGGGGAGTGGTCAAGATAGATGTCAATTGGCTAATTCCGATGCTGAAAAATATGTCCATTGGGGCCAGCTGTAGCTCGTCGGCTGCCATTTTGTAATACTTTGATGTGATGTGAGTACTAGAACAGTACTTCTGAACAAGCTCCTGGCTGATGGTGAATGACTTGAGCGCATCGGCCGAGAAGTGCTGTTCTATACCAACAGAGTTTATATCGCCAGAGCCAACTGCATGGCCGTGTGCACGCAAATAAGCATTGCGGTATGATAAATCCCGACCTTCAATATCTTCAGCAACAAGTAGTCCAGGTTTGGATGGCGTGTAGATGTACGGGAACCGAATCTCAAACTGCTCTTCGCCAACCCGATGGTAAATAATCATCAGAATATTCTTCTCGCCATCAAATTGTATGCGAATGTCCAATAGCCCAGCTGGTCCATGGATATCAAGCTTGACCGGCCTATCGCCATCAGATGACACTTCTGCTGTCTGCCCAGCCATTGGTCGCAGAACCTGCCTTATTGGATTTGCAGCACACAGTGATTTGCGAACCACCACTGGCGATGTGAGAAGTGCACGAAGCCAGCTCTGAGTAGGACCAGCCAGTGCCTCCAGCCATACATCAGGATTTGGAAGCAGTGCTGCATCAGTCGGGAGCCTGTATGTGCGGCTTGATCTTTCAACAGCCACTGCAACTGGCGAAGGAAGTGATACTGGAGAGGGCTCTGGTGCAAGATACTCGACAGTACAGATTGGGGATGCATCCTTATTGGATTCACGCTATGCTAAGATTCTCCATTAGCCCGGTGTAAACACGGTCGAGTATATCTTTGACTGGCTCGTTGACTGTTGTGGCATATTTTGCAGATACAGAATCCAAGGCAATAATTGTGCGCTGGACATCTCTATCAACGACTGAATCTAAATCTTCATGGTGCGAATATATGTCTTTCATCATCCAGACATGCAAGTCAGCGTCAAGGATAGGAACGAAGGGGACTGGCTTGGTCCCAGAGCGCTTGCAAAGCCAGACCAGATACTGAACATCCTCAAGCGCAATAAGGATGCGGCTTATCTCTGGATACGTCTCATCCAACAAATGAACGACTTCAATTGGATCCAAAAGTTGCGAGGTCCATTGAAATGCCCGGGCGAGATCTGATCCAGATACTCGGTCCTCCATCCTCAAAATGAATTCCCCAAACAACCTTCCATACGACACATCCAACCACCTGGACTTGTCTGCATTGTACATGAGCTCTACGAGTCGGTTGAGTACTTCCAGGTACGTCATCTCCTCCAGATCGACCACTCGACCGTCAGACTTCTTGCCAAACCATGGCCGCGTAAAGTCTTCGTTGAGCCGCTTTATGATATGGTCCTTGTTTGCTATGATCATCGGCATCTGGCTAGCTAACGGTTTTGAGAATATCATGTCGTTCAGCTCTCTGAGAGCCAGTGCAGCTCGAGTGGCCAGAAGATGGACATGTTCTCCAAAATCCGACATAATTGTTATCACTCCACCAGACATTGCTAGTACATAATGCCCTCCGCTCACTGTATTCAGTGCTAGTGGCTGCTGTAATGAACTCCTTTGCTTCCAAGGACGCCCACTCTCTTTTGCGGCCAAAACACATGACTCAAGCAATACTCCGTCAACAGGCATGGGTGCATGATCCAAACTGGACACTCCACTGGCCGGAGAGATATGGCAGAATGCCATCGCTATCGCCGAACCCTGACCCAACAACCAGGATGGTATTCGGCAGTAGACCGGATCTTGCTGTAGGTTTCCAAAATTGGCTCGTGGAAGTCTTCACATGAATGGTGACCACCACCACGACCGCCAGTCCACTGGAATAATGACAGGGAAGTCTGGGTTTGCTCTGGCGAATCACAAGTGTCTGGAGAATTGTAGCAACTGACCTGGGCTTGAACGCAACATGGCGTATTCCCGCGTCACGCAACTCTGCGATTATACTGTTGGCAACGTCGACTGAGGGAACACTGGCGCCAATACAGAGCCCTGTGATTGGTACTCCTTCCCGCCGCATACGCAGGATACTGGGATACTGGAATGCCCACTGCTTCTTGTTCATGTAGACTGTGTTGACGGCGAATCCACTACCTGGTTCAACGAGATTGGCCAAATTTTCAACCCTTTCTCTGAACCCCACTTCAGTGTAGATTCCACTACCAGCAAGCTCGACATGGTACCCAGCATTGCTGATAGCTGCGACAAAGTGCTCGTTGGACATAGTCGGGGTCATTCCTGCAACCATCACTGGTGGAAGTCCAAGAGTGAGTGACATGCGGGTGCGAATATGAAGCTGACCCTCATGCGCAGTTTGAACAAGGCGTGGACCGAACGCACTCTGCCAGTTTGGCGCTGAGAAGACATCGGAAATATTCTGCTTGAACAAATCAGCCTTGGATCCCATGCGTGACTGGGTGTCAGAAATAAGTGCACTGGTGCTGATAACAGCTTTTTCCGTAACCATCCAAAATGTCCCTGGCGCATTTCCCAAAAATGCTGAATTTCCTGGACTGAAATCGATGGTGTATGCTGCATCAGCGTTGTTGACTGTTGCTGGCCAGTTAACACAGTGCACAAACCATGCTGTCTACCAAAAATCTGGTGATGTTGACTTCATCGCGAAGATCGTGTCCATCATCCCCACCATTAACTTGGATGCGAAGAGCGTCAGCGTTGAGGACCCACCCTTTGGCAGTCACAAATTCATACACTTTAGACGCGTTCTCTAGTTGAAGATCGCAGTGATACGGCTCAGATATGCTGAGCGGGGTAACAACAGCAACTGGTTTGCGTAGGGAAAATCGGACGCGCGACTGGTCCACTGTTGGCAAGACGGTGTGCTTGGTGATGTAGCGCCCAAAGAGGGAAATAGCGTTTGGGTATCCTGAAACAATAAAAAATGACCGACCATTGACTAGGGCAAGGCTGACTTTCGACATTTCGTCTGTACGATCCGCATTAAACACAGTAATGAATGACTCCAGCGTTTCCTTATCCAGGCCACGAACGGAGATCATAGGCGTGGACAGTTCACCTGAGCATAATGGCAGTTCGATAATTCCAGTGTGCGATGCGTTTGATGAAAAATCAACGTATAGAATCGCCGGCATCGTAAGGAGGATACCAAGTGTCTTCTCAGCAGCAGCATAGAATGACACCTCGTCAGTCACGGAAGCAAAGGCAGCAGCCATGGGTAGACCCTGGCTGTGTCCGATTACAACTACAGATGTAGAAATGAACAGCTAGTAATGATGAAGTTCAATAAATGGCATCCGCTAGCGTCAATGATGAACGCTTGTGCTTACCACTAAAGCGTGAGACAAGGTCGCCAGGGCTCATATTGAGCGTCTTGTACAAGACAGCCACATGCATAGCCTGAATTAGTCCTAGCACTGGTATTGCAACTGGTGCCATTACCAGATATTTGGCATCCGGCATTGTATCGGGAGAAGCAAGCCAGCCAGCAATGTCCAATGGACGTGAATGGGCTTTCGCCAACAGAGGGTTGGCGGATTCGCGCTTGAGGAACTCAGACATGTAGGTAACAAAGTCCGACAGCAGTGGGCCGTAAATGTCAAGGAGCCACGCTGCTTCATCAAGACAGTTGTCTGCTCCGCTCTGCCCGCCAAACATGGCGGCAAGTCTGAAGTTTGCATCCGAAAAGATAGCGGGAATAGGGACATTCGGCACCAATTGACGCGCCTCAAGGGTGTCCCAGACCGAGTAATACCCTTTCAGGACAGTGCGCACTTGCTCAGCAGATAGGTTCAGCTGCTGGACAACAACATGGATGTTCTTGTCAGCACAGAATCTTTGATGGAGGTGAAGGAACACGGCAATGGACACATCGGGATTGCGATGGTTACAGTACGCCAAGAAGAGTGCGATGAGTTCAATTTCTGTAGAGACAGTAGGAGGGCTGTCATCTAGGAAACATGTAGCGAGCTCCTTGGCAACACGGAAATTGTCGCCAGGAATGGGAATATTGGTTGATACTCCACCAGATGCGAGCGCAACCATGCAGGTAAAGAGATCCATTCTGCGGGAGGTATTTGAAGCGAGCTCAGTAAGAGTTAATTCTTGAGTGGTTGAGGTGTGCAGTGCTTGCAAGATATGTGAGATAATGGGCCAACATCATCTGTCAAATGAGTACATATATAAATGGCCGGTGTTATTCGCAGTTGCGGATTATAGGTTTGCATGGTATCCGCCTGACAAAGTGCTCCATTTGGAATTCTGAGTATGCGACATTTCCCGCATCGGTTGATGTTAGCAACCTGCATGCTATTGTGCCAGAAGTTCCTTGCAGAGGCGTTGCACCCAATATAATGATGCTAGATATTCTTTCAGACACTGCATAATGCGATGAGGCGTGCTAGGCATTATTGAGTAATGCAAATGTACAGTCATAAATAAGGCCATTCTTATTCATCAATGCTAGTGGCAGAAAAGGTTTATTGTCATTTGGTCCTTTGTAGCATTTCACTTTTTATGTGGTGTCCTATCCATTCCTGAGGGCCCCTCTACTGAGGTTCCGTCAGGAAATTTGTTGATTCGAATATGGATTATATATCAACTGGGTATATATTGGATGTATGGAATAACAGTACTAGAGGTAGAACCCGTGCAACCTGAAAACAGTGGTTGGATTGGTGCAAGAGTAGTGCGCCTTAAACACCACACGATGTTGAATTAATTGCCACGGAAGGTGTCCCAGTAAATTCTTTAAATAAAACTGGCAAGAGGCATGTCTCAGTAGCATTGCCTAGTGCATGAGTGGCACACTTAGAATATATCAATGTTGGCTACACAACTGGTTACTCAGTTATACGCATAATATATAGATGCAATGATGAATGTCCCAGTCCAGGAACATGTACACATTTTCGTATTCAGCCAATTCCATATTAAAAATTCTTCTGAATCAACACTAGTCTCCTATAAACATACTAGAAATACTCTGCTCGCGATGCAAGCTCGGCTGCTAGTCAGCATGGGTTGACACGTCGATAAGGGCATCACGGCGAACCGGTCATTTGAACGTGTCGGATGGTTGTTGGTGCAATGTCGATCATGGACATCTCCTGTCTTGATGGCCTGCTCTGCGTAGGCGCTTCAGCGCTGGCTCGCTGCTGATGGCAACAGAACCGCCTGCTGCTGCACGCCTCTTGCGCGACCTCTTTGTTGCAGGGGTGGTGCCAGAAGCATCAGCAGCAATGGCCGTAAAGCGATGGAACCGTTCAGGAATACTGCCTGAACCACAGAGTGACTGGAAAATGAGTCTGAAGTTTAGAACTGCTGCGAGATCGCGGTTCAAGAGCCGAGACGAATAGGCTCGCCTGTATTGTGCCATGGCCCGCTTACATGACTCGCTTGTACAGCGGAGAAGGCCATGGCACTTCACAGTTGGGTTCTTCGATCTCTGGTAGGGCCGCGGGTTGGGAACATGCCGGAATGTCTGCAGCGACTTTTCGCAGCAGAACGGGCACATCGACGATGTCCGGAATTCGTCGATCAGATAGACTTCAAAGCCATGGTGCTTGAACCTGTCGCGCCACCCCTTGCCACGAATCGGCGCATGGTGTCGGGCCATTGGCGCACTCCAATTGCCCATGATTAGCACTGGATCTGGACCGAACTTGCTCCGGAGTTTTGCGGCAAGCCTGTGGTCTGCACGGGCCTGGTTCATGAATGAATCAAGGCGCAGCTTGCGGTGAAGCGGGTACACCTTGGGACTGGTACTGACACCTGGATGGGCCTTCCAGCGCCTTTGGTGCTGCTTGTTTGACTTAGTGTGATGCTGCTCTGGTAACCTTCGCGCTGTCATCGTGCTGGCATAAAACGGTGCTAGGATACACCGCACAGATGCACGGGCAGCAACATAGGCACGGAATTTTGCTGGGCTAAGGGTCCGGCAGCAGTGCTTGGAAAGCTCTGCCTCTGCTCTGCGGACAGCATCTTCTGGGACTTGATCCTTTGTAGCTTGATGAATCCTGTCGTAGTGGCGCAGCTTGAGCTCCTTATTGCGCTGCTGTCGTGTGTAGCGGTAGAGCATTTTTTCACCCTCTTTTCCATTGCTGCTATTTTCGTGCATCATGTATAGCAAATCGCCCCGACCTGGATCGATGAATACACAGCGGCCTTTCAGATTCTGCAGCTCTGGCTGTGGGATCTGGTGGATATAGCGACAGTCAGCTATAGTACTGCCTCCCACAGCATCACCTCCTGCAACATCGCCTGTAGCATCGCCTCCCACAGAATTGCCTCCCGCAGCATCGCCTCCCGCAGCATCGCCTCCCGCAGCATCAGCATCTACTGCACCATCAGCCTTGGATATCTTGTCTTGTAACAGAATGCATATCGTTACACCATCTGTTGTCGCCATTCCGTGGAATTTTCTATCACCATGCGCCTTAAATGGCTTTGATGTTAGATCTGCGACCCGGCCCCACACATCCCACACAGGTTGTGTGATCCCTTGGACCGGGTCGTGTGCACAGACTGGGGGTGCTGATGCATATGCATTGTTAAGTGCTGCAACAGTGTCTGCTGCTGCTGCCGATGCAGCAGCAAGTGAATCAGCCGCTACTGCTGCAGTTGCTGCAGTGGCCTCTGTTGCATCCGATGGCATCTTCGCTGCTTCGTGTGCAGCCTTCTTGGCCAATTTTTTGCCCTTTTCTGCTGCTTTCCTTGCCTCTGTTGCTGCCCTCTTTGCTGCGTTGATCTTGGTAACCTCCTCACGTGTTTTCGAAACAAACACCTGCTTGATTATTTGCTTGTCCAAACGCACATGGCCTGGGATCCATGATGTCCGCAGAGGCAAGCATTGAGGGGGAGACTTGCCAAGCTGCTCATTCTCGATAAGCTGGCATAGGCGAATGTATGCACGCAGATGCTTAAGTGGATTTACCCTGGCATCATAGTATCGGCTGTCTTTGGCGAATCTGTACTTGGCACCATAGGCATTAAGGACTGGTGCCAGCTTGTTGTAGATTGCAAGCATCGGTGGGGTGAGCACACTGAGATCAGGGTGTCTAGAGGCAACTGCCTGGCGGAGCTTCTGTGCGGGTGTATAGATACACACTTGACATGCATTATTGAACTCAGCCTTGGACACATTGCCCATTGTACTGTGCAGTGTGTTTTTGCGGCTGCGAATATCAATCAATTTGGCCAGAATCCGCTGTAGGCAAGTGCCATAGTGCAACACAATGTTGTTCTTGTATGCTGTCATCAGCTCGGTATCCACGTATGTCGCTACCTGATTCATTTCACGTACGCCATGTAGCTCGATATCGCCATTATGTAATAGATAATCATAAATATGATATCTAACTACATCACCGAAATCTGCGCTCGACAGTTCTGACCTGTCCTTCCGGTTAACGAAATCCTCGGCAGATATGACAGTCTTCGCCTTCAGGTTGCGATAAATGAATAAATAAATAAAACGAAAAAAACCCTTTTTCACAAATGTTGCTGGGTCAAAGGCATCATCGTAAGCTAGCTGATGGAGTAGTATCCATCGTGCAAGCATGTATGTATGCTCTTTGATGATATTGACGCTGTGTACAAATTGCTCTAGGCGGGGCAACATAGAATCACGGAAGCCAATACCACCAAGTGATGTCTTTATGACAGTAGTGCTGCGGGTAATATTCATTTGAGAAATTCAATAGGCAAGTAAGAAGAGAAATGATGCTGTTCAGTTTTGCTGTATTGCAGATGCATAGCATTAAGAACTTTTTATTAATAATGATCTGGCTTGCATGGTTCTTGGGGCTCTTAGCACTGATACAGTCTCTTGAATCAGTCTATACAGACTGGGTCCATTGTGACCCAAATACTACTGGTTACGCATGTTCATAAGACAAATTAATTTATAAAATAAACCCACAAATATTGCATGACCGCTAGAAGAGCTATATGGCCTCATTCAATAGGTGCTCATAAATAAATATCCTAAGAGTGTTGCGCAGCCGGTGATGACCACCATGATGACGCCATAGAAGTTATCAGGCTGACCGACAATGAGAGCAGCTCTTGTGCTGAACCAATGGAGATATCCAGTGGAGACCTATGACCACTACAATAACAACTTGTCACCCTGGTTTCACCGATGAGGTCAGATGCCGCACAAGATCAAAAGGAGTTTACAGAGCAAGTCACTCAAACCCGTGTTGAAGCTTAAGAGTTTTTTTTAACCAATTAAATAATTTCTAGCGGACGGTCGGACACTTTTTCGACTATACAATCTTATATATAGGTAAAGATAAGGGTGGCAAATATGCGTTTTGCCTTGTGTCGACAGCCATATTAAGTTAACGTGACTTGTAGTGATCACGAAATTTAATAATTAGCCTGAGGTTGCAACTATCATTTATGCGCTTTTCCTATGACATTCCAGGTCCGAAACATTACCACGCTGTATTTGCAGATCACCACTGCTTAAAAAGCACTTGGAATAAAGGTTGGACTTATCACATGTCCAGATAGAGGATATATGGAACCAGAATCCTCCCTTGTAGCACCACTCATGCTGGTCTACAAATAAATACGAGAATAAACGGCGTGTATAAATTATCTCAGTTTAGATGCCTGGAGATATACTAGGCAGGGTATTCTCAAAGTAGCAAAGCCATGTATGTACTGATACGCATACGATATGGTATACCATTGGTATTGACTAACAACGTTCACCAAAGAGGGTAATGAAAGATAGCGCTAGTATATCGTAATCAGACCTGCTTGTACAGTTGATCGCGTACCTTCTCGCTTGCAAACTCAGCCTTGGTCTCGGCCAGGCTACCTTCTGGTGAAAATCCCTCTGCAAGGCGCTTCTGGGTATTTTTGTTTTTCGTATAAACCACAAAGCCAAAGCCAACTAGACAAGCAAAAAAACCTGCATTAACAGCGTAGCTATTGGCACCCTCGGTCAAAACTTCGTCTTTAACTGGCTTGTGACATCTGAATCAAACAACCGAAGCCAAATGTCGCAAATGCGTCTATAAAGTGTAGACCTCCGAAACAGATATGGCGGAAGACTTTGTTTTTGACTTTTTCCGTCAACAGTCATTCGGCGAGAGCGATATTCCTTTACATCCAGAGAAATAACATCGTCACCGTAAACCAGCCAAAATACTGGATTCATGAAGAATATAAAAGGACCGATAACGTAAGCTGGTAAAATCAAGAGCGAAGAATATCCTGCTTTCAGGTGGAAAATAAAGTAGGATAAATTAAGTGCAATAAACCCTGGGTAGACTGCGCGGCTAATCTTTGCCAGGCGGGCGAACTGTCGCTCCTTGTCCGAGGAAAGACTCAGGGTTAGAAATACAGCGACCTATCGGTATCCAGCTAACATATATCAGTCGCTGGGCGACAAAGTCGACAATGGTGAACGCAGACTCGCTGAAGAGGGTCATCATAAAAGCACCAAGTATGAGGAGCGGGAGGCAGAAAGGTGTTTTGGCAAGGAAAACATGACAACCGGAAAATCGGTCCTCATTTGTTGCCGATTCCCCGCTTGTTTTCAGGTTTGCTTGATTCCCGAATATTCTAACGAGAATTCGGATATCGGTGATAAAGCCTTGTTTATTGGTAAACCACTCTCCATGGTGAGAATGACACTGGACGAGTAGACTGGCGAGGTCTTTGCTAGTCTGTGGTGTCACCTGGCATGAAGCAATGCAAACTTGGAGAAACAGCGACTGATGCTCCAGTGTTCCATTGCGAAGCTTGCGAGCTATCTGCTTGCACGACTCCATCAGCAACTCCAGGCTTATGTCCGGATCCACCAGGATACCTGGTTTGCTAGATCCACTATGCCTCGGTCTACCCCCTCTAATTTCCGTTCTATGCATCCCCTTCCTCATTATGACTCTCATTCCAGCTCCTGATACTGTATTGGTATCCTCTCTGTCTATTTGTTATTCGCATTATCCTTTCTAGTGCGCGAACACTGCCGCTGGCAAGCTGCCAGGTGCTCTGAGGGGTTCTTGAAAAGCTTGGGTTCTAGTTTGCACTGGTATTTGAATACATCTCTTGTTTTACAAGGACAGTGCCCTTCCTTTTGCCGGCGTTCATGTTGGTCCACAAATAATAATAAATAAATACGGTTCGTGCCTAATGTGACCTCAGTCGAAATGTCTGGGAAAAGATACTGGGTAGCGTGTTCTCCTAGTAGTAAACTATGTGTGTACTGATAAAACCAATCTTATACGTTCATGAAAATCTATTGGAAAAGCCTGAATGAATCCCCGCTGTTAGGTGGCCGGCGAAGGATATTTAAGCAAACGCCGAGTGCGCACACGGAGCCCTTAGCTAATCCACGCATGGCCTTGGATACAGCTGCGCCACTCTCAGTGAGTAAGCCGCATCGAGTACAACGGGACAACCCTAGAAGCATGACAGATACCCTTTATCCCTGACTATTGAAGATATTGCTGCATGGCAGCTCCTGCCTGCCTCATACCAATGGAAATAATTGTCAGGCCTTTTGTTTTGGATTCCAGAGTATTCTGCCCTATCGTTCACCTAAGAAAAGGAGCCTTGCTAATATGAAGCCACGTGTTTTTTTCGCAATCACCGAGACTGGATGCGAGCCAATAGACATCTAAGCACCCTAAGCGGCTTTGCATTCACGCCTCATGGCAACAGGTATTTTCTTTTCCGCTTCGCTTTTCTGCACCTTTACCCTATTCTTTTTTAGTTCAGCAGAACAGCACAGGTAGTATGGGCTCGCTGACAGAAGTAAACACAGCTATGCCGCAGGAGGCTCCAGGACAGCCCCATCTGGAGCTCGCTGTCAAAGCGTGGCCATATCAATATTGCTGACGACAAACCCCTGCACCTCTACTACGAAATATTCGGAACCGGGGCAAAGAAAGTGGCGTTCATTAACGGCATGGGCGCAGACCGGCAGGTATGGGAGAACGTTGTTGCAGAGTTCCTGGACCTGGATGATTACCAGTGTCTTGTCTACGACCATCGAGGTAGCGGATTCTCTGACGAGGGCAAAACTACATTCAACATTACAACAACGCTGCTGGCTGCAGACCTGAAGAAACTTCCTGGAAACGCTTGGATGGGAAAAGGGAGTGAACATCGTGGGTGTCAGCATGGGCGGCATGGTCGCGCTGGAGTTCGCCAGCAACTATCCCCAGATGGTAAATACGCTGACCCTAGCAGTGACGAATGCCGGTCTATCTGTGCCGCCTCTACGGGGGATCGTCGATTCAGTCAGGGCAAACTTTATCAGCAACCCGCTCGAGCGCTTCGAGGTCATATGTGGGACGCTGTATCCGGAATCGTACCTGAAGGCACCCGCGCCTGAAGATACCAATTGCAAAACTATGATGGACCTCTGCATCCAGCGAGGGATTCGCCGGGCCAAGTACACGAAGCCAATGTCAATTTGGTCGTTCTTTGGTCAGGTCGGCACCGTGCTCCGCCACTATGTGTCGCCGGCGCGGCCTGGAGAACCTGGGCAATCTGCTCCCTGACAAGCAGATCCTGGTCTTTACCGGCGACCAAGGACCATATGGTGCGCACAAGCAACTCGTTCTACATTGCTGACAAGATCGGCCGTGATCGTGTTCCGCTTTGAGCAGATCGAGAACGCCGGACACGGCGTCACCAGCCAGTGCCCCGATCGGTTCGCCAAGTCGATCGATACCATGGTCATGGAGGTGGCCCGTTGAGAGAGAAACCACATAGCATATTTTGTTTTGCTTAATCGACACTGTAGAAGAACCTATTTTGTTTACTTTGCCTCCTGGGACTCGCCATCAGCCCGCTGTTTCAGCACACCAGCAAGCCGCTGCGGGATGCGCTGGAGCAGCGACGCCAGCTGCTGCGACGGCGACTGCACAACGCCGATGATCTGGGCGCGCAACTGGTCGATGTTTGGCATATTGACAAAGTCCTTCATCATCGCCGGGTTCAGCAGCGTGCTTATCGATCTTGGCGCCCATCAGCACCATCTTGCGCTGCTGGCCCGTAATCTCCATCGCCTGCCGCATCGCCAGCACCGGATCGAAGTCCTCAGCCATGGCGTCCTTCTGCCAGTACACAATTGCCGACGGGCCCGAGAACAGACTCGTGAGGTTGGCGTACGCAGTGTCGCGCAGCACAGCCTGAACCATGCGTGACCGCACAATCATCAGCTTCGCTCCCTGCGCGTTCAGCTTCAGATCACGCCGCTGCGCCGCCTGCTCTGATCCGCTCAGGTTGTGGTGCTGCAGGACGATCACCGATCGGGCTGTCCACGAAATGAGCCTCGTACTCGCCAAACAGGAACTGCTTGCGCGCGGAGAACGGCTTTTTGTACTCTGTATGTGTCTTGGCCGGCCGCGACCGCTCCAGCCGCGACGACACCGCTGCTGTGGCCATCGTCCGCTGGACCGGCGCTCTGATACGGAAAGCAGTGCGTGCGAGCGAGAACATTTCTAACCAAAATGTGAACCAATCAAGGAGAGTGAATTGCGACAAGAAAGCGTGAAAGGAGAATGCCTGAGAGAGCGTTTTGAGTAAACTAACCAGCCCATTTTTTTTAAAAGCAGTTCGAGATAGCTGGTGGCAGTGATTAGATCAAGGAATCAGCAGCTCTGAGATTCAATTTGTGGTCTCTGTTGCGGACCAGAGCGTAGCAACTGGCAGGTGCTGGTGATGGCTTGAGGGCCATTGAGTGCTTCAGTAACACATCTCCTTGAAGGACATACTCAGCACCTCTACCACATTGGCTGTTCTTTGCGGGAGAAGCTGGCAAGACTGCGTTGTTGCTGATTTCAGTGTATTCTCTTCTGGAGCCCTTGCTATCCACAGATTTCTGCTTGCTTTCCTAGGGTTAACAACCATTGCAAAAGGAGATAGCTGAGGCAATAGGCACATGTCGTCCAATCTCTTGCCCTGTCGATATCGTATATTTCAAACAATGGAATAGCGAATGGGGCTCGATATGCACTGGCAGTAGAACGAAAAACAGCATTGGCGCCATAACTGAGTGTAGGCCATTGAAAATATCACATTTATAACTGCCCCGCCTAGGCCACATGTCAAGCGCGTTATTTTTTTCTTTTAAACTTCGCTTTCGCTTTCGCTTTTACTTTTGCCCTCCTACAAATGATTCACCTTGAGGAATACCTTGACACTCTCGAGGCGCTGCCGATGGAGCTTCAGCGGCAGTTCACGCTCATGCGCGAGCTCGACGCGCTGTCGCAAGACATCCAGGAGCAAATGAAGAAGGCGACTTCGGACTTTATTTCAAATCCGCCCACCAAGGACGACCCGCAGCATACCGAGTACCTGAAGACATTCGTGCAGCTCTTCACGTCAGTGCTCAAGCACGGCGAGGAGAAAGTGGCACTGGCCACGCAGACCTACGACCTGGTTGACAAGCATATCCGCAAGCTCGACGACGATTTGACGAAATTCGAAGAGCGCCAATTGACAATGCCGCCACGCATTGCGCATGCCTGGGGGCCGGGCGCGACATCAATGGCGGTGCCCGATAATACGGCTGTTGAGGAGCCGGTGGGGGCCGAGAAGGAGCGCAAGGCAGCCAGCAATAGGCGGAATGCAGACGAGTCGGCGGCCACGACCAGGAAGCGCCGGACCAACAACCGCGAGGCGTCGCCGCCTGGAACTACAAAGTCAAGCACGCCCAGCGGCAGGCGCGGCAATGGCGGGCGCGGGAACAGCGCCGGCGGTAGCGGCAGTGCGAAAAATAGCGCAGCCAACGACAACAAGGCCAGGAGTGTCGGCAAGGTCACGGCACAGGTGTTTGCTGATATGCCGATTGACCCGAACGAGCCGCGGTACTGCTACTGCAGGCAGGTGTCGTATGGAGAGATGGTGGCGTGCGACGACGAGAACTGCGAGATCGAGTGGTTCCATCTGGGCTGCGTTGACTTGAAGGCGCCGCCCAAAGGCCAGTGGTTCTGCAGGGAGTGCTCGCAGAAGCACAAGAAGCGCCGCGACCATCACTCTTAACGGGGGGGGTTTAATGTACTACTCTGTCTTTCGCATATCATCAAGTCTGGGGGAGGATAATGCGATGTAAAAGTAAACGTAAAGTGATGATGTACAATGAGGGTATACTATGTTTTTGCCTTCTTCGAGGTCTGGGACACAGATGGATACTTTGGCCGCTGGTTGCGCATCACCATGCTGTCGGCATGGTCGTTGAACGAGCCTCCTGGCTTGCTGCTCTGAGCCGAAGCGCCGGCCAACCACGACGGGGTGCTCTCGGCGTTGCTCCGTGTATCCACCATATCGGACTCGTCCTCATTGAAGTGCAGGGGGCGGATGGATCCCAGATTGATCTTCTCCAGCAATGGCGCAAACACATCGTCGACAACACTGGGTCCGCTTTGCCGTTGCTGTCTCCGTGGCTGCTGCTGATGCGGCGCACTGCTGCTGTTGCTGCTGCTGCTTGGCGACCTGCCTGAGGCCAGAGTCGACGCAGGGCTCATTGAAGAGACTCGTTCAGCAGCACCCTGCGGCAAGGCCGAGTCCAGTGATGGCGGGCAGATAAATATATCGCTCATGGCAATGCTGATGTTGGCCCCTTCGAACATCGGGAAATCCCCTTGCTGCGACGACGAGAGTGGCGGGTTTTGCGGGCAAGATGGACCGAGCACGGGCCGCGCGCTTCCGGCCGTCGTGTCCGAATCCGCCTCATCATCGACACCCATGTACGATGCAATGGGCGACAGGGGAATGTGGGGATTGATAACATGGTCGGAAACCGGCGACAGAGACGTCAGCGAGTGGTCCGGCACCGCCGGCAGCGCAGCCGGATAGTCGCCCAGCACAGAGGCAGCGCGACTAGACGCGCTGCTGTGGTTACTGCGTGCAATGGCATGGGCACCTGCTGCTTGGCCAAGCAGCGAGGCTGGCGACTGCTCAGTCAGATGTGCACGAGGTGGTGCACGCGGCTGCTCGATCGACGTAATCCGCCCGTGCTCGCTGTGGGCAGCCGCCGGCGGCTGCGGGTGCTGGTTGAAGGGTGGGAACATATGCGGCGGCATCGCAGTGGTTGCTGTCAGGGTGGGCGAGGTCTCGGGTGTAGAATTGACTGAGGATGAAGTCGACAGGCCAGGAGACGAGGATGCTGACAGGGAGGAGCAGGGATGTGCACAATCCACCTGCAACCACCGAAGCATGCGCATTGCAGGCCGGGACAATGCGGGTTGGCTGTGGTGGTCATTCACGCGAACAACCAGCACCAGCTGCTGTGCTGCATCGGGCATCAGCACCGTGACGTCGCAGTCGAGGTACGCCGTCTGAGCGCCTGCCAGCACCTTGATGTTCAGCCGCTGCGGAATACCGTCGTTGTAGCACTTCTTCAGCGCCCGACAAAAGAACCCTCGGTCCTGCCGCGCCAGCAGCCCGACAAAAGACCGCTCCAGAAGCTCCTCCTCGCTCCACCCCAGCATTCGCCGCGGAAACACTGTATCGATGGCGCCAAACCCCGTCAGGTGCAGTACTGAAAAGGACTCGCTCGCCAGCGTCTCCTCCAGCAGCGACACCAGCGTATCCCGCACCTCCTGGTCTGCCGATGGAGGCGCCTCTGGCGACTGCGTCAGCAGAATCGAGTGTGGGTAGCCGTCTGCCTCCAGTGATACCGTATATTCGCCGGCTGTGCCTGGCTTGGACAGCTCCAAACACCGCACAGAGCCGCTAATGTCGCGGATGTGCCAAACGAATAGCTGCGAATCCAGCGGGTGCACACAGGCTTGCACCCATCTGACAGAGCTATCCTCGCTGCGCTCAACGACCACATAGTGATGGTTGTTTTCTGCGGTGGTCGGCGATTCCTCGCCCACGGTCATAAACTCGATGATCGTCCAGTACTTGGACAGTGCGCCTGAACATGCCGTGTCGCGCAGCCGTACCATCCGCCCGGCATCCCACTCTTCGGCTGGTCCACGCAGAACCTCAATGGCATCGTGGTCGGCATGCTGGATCTCGTTTTGCGCATTGGCGATAAACAGGCCAAACGAGCGCAGGTGGCAGTCGCCAGCCAGTCCATTATGACAAGTGCATTTCAATCTGAGCTGCTCGGTTATCTACAAACAAAGACGTAAGAATAGGTTTTTAGCTTGAGACAATGCGATCGTTTTGTAGCTGTTTCTGGGTACCAAGGTGGGACAGAGACAGTAGCAAAGTGCTGCGCCTGCCATTCCAACCTAGCGCACTACTAATTTGCGGTTAGACCATGCGCACAAGAGTGGCTCCCTCTCCGCACAGACAATGGTGTTTGTGTCCAGCTCCTCGCCTTTAATCTTTGCTGATAGGCAGAGGGGTCCATTTTGAATGGATAGAGTGTGCAGTGCAAATAAATCAACTGATGCAATGGACAGCGTCGGCCATTGCGCCTCAGGAACTGGCAGAGATAGCAATTGGGAACAGAAACCTACCTGCTGCTGGCGTCCGAGCAGAGCCATAGGATAAACCGCAAGGCTAGTGAGGCTGGGGCTTTGCTATGGAGACCCGGTGGAGGAGTGTAAGGGGTTGTGAGGAGGAGGGCGCTCGGGCTCAACTGTAAATGCGCTCGTGTGTGGTGAATTCAAAAAGTACAAAGAAGGGCTGTGGCATAAACAGACCAACGATGCAGCATATGGCTGAATAGCTAGAGGCAGAGTATCTGGTGGAAAGAGGAGAAAAAGCAGAGGAGAAAAGGGGGTGCGAGGCTCCTTGAATCCAAAGCTTTAATGGACAGCAGGATTCACTTGAAGAGTAGTAAAAGCCTGCGAGGGTGGGGCGATCAAGCCAATTCGTCTGTGGAGACAGTGGGCTTATTTTCGTGAATGCTCTCTAAAAAAAACCACATCGACCTGAGTCGAAAAATATTTGGAGCACTACGCATGCATAATTTTTTTCTTCCTGCGTGCATTCCGGAATGGGCGATATTGGGCTGCTGCCGGGGGATGCCGAGAGGGAAGGAAAAAACGCGATGGCACAGCTGACTCCGTCCCAAACGCATGCATGACTGCGGGACCTCACCACCATATACCTGCTGTGTGGTGGTTGGCTGCGACTTGCAGGGCTGGAATCACCCGTGTCATTAGCATTCATTTCCAGCACTCGCGTGTTGCAAGTGATTTCGACATAGCCCAGTCGGTAATTAAATTTGCACGGGCTGCTTGTTCGCGTGTTCGGCCTTTGCAAACCGCATAGTCAGCATGTACATGACGTGCCGATTGACACTACCACATTTAGATCACCGTCTTGGATCCCATCCGACACATATGCTGATTTCTTGCACAAACAGGGCAAACGGATGGCTTGAACCCGAGGTGCCTGTCCTTTCCTTGGCCAAACGGGCTGCTCAGCCACACTGTGTTTGCCGAACACGCGCCAGTGACTTGCACCAACCATGTACAGCGATTAGTGGAGAGACAAGCAAGCAGCTGCAGGCAGAGATGGGTTTGGCGAAGCAAGGTGGGCGACACAAATAAAAATGCACGACGAACCACAGCCCCTCGCTTTGCCCGTTTCTCCTCCCCCTCATCTTTTCTTTCACTACATTCTGCCATTATACACGCATGCGCCAACTCCCATTGACATAAAGCCGCATTCTGGATCTCCCGCCACACCTGCACCGAGCTAACCGAACCAGTTTCCATGGCCCATTGCACCATTGGCGCCATCTTATTAACAGCATTAATTCTTTGCTAGCACTTTATGTGTAGCTTCGCAGAGGACAATCTCTTCTTCCCAGCCAAACAGCGAGACAACAAAAAACCGTCGACAAGGGTGCCGTGCAATTGTGACTATATCAAAACACACACACAACAAATCCGCCACTCTCCACCCGCTACAAACACATTTTTCCTGTCCGGAAACGAAGTGACCCCGTCTGCACCTTTTTTACTCATTTTTTATATCATCCTCCATTCGTATTCTAACATGCTATCCGACACCCGGATATTGAAGGCGGGCATGGTTTATGTGCGCATGCTTGGCACAGGCGAGGTTGTCAAGCCCCTGCCACACGTGCTCGTGGACGGTGGCTGCTGGGAGCCGTACATTGCCACCCTCGTGAGGTGCATGGACTGTGTGAGCCTGCTGCTATTTGACATTGAGGGAGCCAGCGTGGTTGAGGTCGCAGATATCGAGATCGACAAGCTCCAGTCTACAGACATCATGGTCACCGATCAGTCTCTGTTTGATAACTCATATGGCTTCCACATTAGACTCCGCCCCACCGCGCCTGCATTTGAGGAGCTGATGTGCAGGTACCATACAGGGAGCGAGTCTGGCAGTCTGTGTATGTCTACGAGCGAATCACACACGTCGTCGATGAGCCGGGATAGCAGTGGCGGGTTGGTCGACGCAGGGATTGGCGATGCGCAGCAGAGTGACGAAAACGATTCGAGTCCAGAGACGCTGACGTATGAGCCACTGTGCTTCAAGACGTATCCGGCAGCCCTGTACCTGACGACAAGACGTGCCTTTGAGCGCAATGAGTGGGTGGCGTGCCTGCGCGCTCACTGCCACCCGACAATCAGCGGACCAGTGCCGCTGCCACTCACCAGCACATGCTGTGCCCCGCTGATGTTCCGCGTCGACCGCTCGATCTGGCTGAAAATCAACCGCACCAGCAGATTCTCAAAGACATGCGACACGCATGCAGTCATTACCCTGGACGGAATCCCCATGGCACAGACCAGTGTAGTGTTCAGCACGAGCGAGCCAAAGTGGGACACCATGTACTACTTTGGATGCCTTCCTAGGTCGCAGTCGCTGCATGTGTTTGTGTGCCACAAGGAGCAGGATGGGCTGACGGGCGGGCTGCTTGGATACTGCCGTGTGCCTGTCAATGCAATGCAGCGCAAGCAGCTGTACGATGGGTGGTATCCGCTCGTATACGGCGATGTGACGGACGCCGATGAGGCAGTGGGGATGTACTTGCCATTGGAAGTCAATGTAAGGCCAGAGGCAGAGCGACACACCAGGCACGTCGAGCGGCCGCCCAGCTACAACAAACCGTCGGTCAGCCGGCGGAGCAGCGCGCGCAGCAGCGACAGCGAACCGGCACCAGCGCGGAGATACCAAAGCGACGATGTGCTGAGCATGTGCCAGCTACCGTCCATGCCGTTTCGGTCCGCTGATCTCCATATCCAGGCCCGCTGCGACGACCTGATTGTGCTGACCAAGCCGTTCTACCGCGACACAATAGTGGTGCTGCTTGATACTCAGCCGACACTGATCTTCGACCTTGTTGCCATCCTGCCGCAGTCTGCCGATTGGCTGGTCGAGACAATAACAAAGCTGGCTATTTCCAGCGGCAAGACGTGCTCGTGGATCTCGGCAGTCATTGCCCATGAAATTGCCACCCAGACAGTGCCTGACCCGACCCTGCTGTTCCGCAGCACATCGGTTGCAACACGCACGCTGGACACGCTGATGAAGACCGTCGGTCTGCAGTTCGTCGACCTGGCGATCGGCGATGTCGTGCGCAACATTGTATATTCTGATCACTACTGCGAGGTAGACCCGAGCCGACTCGAGCCCAACGAAGTAGTCGCGGAGCATTGGAGCGTGTTGGTCGCGCTCCTGCGCATAATGTGGAGCGGTATCGAAGACAACATGGAGGCGTGCCCGCGCGTCTTGTGCCGAATCTTTGCGCATGTACGGCAGGCCGCTATGCACCACCTCGACAATGTCGAGTACTCGTGCATCAGTGGGTTCGTGTTTCTACGCCTAATCTGCCCGGCGATTGTTTCGCCCAAATCCTTCGGCATTGTCGAGCGCATGCCAGGTGCCAGTGCCTGCAGGACGCTGTTGCTGATGGCCAAGGGCATGCAGTGCGCCGCCAATTTGACAGATTTCACCATGAAGGAGCCATATATGCAGCCGATGAGCGCCTTTGTTGACGAATGCAAGCCCGGGCTGAAGCGGTTTATTGACTTTATTGCTAGTGCTCCACAGGACGACCCGCTGAAGGACGACTTTTACGGCGCGTCGATGGTGGTCGACATGGAGAGAGAGGCGGCAGCCCTATGTGCGTGTCTTAATGCTGCACGGAAAGACATTGAGCAAGTGGCTGTTGAGAGCGAGCACCCGGAGTATGATAGCAACGGATGCTCGCCAGTATCTCGACAATCCGGCATCTACCTACGTAGCCTCCTTCATGCATGTAGTGTGGTCCAGGACTGCGTCGAGATGTGCACGGGCAGCATGCAGGCTGCAGACCCCCAGCAGCAGCCAACAAGTCCACTGTCGCTGCGCAAAGGGAGGCACAGCTAACACGTTTCCACCTTCCACCTCTTTTTTTGCTGAAGGCGCCACTGCTATTTTTCTATCGCCAATCGCGCTCATATTTAATGTATTATCCTATTACTCCACCACTCTACCCAGGTTCGCAATTATATATTGCTTATGCATTGGGTCTCGCACCAGGCGAAAACATTGCTCTAGCAGTGTTCAGCGGAATAAACTGGGAGCCCCGCGATCCCTCGACCATGGTTCCGTTGCCCGAAGGCCGTCTCTCGAATCCACCTTGCACGCGCTGCAGGTTACTCACGACTGTGTCAGGACGCTGTACAGCCGTGACAGCAGACCCCGACGGGCTTGGCGCCCCCGCGGCCTTCATTCTTCTCAGCCCCTGCTCAATATCTGCGGCCCGCTTGGCCCAGACCGCATCATCCGGCGCCGCTGGATCTGTCATCGCACGGTGCCACAAGGCCACAGACACAATGCGCGACATCACCGCCCACTGGAGCACCCAGTAAGGCGAGAAATGGAAGTGCCCGAAACACGCAACCACAATCACACAGATGCTCAGGCAGATGCCAGTCACGCCATTGACAAGCAGCAGGCCGAGGCCACGGTATACCTTCAAAGCATGGTAGATGGCGCGCGGTGACAGGAACCGCGTGTGTGGGCAGAGACGGAGTGCCCCATTGATGATTGAGATCGAGGAGAAAAAGGAGAGCACAAAGTGTGCAATCGCCGCGTACATTGGCAGGTTCTTGAACCACTGGTCGCCAGGCTGCGTGATATCGAAGGTGCACAGGAGGGTGCGCATGTCGATGCTGGTTGACAGCGTTGAAGACAGGATAAACCCGAGCATCACAAACTGTGCAGCAAATCCTACCAGCATGATAAAGAAGATCTTGATGCACATGTCGTTGACGATATGTGTCTGCACGGCCGACGCCAGGAACAGCATGCTGATGCCGACGAAAAACGCAACAGTTGAGATTCTTGCTACCAGGCTGCAGCTGTCCTGGATCTCAAACATATACGTGAGAACCAGCGATGATGTGGCAGCAATGCCCAGGGTAGCCTGCGCGGCGAGCAGCCAGTAGCTGAGATAGGGCACAACTCTCTGGTATGTCGGGTGGTTCTGGTAGGCGGAGCATTCGCCGCCGTCGCAGGAGCTGATGAAAAAGTCCTTGTTGCACTTGTATGTGGTCGCGGGCCGCACCGTCTGGAGCTGGGGCAGCGCAGAGACGTTGGTCGTGCTCTTTGACTTGGCCGCGACCTTCAGCAGTGCCGGTGGGGCAATGGGCGGCGTGAGCGGGATCCGCATGAAGGAGAGGCGGATGCCCGATCCCAGGGCCTGGCAGAAGAGCGCCAGAGCCAGGGTGTACGAGAAGGTTGTCAGAATAATAGCAAACATTGGAAGAATAAAAAGCCCTCGAGACATTCAAGCAGAACAGAAAAACCCAGAGCTAGGGAGGAAAGGAGATGTGCCAATTTAGCGGCAGCTCTAAAATGTGCACGTCAACAAGATCCGAGGGCGCCACTCCCTGTGCTAATTGCGAGCAGCCGTCTGTCGTCCACAACACACTTCATGTGCAGGCAGGCATGCTTTTTATAGTAGTCAGCAACATAAGCCACTCGGCAAAATGTGCAACCTCCCCTACACACAGCCAAGGGCATCGTCGTCATAATTCTCGTATAACAATCAACAGAAGGAATGGAAATTAGGTTCAGTGCGCTCCCTTTCATGGGGTCACCAGCGACGCCGCCCACTTTGCAATGTCGACCTTGGCGTTGGCGCAAGTGACGGCAAACGGATGGCTGAGCAGCTCGCGCGGTGTCGGCCGGCCCTGCGGGTCCTTGACCAGGCACGAGTCGACCATGTCGCAAAAGTCCTTCGGGAACTGGTCTGGCGACAGACTCGGCAAGTCCTCGGTGGTAATGTAGTTTAGCATCTCAAAGATCGACAGGGTCTCGCCCTCGGGTCTGAACGGATACTTGCCCAGCGCCAGCTCCATCAGCGTCAGGCCCAGCGACCACACATCGGACTTGACCGTGTAGCTGCTGCCGCGCATCCGCTCCGGAGACATGTACGAGGCGGTGCCGACGAATGTGTCGGCGATCGAGTTGATCATCTCCTTGGAAATGCCAAAGTCACAGATCTTGATGTACCCGGACGAGTTGAGCAGGATGTTCGAGGGCTTGATGTCGCGGTGCATGACGCGCATCTCTTCGTACAGGTAAATGAGGCCCTGGAGCACCGAGAAGGTCAGGCGGCCGATGACGTTCATCGGGATGGGCCCGTGCTTGTGGTAGATATTGTCAAACGATCCTAGGTCCATGAACTCAAGGCACATCTGCACGCCGTTGTTGCGCGGGAATGCGCCGTAGAATGACACGATGTGCGGCGAGTTGCACTCGTGCAGGATCTGGAGCTCCTTGAGAACCTGCTGAAGGATTGTAGCGTCGGCGCGGATGATCTACACACACAAACAAAAGAAATGTTGAGCTCATGTCATACCTGCCTGCCTATATGGCTTCTGATGCTGTTGGTCTTGCTGTCATGGTCGCCGGAAACTGTACCTTCATGGCCATGACTGTCTGCGTGGGCTTATGCACGACCTTCATCACGGTCCCGCCGGCACCCTCACCCATCTCCTTCTCGGGTACCAGGTCCTCGGGGCGCAGGTCAAGTCTGAATTCGAGTCCAATTTCTAGCGGCAGTCCGGTGGCCTCGGACACAGTAGTGTCGGTGTCAGCAGCAACAGCAGCACTGGCCGGGGCTGCGGGATTCGCCGACAGGGACGCACCAACACCGCTCAAATTTGCGCCCGGCGCAGTATCGCTGATACCCAGCGCGAGACCCTTAAAGTTGCGTTTCTTACGGAGACCGGACTTTGACATTTGCCCAGATTATAAAAGAGAATGTAAATACAGGGAGGGAAAGGAGAGATAAAGAACAGAACAGGGGGCACTAGGAATACCTGCGAGCTGTGTTTGTTTTGTCTCGCCGAGGGGTTTAGACACACCCCTTAAAGAGCAAAAAACCAGTTCCTGGTTGGTAATCCTTTGTCGCCAACTCGCAGCAGTCAGCGTTTCAAAGAGGGGCAAAAGGCCGAGGAGCGACGACAAAGGCGAAATATATTGAGCGTTTATATACAGCTATAAGGGATTAAAAAGTAGGGAGCGGGGACGGAATTATCCCTACCCGGTCCACAGCATACGCGTAGGCATGCCGAAGGGCTTGGCTGGGTAGGACTTGGAATAAGGGTCAGTTAAAGTAGTAGTAAAGTATGTTTCTTAGGCAAGCAGCAGGCAGCTTGAGACTACCACCAGGGCAGCCACCACCGAGGAGCCAAGGGCTGCCAGCGAGCCGGCGCCATTGGACTGGGTGGTCTGGGCAGAAGAAGCCGAAGACTGCGTGCCGTTAGCATGGTGCGCAATGTCGTAAAGCTCATCCGAATCAATCGAGGAAGCTACAAGGGTGCCAGGGAGTGTCGATTCGACTTCAGTGACATTGGTTGTAGAAGTGGGCAATTGTGCAGACACCTCAGCAGAGGACGCCTTTGAGGACGCCTTTGAGGACGCCTTTGAGGACGCCTTCGAGGATGCCTCCGAGGGCGTCTCTGTGGATGCCTTCGAGGGCGTCTCCGTGGACGTCTCTGTGGGTTCGGGTGCAGTGGAAACCTCCGCAAGTGTAGTAGGCACTTGCGTAGGCGTGGGTGTAGTGGAGGTGGTGGAGGTGGTGGTGGGATCATTACCTTGGCTTGTGGTTTCCTCTGGCTGCGACTGTGGCTCAACCACAGCAGCAGCAACAGAAGAGGTTGTCGAGGTGGTGGTCTCAGGCTTGGGCTGGGGCTCGGAAGCCGACGAGGTCACCGCCTCCTTGGGGGCAGGCACTGGCTGCTCCGAGGTCGTGCTACGCTCCTGGACATTGGCCATGAGCGCAGCAATGCTGGGGGTCGCAGCAGCAGCCGACGAGGGCGTGGGCGCAGGCGCGGGCGCCGACGACACCGGGCTGCTCTCGGCAGGCTTCTCATTCACGGGCTCCTGCGGAGCCGGGACTCGCGAGCCATCATAAGCGCCCGTGATTGTGCCGCCGTTGTTCCAGATGCCCTCGCAGTGCTTGTTATCCACGGGGCTCCATGTCGCCGGGCCAATGCCGTCGTCGATGTTGAACAGCTTGCCGAACGCCGGCTTGGTCAGGTCCAGGCCCTTGCCGCCGGTGTCGATGGCCAGCACGTAGACGAACTTTGAGCTGTCGTCGGCGTTGCACACTTTGATGCACTGCCCGCAGTCCGTGGCCGTGTTCATGGTCTGGACCGCAGTGACACGTGTCAGGTCAAGCTGCGCGTACGGCATGCCACATGAGGGCGGGTTGTTTTTCAGGAGCTCGAGGGGGATTGCCTGGTAGTCGTGGTAGGAGATCCGGCCAGAGCCCGTCAGGTTAGCGGCCACGAGGTGGAAGAAGAGGGCGAAGGCAGCGGTAAATGCGAGCATATTTTCTGTCGTTAAAAAGATAACTCTGCGTGATAATCGATATCGTTAAAGATGAGGGAGGCCTGTCGTAAAGAAATGATAATAGAGTGCTAGCCTCTACTATTACCGCGAAAAAGTATCAGGGAGTGGGGGAGGGCGCGGGAGGGGAGACAAGAGACAAGGACAGCTTATATAAAATGGCGCTGCTTTCTCTTTGTGGCAAGACTTGGGACTGATGTCTCCGAACTGCGTAGACCGATCAAAAATAGGTGAGACTGTGGAAAAATTTGTTTGTGATTTGCTCCCTGTTCTTGGCTAATTCCACCAATTGACGACGATCCGCAAAATATATACAAGAACCGGCGGTGTGATATGTCTCTGGAGCGTTTGGCGCTGTTATGTAAGACCAGAGAGTACAACTATTAAATGCTGGCTGAGCGGAGGGCGAAATAAAGGAGCAGGATTTCCAAAGGAGGGGCTTCTCGGCGCCAGCAGGGAGGCGTCCCTGGGGTATATATACGAGGCAGCCGCAGTGCTTGCGCCATCGCAGGGCTCGTGTTCTACACGGCTCAGCGACCCTCTCACACTACCCGGCATCGCTGGAAAAGGAAGGAACCCGCACAAAAGGCCGTGGTCCTCATTGTCCCTTGCTCGCTTAAAGAAATCAGTCAGCGCAGTCTGCCACATCATTTCCACCAGAGCAGCCAGGGCCAATAATGGCGGTCCGCTGGCTGTTGGGAATGGGGCAGGCAGTGGTTATCTGCGAATGGTGAGCAAGCGGGCCTTTTGCCGCTCACTGTGAGATGATGAGAAAACGCGAATCAGACTGGTGCCCTGCACGTTGCCATGCAAGTTCAGCATCCGCGCCTACGTTGCAAGCGAACCACCAGCCATCTCCACTGTGGACATCCCTCACACATGCACGACGTGCGTCTCGCATCCCATTGTGGTGGTGCGAGCAAATCACATAAAATGAGCCGCTACATGTACCACCCCTCTCCCTTCCTCTCACGACATGCGCCCTCGCGATATGTCCCCGGGCAAACCTCCCATCCGCCGACCAGATAGCGAGATGGTTGAAGCTGATCCGCGATTCACATGCCTTGGCGTGGATTTGTGTACCAGCCAATTCTCTGCTCAACAAGCGCCGTGTGGTCAGTGCGACAGTGGGGAGTGCCTCAACAAAATATCCAAACGCCCATCGCAGGAGTCCTATTGCCCAGAACCACCACATTTCAGAGACCGCTGTACACCGGTCTGGCTTAGCGGGGCTATTCCCCAGCACAATTCCCCACAGCACAGGGAATAGTGTGGTACGAGGCTGAATGAACAGTGCCGTCGATTGTGCGACACCACCCGGTGTCTGAGAAACGAATCACTGCGGCGGTCCTTCCATAAGATTCGGGTAGCGGAATAGGGGACCGGCAGTCTCCAGCAGCCCCTTTGCTCCCAGGTGATCATGACTAATCATATCCAACATGTCCACGCCCGCCGAGACTCTCCCCACACACCTGAGCCAGGACTTCCAGCTGCTGAGCCCCTGCCGCCCTGTCGACGAGTGCTACGAGAAGCTGAACAAGATCGAGGAAGGCACATATGGAATCGTGTACCGTGCGCGTGACAAGGCCACCGGCGAGCTGGTTGCACTCAAACATCTGAAGCTGGAGCAAGAGCGCAACGGCTTTCCGATCACATCGCTGCGCGAGATCCACACGCTGCTGCTGGCCAAGCACCCAAACATCATCAATGTGCGCGAAATCGCCGTCGGCCGCTCGCTCAACAGCATCTACATCGTCATGGACTTTATGGAGCACGACCTGCGCGGTCTGATGGAGTCCATGAAGGACCCGTTCCAGCCTTCCGAGGTCAAGTCGCTGATGCACCAGCTGCTCAGTGCCCTCGCCCATCTCCACAACAACTGGATCGTCCACCGCGACCTGAAGACGTCGAATCTCCTGATGGCCAACGGCGGCCTGCTCAAGGTCGCTGATTTCGGCCTGGCGCGCAAGTACGGGTCGCCGCTGGGCGACATGACCGGCCTGGTCGTCACGCTGTGGTACCGCGCGCCCGAGCTGCTGTTTGGCCAGAAGGAATACTCGACTGCCGTGGATGTGTGGTCGGCCGGGTGCATTTTTGCTGAGCTGTTCCTGGGCGAGCCGCTGTTTCCTGGCCGGGGCGAAATCGACCAGATCTCGCGCGTTTTTTCGATGCTTGGCACGCCCACCGACGAGTCGTGGCCCGGATTCCGCGACCTGCCCAACGCCCGCATGTTCAAGTTCACAAGCAAGCCCGGTGACGCAAGACTGCGCGAAAAGATGCTCAAGCACCCTGGTGTCACTGACAGCGCCTACGACCTGCTGGGCCGCCTGCTGGCGTTCAACCCCGAGCAGCGCATCACGGCCGACGAGGCTCTGCAGCACCCGTACTTTTCCGAGCACCCACCACCCAAGGACCCCAGCATGTTCCCCACGTGGCCCTCGAAAAGCACTGCTGCAGCGGCACCATAACCACTGTGATTGCAAAATACATTGTCGCCGGGTATAAACCAAAATCACGCCAAAAGCAGGCAGGGGCACTCGCTGGTAGACAGCAAAACCTGCGCTTAGGCGTTACTTTATCTAAAAGATAGACGCTTGGGGTAAAGTCCGAGAGAAGCCATGTAAGCCTCTTGCGGAGGGTCCTGCGAACAGCGGGGCGGGAGCGACCAGCAAACTGGGGGATTTATTCTGCCTGTTAGCGGGTCCCGCGCCTGCGAGGCTGATTCCCAGTCTGGCGAGGGCAGTTGACGGCCAACAGCGGCCCGATGCCCGCCGGTGGGGAGCCCGAGGCCTTGCAGCGCGCCGGGAGTCCTTGGCAGAGCCACGGTCCCCCGCCGTTGGAAATATGCTCTCTGGCGGTAGCTCAATGCAGTGCAATGCGCAGGGTGCTCGCAGCAAGTGCGGGCATTCACCCAATTCGGATTAATTTGCTATCTACCCACCTCCCCAAAAAAAGAAAGAAAGCAGAGCAAAAGCAGTGTCTGCGCACGCAAGAAACATCGAGTCCGGGCACGGTGGCTCCAGTTATATTTGGACGCGGCGACGCGTCGCAATAGCAGCCCTGTCTTGGAGGACCGATTACGAAACGACACGGTCCCCTGTTACTCGGCAATTGGACACGTCCCAGAATAGACGTTTGGGTGCCTTGCCCCTGGCCCCTTGCTCTGCGTGAGAACCTTTGGCACCCGAGGATACTTGCCTGAGCCAGACTATTGCGAATATGTCGATCATAGGCCAACAAATGCCCTTTTGACTGTTGTAGCGCCTTTGCCTCCCTCCCCAACCCTCTCTCGGCCTAGACGCTTGGCCGCATTGGGCCGCAGTGTTGGACGGTGCTGCGCCGATGAGTGCTTCATCCCCCGTGCGCTCAACGTGCGCATCGTTCCGGAATTTCCTTTTTGTTTCAGCGTCAGAGAATAGGCACGGTGGAGCGAGGGACTGCGCACACCCAGATATATAAGCTCGCAACAGGCCCCACTGCTCTTGCTGTTTCCACATCCATACAAACAAGTCAACATCAATATCAACATCAACACTCGTAATTTCCAGCAATGCCTTTCACCAAGATCTTCTCCAAGTCCAACAAGTCGACCCCGGCCAGCTCTGCTGCCCCGACCCCGGCTGGTTCTGCCTCTGTCACCCCGCGCGTCTCGACTGAGATGCTCCGCGGCCACAACGACCCGATGGCTGCCCTCGAGAAGCTCCGCAAGGAGCACTTTGCTGTTGCCATGTCCCGTGCATACATCCGCTGAACTAGTGTGCGAATGACAGCACCTCCCTAGGTTCTGCTTGTGCCAGCCTTCTTGTAAATACCAACCACGCTGGTACGTTAGTGGAGAATAAATAAACTACATATGCGTATATTGAAAAACAGCAATGTCTGGTCTTGATTGAACAGAGTAGCAGTAGTGAATATACCAGTTTAAACCTTGGTAAGGCGAAGACGCATCGGTTCCCCGTAACGCAGACTGCGCTTGTCTTCACAAAACCCGATACGACCAACAGATGCCATTACCCACTTGCAGAGGGCATGCGCTGATCCGCTCCACCTAGTAAGGGGGGCATCGTTGCCATTGTAAGCAACCTGCAGAGTCTCAGCCGGTTGCAGGCACGTATCGCAGACACGGATGCCCATCATATCGTCTATCGGGTAGTGCGAACGCTTGCTATTGTGTTTCAGGAAGACAATGCAGTTGATCGTCTCGCATGTGAACAGTCAGCTAGGGCCCAGGCTTGCCACAAACGCCTCATCAAATGAAATGATGATACAATCTTCCTCGGGCTCATAGTTTCCAACATTCTCGCCATCCTCATCTCCATTGTCACTGCTCTGATCGCGCAGCATGGAAAGAGTACCTGTGCTGCGTTAATACTTTTCTTGATCTGCAACACGAACTCGGCCTTGAGAGCTTTGCCGGATATGTAGCAATTGTCGATATCGTTGACATCAATATACGTGACTTTGTTGAAAGATGTAATATTGAATGTAGAGAAAACACATTTTCAATTGCGCTAAACCGGTATAATATACATTTCGAGGGGATACTGGATAGTAATAACTATAGCATACAAAGTACTATCCAATAACAATTGTCACACTGTAGCATAACAGCGCTATCATTCATATGACATGTAAAAATGTTGTAACGAAGGCTCCAGTCCATCTACTCTGCATTAGCATTTTCAACAAACACATATTCTTCACTCATCCGATACCCTACTTTTCCAATTACAAAGTAAGCCATATCTGGTATCCGTTACCTCGGAGCCATTCTGCACGAGAGGCGAAGAGTCTTCCACTACACGAGGGGTCTAGAAAGATCGCAAAAAGACAAAACTGATAGTTCTGATTCTCAAAATGCAGAAACCAGATATGAAGCTATAAACCTAGGCAAAGGCGACCAACGTTACAGGCTACCCGAAAGTAAAGGACCCATGTCGGCTGGTGAGATTATTAAGATGAAGGCTAATGAGGGTATCCCTTGACTCAAATCGGCGTTTGTCAGTGCTGGATCCTTGTCGTGGCACACCACTTTGCTTTGATAGTCAAGGTTCATAATGCTTTTGGCAATAAGCTGTATCACATGCAGCTATCTAGTAAACTTGTCAGAAGTGACCATTGGATTACACACATGTGGGTATCCGTTTTGTAGACACCAAATAAAGAAAAACAGAAGCTTAAGGAATTAGAAAAAAAGCGACCCGTTGAATTTTTGCAACCTATTGTTTTACGCACTGTTCGAGATTGACTCCAGTGCCTTGTGGGCGTAGAACCTGACATCGGGGTCGGGGTCCTCCTCGAGCTTGGCAAGCACAGTGCGGATGGTGGTCTGCTCGAGCGGGGCGGTCTCCGGGCTGGACCTGAGAACGCTGGCCAGAGGCTCCATGCTCTTGGCAACGTTGAAGCGGATATTGGGGATCGGATCGGTAACTAGGCTCTCGAGGGCTGGCAGGATCAGGTCGCGCACGATCTCGGGTGTCACCGACGGCGCAATCGCTGTGATGGCAAAGATAGTCGTCATGCGGTACAGGTAGTTCGGGTGGCTCGCCATGGCCAGGATCTTGGGGATGATAGTGGTGCGCGCCCACGCAACACCAAAGACCTCGGTCAGCTTCTTTAGGTTCACGGTCGCCGCCTCGCGGATCGAGTATACCGGGTCGCCAAGCCACGACATGCACAGGTTCGATAGCTGCTCGTCAAAGAACTGCACACCAAGCTGCGACGAGATCAGAGGAACATACTCGATAATGGCCAGCCGCACGCGCCACTGCTTGTCCTCGGCCAGCTCCACAATGGCGGGCAGCAGCGACTGGGACAGGCTGTCGATGCCGACTACACTGTCGACTACATCCAGCTTCGAGATCACGTTGAGGCGGACATCGGGGAAGCTGTCCTTGAGCAGACGCAGGAACAGCGGCAGCAGGTGCTCGATGGTCCCCTGCTTGCCAAAGACGCGACACAGAGTTCCGATATGCTTGGCCAGCGTGGCACGCACGTGCTGCGACTGGTCCTCGACCAGCTCCTGCAGCGGGGGCAGGAAGCGGGCGGCGACATTCTCCGAGTTGGCCAGGTCAGCCAGGCCATCGAGCTGGGTGCAGATGGCGCTGCGCACCTCGGCTTCGTTGTCATGCATCAGGCTGACAGCCACGTTGACCAGCTCCTCCTGAATTTCCTTATCCTTGATGCTCTTTGCAATGGCCACAAAGTGGTCTGCCACCATGTACCGCACGCGCCACGACTTGTCGCTGCACAGCTTCTGTACGCTGTCAGTCAGGCTCTGCCGGCACTCCTCGGTTGTCAGCCGCTCGCCAATGGCCACCAGGGGCTCGACGGCCAGCAGGCGCACCGAGTCCTGGTCGTCCTCGGCCAGCCGGCGGAAGTTTGGAATGGCAAAGCTGACTACATGTGACTTTTCAACCCTGGTCACCAACCCAACAAGGTTAGAGGCTGCTGCGCGCCTGATCATCGGTGTCTCGTCCTTGCATAGGGCCTCGTAGCCGCCGCGAAGCTGCGCCTGGATAGCGTCGGTGACCTTGCCGTAGGCAGCCGCGTACAGACCGGCTGCTGACGAGCGGCTTGTAAACCATTCGCCAGTCGACAGGCGTGCAATGCACGGAATAACATACTCCTCAACCTGGGGCTGGTCCATTGCCTCGATAAGCTTGTTGATGGACTCAACCGCCTAAATGAGTGGAGCGAGGTTAGTAACCGGTATTTAACGCCGCAGGTGTCCACGTAAGCGCTCAGAAATTTGCTTTGTATTTACCTTCTCCCGCACCACTGTCTCCTCAGCAGCGGCTAGATTCTCGAGCGGACGCAGCAGGACATAGGCGTATTTGGGGCCACCAACGTACTGCACGAAATTGCCCAAAACCTCGGCCAGCGACAGCAGCAGCTCATCTTCGTCGTCAATTGATTCGTCCAGGAATGGAACAAGCTCCTCGCGTGTGCGCTCCTCGCCCATAGCCAGTGCCAGCACATTCAGGCGCTTGAGGCTCTCGAGGCGGTCGGTCAGGCTGTCCGACTTCATGGCATCGGCGATTGCGGCCAATGCGCCGAGATCTCCGGATTGTGCATCTTGGAAGTCGTAGGCAGGCTGGCCCGAGGCCATCGGCTGGTCGACAGACATTTGCTCAGCCATTTAAGTTGTTGGAATAAAAATGTGTCAAAGGGAAATAGTGTTGAGATGGGAAAAGAAAAAAGAAAAAGGAAGCAGCGACAAGAGGAGAAACTGGTTGCTGGGCGAAAAAAAAGGGCACAAACAACGCAGGTGTGAGGTACAAGCAGCAAACTCGGCTTAGGGGGGACTCAGGCAGCAGTGATTATAATTTTAATCTCAGAAAGCTCTATGCGAAGACCAGGCAGCAGCCGTCGTCGGACGCTGTGACGATTGTCTTGCCGTCGTGCGACAGAGCAAAGTCCATGATGCCCTCCTGGTGGCCCTTCCAGGTGCGCACGGCCTCGCCGGTGCGGGCATCCCAGGTGCGCACGGTGCAGTCGAGCGACACCGAGGTCAGCATCGGCGAGTTCTCGTGCCACAGCAGCTTAGTGACGGCATCGTCGTGCTGCAGCGTGGTGCGCAGCCGCATGGTGTTGATGTCCCAGATGCTCAGGCTACCGTCGACAGAGCCGGTGGCAGCCAGGGGCAGGACCGAGCACAGACCGACTGCCTCGACCGACTCGGTCGCGTTCTCAAACGAGCCGAGGATGTTGCCGTTGGTGTGGACAAGCTTGGCAGTGTTATCCATGGAGCCGGTGAGGATGGTCTGGTCGTCCTTGGCGATGGCCAGGGATGTGATGCCTTCCTGGTGGAAGCGCTCGTCCTCGGGCGTAAACTGGCGGACGATTGAGGCAGACTTGGGGTCCCAGATGATCAGGCTGCCGTCCTCAGAGCCAGAGACGATGTTGCGGCCGCTGTTGGTGAACCGTCCGCATGTGACAGGCGCGCTATGGCCATTGAACACGTTCATGAACTCGCCTGTGGGCAGCGACCACATCCACATGGACGCGTCGTTGGCTCCGGCCAGCAGAACATTGCCCTTCGGGTGCCAGTTGATCCACTGGATCTCGTCGGGGCCCTCGAGCACCGCACACTTCTCGGTCAGCCCCGACTTGTACACGTTGATCTTGCCGTCCATGCCGCCGGTGGCCACCAGCAGGCCGTCGTGGCTGAACTTTGTGGAGACCACCGAGTCCCCGTGCTTCTCGAGCTCAAAGAGCTGCTCGCCGTTGTCAACACGCCAGATATAGGCCTTGTCGTCACCGCCGCCGCTGATGATGATGTTCTGGTCGGTCGGGTGCATGTCGATGGAGAACACAGGCTCCTTGTGGTTGAAGAATCCCTGGATGGAGTCGTCCTCCAGCAGAATTTCGTTGTCGGCGCTTGGCCCAGCCTCCTGATCGTCGTCCTCGTCCATCATGTCCTCGTCCATGGGCTCGCCAGAGTCCTCGACATCTTCGGCGACGTCGTTCTCATCGACGTAGGTCTCGTCGTGCTCGGCCTCGTGCTCGTCGACGTAGGTGTTGTGCTCCTCGGGGTTCATGGTTAAAGTATAGACAATATTGTATAGAAAAGCTGCGTGTATCTAGGGAGTAGAGTGAGAAATGCGGCAGCGTCTGCGGCCACCACCGCTGCACGATTAGAAGCTGTCGGTGCTGACAAACCGAGCGAGGGAGAAAAAAAAGTGGGCCATGATCCGCTGATTCCAAATCAGCATCGTTCCATGCTGATCCCAGGCGTTCTGTTTTGTGTCTTTTTTTCAAGCTCCATCCCGACGCTGGTCCAGCGTTCCTCTTCCGCAAAGCCAGTCTTTTCTCGCACCCCCTTTTGTCGTCATTTTCTATAATCATCTTTCACATTAAAACCAGCAAGGGACAATGTCGAGCTCAGCAGTCAAACTAGCCAACCCGAATGCAGAGGTCCTTCGCCGCGGCGATGCATTGGCAATGAACATTAACTCGGCAATCGGCCTTCAGAACGTCCTTAAGTCGAACCTGTCGCCACGCGGCACCCTAAAGCTGCTGGTGGACGGCGCCAACCAGCTGACGCTGACCAAGGACGGCAAGGTTCTGCTGAACCAGATGCAGATCACGAACCCGGTGGCCGTGATGATTGCGCGTGCTGCGACGGCCCAGGATGACGTGGCCGGCGATGGTACCACTGGCCTGGTGCTCCTGGTGGGCGAGCTGCTGAAGCAGGCGCAGCGGTTCATTGACGAGGGCGTGCATCCGCGAGTGATCACCGACGGCTTCGACGCGGCCAAGGTCGAGGCGCTGAAGTTCCTAGAGTCGTTCAAGGTCAAAGAGGAAATGGATCGCGAGGTTCTGGTATCGGTGGCGCGCACGGCGCTATGCACGAAGCTGCAGGGAGAGCTGGCGAACCAGCTGACTGAGGCTGTGGTGGACGCGGTGCTGGCGATCTGGCAGGAGGGCACCCCGATCGACCTGCACATGGTAGAGATCATGAAGATGCAGCACCGCACGGCAACCGACAGCCGGCTGGTGCGCGGTCTAGTGATGGACCACGGAGCCAGGCATCCGGACATGCCCAAGCGCAACAAGAACTGCTTTGTGCTGACGCTGAATGTGTCGCTCGAGTACGAGAAGACCGAGATCAACTCTGGCTTCTACTACAGCTCAGCCGAGCAGCGCGACAAGCTTATCGAGTCGGAGCGCCGGTTTGTGGACGAGAAGCTGCGCAAGATTGTCGATCTGAAGAACACGGTGTGCTCGGGGCTGGACAAGGACTGCGGCTTTGTGGTGGTCAACCAGAAGGGCATTGATCCGCTGTCGCTGGACATCCTGGCCAAGCATGGCATCTTTGCGCTGCGCCGCGCCAAGCGCCGCAACATGGAGCGGCTGCAGCTGTGCTGCGGCGGCGCTGCGCAGAACTCGGTCGACGACCTGAGCCCCAAGGTGCTGGGCCGTGCGGGCTCTGTCTACGAGCACGTGCTGGGCGAGAACAAGTACACGTTTATCGAGGAGTGCAAGGAGCCGAAGAGCGTGACGCTGCTGATCAAGGGCCCCAACGGCCACACGCTGCAGCAGATCCAGGACGCTGTGCGCGATGGTCTGCGTGCGGTCAAGAACGCCATTGAGGACAAGTCGCTGGTGCCTGGCGCCGGTGCGTTCCAGGTCGCCTGCTCGCAGCATCTGCTGAGGCCCGAGTTCCTCCGCACGGTCAAGGGCAAGGCGCAGATGGGCGTCAAGGCCTTTGCCGAGGCATTGCTTGTGATCCCCAAGACCATTGCCACTAACGGCGGCTACGACCCGATGGATGTGCTGGTCCTGCTCGACGAGGAGGTTGGTGACGGCCACGTCGCTGGCATTGACCTCAACACAGGCGATGTGCTGGATCCGGTGCAGGAAGGCATCTGGGACAACTACCGTGTGCTCCGGCAGCAGCTGCACTCGTGCTCGGTCATTGCCACCAACCTGCTGCATGTTGACGAGGTGATGCGGGCCGGCAGGGCGTCGCTGAAGCCGCAGAACCCCGGAGAGTGAGGTGCACTCTACTCCCGAAAAGGAGTATTAGGCTAAAAATACGCTTTCTTTTCCAGACAATATCACCATTATTTGAGCTGCACGCTGTGGGATGTGTCATTCGCTTGCTGACCCATGTACAGTGACGCTATCCGATGCATGTCGGCTGAAGTGCCAGAAGAGACCCGGCCTTGGTATTGCTGTTTTTGGGCGAGAGCTATGGACAGGCAGATCCCGCGCCAGAGAGATCAAGCAGCAGTTGTCAATTTTATTTTCAGCAAGCACAGGGTTGTCAGCCCTTGTGGATGTTTATCTTTGGCACGCGGCGGTGGCAATGCCAAGGTACGAGCACTGGCATGGCTTTAACCAAGAGCAAGTCGCCCCCAAGAGCGCAGCAGTCTGGCCTAAAAATACACAGCATTCGCGAATGCAGCCAGACTTCTTGCCATGCCCACGTTGGCAGAGCGGGATATTCCGACGCGGTGCCCACTGTGCCTGAAGGGTGTTCGATTTGAAAAGCCGAAGATGCATGCTCTGAGTCCACTTGGATGCTAATTATAGTGTTTTGCATCTCTCATTCACCTCGCACTTGGCTCCGCCCAATGGGATTGTATCGCTAAAAATAACCGCCCCTCTCTCCCGCCACGATAGAGGATGGAAAAATTGTTTGCCAAAAAATAATGCTCTTCGCTTTGTGTCTCTCCTTCCGCCTGCTAACCCGAACTTTTGTTTTATCACTTCTCCCCCCGTCTCCTTTTTAATTTTTCATGACCAGTACCAAATAATCCTTTTTATTAACTCTCTTTTTCATTACTCGACAATTTCTCTCTCGATATGGCGTCGCTTCCGGTCCAGCAGAAGAGTCCCAAACGGCCCCCTCCCACGCTGCGCGTGTCCACAGCGCCATTGGCGGCACGGCACCTGAGCATGCGACGACCAGCACCGCTGAAGCTGGCGCGCAACAGCTCGCTGAACCTGCACATCCCGTCGCTGAAGATCTCCGGCGACGAGCCGCAGACACCACTGACTGTCACAGCGGTGTCGCAGCCACAGGCGCCACTACTGCCCCTGACGCCGCTGAGCATTTCGCCACGCACAGGGCAGACAGCAACCGGGCCGAAGCCGGCAATGAGTCTCTCGTTGTCGTCAAAGCCCCGGCTCAATACCCTGGAGGACTCTGGGGACACGGCTATGGCCAAGCGTGCGGCATTGGTGTATGGCGACGGGCCGCGGCAAATCATGGACCTGCTGTTTCTGGGCGGCGAGGGCAACTTTGACGGCATGCAGCTGTCGAAGCTGGCAATTACGCATGTGCTCAATGTCGCCCGCGAAGTGACCGGGCCGATGCGCAGTGGCGAGAATGTGGATATGGCCGGCCATCCCATTGCCTACAGACACTACCGGTGGGACCACGACGAGCCGGATCTGCACAAGTACTTTGACGAGTGCTTTGCATTTATTGATGCCGCGCGCAGCCGCAACGAGAACGTCCTGGTGCACTGCCAGCTGGGCGTGTCGCGCTCGGCGTCCCTGGTCATCGCATATGTGATGCGCACGCTTGGGATGGGGTTCAGCGCTGCCTACGAGTACGTGCAGAGCCGTGCGCCGTGCATTAGCCCGAACCTGTCGCTGATTGCGCAGCTGTGCGAGTACGGCAAGACGCTTGACAGCAAGTCGGACGCAAAGACGCCCGTCACTGCGACCAACCAGCCTGAGCTTGCTGTCAGGACTAGCGGCATGGTGGTGTCGCCAGGGCTGCCCGGGCTTACGCACAGCGCGTCGAGCTCGGAGTACTCGAGTCCTGTGGAAGAGAAGATGGCGACAGTGACACACTCCGGACTAAGTGCTCTGGATGGCATGCCACCACTGCCGCTGCTGCTGCCGGTGCGCAAGCCCACGGTTCCTTCTCACGACACAAGAGTAGAGCCGACTATCGTCAAGTTTCCGTTCCACTAGAGGCGACCAGCCTGCTGGGAGATATGCAGCACTGTTGTATCTCAAATTATTGCCTTGGTTTTTCTGCCAGGTGTCTACCACTGTTTACTTTGTAGCTAGCCCCTTACGGAGCTGGAATCCGACGGGCTATATACCATGGGCATCGGCTGGCGAGTAAAATAATCGAGCCTATTCTTCTTATCCCTTCCAACTCCCTAACCACCACCTACTCTCTTCTATTCCGCCAAACCACCTCCTTCCTCTTCGTCTTCGTCTTCGTCTTTATTCCCTACTCTCTATACTTCAGTGCCCAGGTCTCTCCTTAGTTTCTCTCCTAGTCTTTTCTCTGTGGTCTTTTCTTTTTTCCCTTCATTCAATCCCACTGTATAGTTACCGTACGACATCTCCATCCGTTTTCTCACCTCTGGGCCACCACGCCCCACTAGAAAAAAAGTAGCCGAAGTATTTTTGGATGGCCAATGTCAATCCAACTTTGTGAGTTGTCATTTCCATACCGTGTGCTATATTGGATTCAATTTTGCCTGCATTCTGGGAACCTCGCCCACAGTTCCGCTCTGCACCTGTTATATTGGAAGGGGAGGTGGGGCGGACCGCCGCAGGAGCAACAATACGATAGCTAAAAGCGCAAATCTCGAGGAATAAAACGGGACTGCTAAGACAATGTGCATAGGCTGTGACCGCTTCAATGCAGCTTGAAGATTCCGAAATCGGGCTTGTGGTCCTGGACCCAAAAAAACAATGCCGCCAATGAGACCTGGTCCCATGCCACTGCAGAATGGCAGATGTCCATGATTTTCTGTGCTGAGCTGATTTCATGTCTGGCCAGTGCGTCTACTAGCAAGCTCAGAAAGCTGAATAAAATCATGGAGCAGGACTAGTACCTTCACTTATAGGGTACAGCTCACTAAGAGAGAAAATCCAATATATCAGCGTTGATCGCATCTAGTCACATGAGCTCTCGTTCTTGTAGCTCAGAAGCAAGAGTTGAACAAATCTTTACCTATATATAAGATTTTATAGTCTAAAAAGTGTCCGACCGTCCGCTAGAACCTTTTAAATTGGTTAAAAGATAAACCTCTTAAGCTTCAACACGGATTTAGGTAGCTTGCTCTGTAAACTCCTTTTGATCCTGTGCAGCATCTGACCTCGTCGGTGAAACCAGGGTGACAAGTTGTTATTGTAGTGGTCACAGGTCTCCACTGGATATCTCCATTGGTTCAGCGCAAGAGCTGCTCTCATTGTCGGTCGGCCTGATAACCTCCATGGTGTCATCATGGTGGTCATCACCGGCTGCGCAATGCTCTTAGGATATTTATTTATGAGCACCTATTGAACAAGGCCATATAGCTCTTCTAGTGGTTATGCAATGTTTGTGGGTTTATTTTATAAATTAATTTGTCTTATGAACATGCGTAAGCAGTAGTATTTGGGTCACAATGGATCCAGTCTGTATAGACTGATTCAAGAGACTGTATCAGTGCTAAGGGCCCCAAGAACCATGCAAGCCAGATAATTTTTAATAAAAACGTTCTTAATGCTATGCATACGCAATAAAGCAAAACTGAGCAGCATCATTTCTCTTCTTGCCTATTGAATTTCTCAAATGAATATTACCCGCAGCACTACTGTCATAAAGATATCACTTGGTGGTATTGGCTTCCGTGATTCTATGTTGCCCCGCCCAGAGCAATTTGTATACAGCGTCAATATCATCAAAGAGCATGCATACATGCTTGCACGATGGATACTACTCCATCAGCTAGCTGACGGGGATGCTTTTGATCCTTCAATATTTGTGAAAAAGGGATTCTTTCATTTTATTTATTTATTCATTTATCGCAACCTGAAGGCGAAGACTGTCATATCTGCTGAGGATTTCGTCAACCGGAAGGACAAGTCAGAACTGTCGAGGGCAGATTTCGGTGATGTAGTTAGATATCATATTTATGATTATCTATTACATAATGGCGATATCGAGCTACATGGCGTGCGCGACATGAATCAAGTAGCAACATACGTGGATACTGAGCTGATAACAGCATACAAGAACAACATTGTGTTGCACTATGGCACTTGCCTACAGCGGATTCTGGCCAAATTGATTGATATTCGCAGCCGCAAAAACACACTGCACAGTACAATGGGCAATGTGTCCAAGGCTGAGTTCAATAACGCTTGTCAAGTGTGTATTTATACACCTGCACAGAAGCTCCGCCAGGCAGTTGCCTCTAGGCACCCTGATCTCAGTGTGCTCACCCCACCGATGCTTGCAATCTACAGCAAACTGGCACCAGTCCTTAATGCCTATGATGCCAAGCACAGATTCGCCAAAGACAGCCGATACTATGATGCCAAGGTAAATCCACTTAAGCATCTGCGTGCATACATTCGCCTATGCCAGCTTATCGAGAATGAGCAGCTTGGCAAGTCTCCCCCTCAATGCTTGCCTCTGCGGACATCATGGATCCCAGGCCATGTGCATTTGGACAAGCAAGTAATCAAGCGGGTGTTTGTATCGAAAACACGCGAGCAGGTTACAGGGATCAACGCAGCAAAGAGGGCAGCAACAGAGGCAAGGAAAGCAGCAGAAAAGGGCGAAAATTGGCCAAGAAGGCTGCACATGAAGCAGCGAAGATGCCATCAGATGAAACAGAGGCCACTACAGCAGCTGCAGCAGCAGTCATTCTGGCATGTTCCCAACCCGCGGCCCTACCAGAGATCGAAGAACCCAACTGTGAAGTGCCATGGCCTTCTCCGCTGTACAAGCGAGTCATGTAAGCGGGCCATGGCACAATACAGGCGGGCCTATTCGTCTCAACTCTTGAACCGCGACCTCGCAGCAGTTCTAAACTTCAGGCTCATTTCCCAGTCACTCTGTGATTCAGGCAGTATTCCTGAACGGTTCCATCGTTCTACAGCCATTGCCGCCGATACTTCTGGCACCACTCCGGAAACAAAGAGGCCGCGCAAGAGGCGTGCAGCAGCAGGTGATTCTGTTGCCAGCAGCAGTGAGCCAGCACTGAAGCGCCTGCGCTGAGCAGGCCACCAAGGTGGGAGATCTCCATGATCGATATTGCACCAACAACCATCCGACACCTTCAAATGACTGGTTCGCCGTGATGCTCTTATCGACGTGTCAACCCATGCTGACTAGCAGCCGAGCTTGCATCGCGAGCAGAGCAATTCTAGTAAATGCATGATAAATGAGCATAATCACGCACTTATATAAGCGCAAGTCCCACATCACGCATGTATAAGCGGGATTTATAGTGCCATGTTGCCCATCGACTGGTGTCCAGCACTGAGGCAACAGACTGTGATGGATCACACATTAAGCTCTTCGATAGCGTGCATATCGGTTGCTTAGATGAGGTCATTCCTTGGCCTCCATAAGTTTATCTAGCATTGTCTTGTCGGTATTGACATTATCAGGAGAGCAATGATGGTATGCGAAATGCCATTAGCCAAGTTTGTTGTGTGCTGCCAAATCCGAGCATCTGCACTAACAATCATGATGGCATTGGCATTTTGGGACAAGCGCGCAACAATGGGCGCTCTAACCCACCTAAAGAATAGTAGGCAGTCAGGCTCGGATTTGTGGCCATATGCCAAGGACCTATGTTATCCTCTTTCCGTTCTCTCTTCTGTTCTTGAAGTAAAACAACCTATTCTGAATCCAGAAATCAACATTTGCTTAAATTATATATGCTACTCACTGATCTGATTTTTGTGTAGCCGAAGCATAGAAATAGACAATCATCTCTGTAACCAAAACAATCGGTTTCCATAAATACCCAGAGCTGCTCTTATCTCCCTTTCACTTTCATACTTTTCTTCAGCTGCTCCAGTACTTTCCAATTGCACTCTTTGCGTCACTCTATCCATGTACCCACTCGCCCAATCCCCACCAATGCTCATCCTCGAACGGATTGTATTCTTTTACGTTGGAAATCTCATGTATTTTGAGCCTGGCCCGAATGCCTGCTTCTGCGCTCCATATACTCGCCTTGCCGCCATACTTGGAGTCTGTCGTTCGTGGCGAGAGGCTGGATTAGATAAACTCTATGAGGAGCTTTGGTGGTGTAATGTGCACAGCTGCACCTTCTGTAATATGCGGAGTTGCTGTGGTCGAACACTTACACACAAACTCCATGGGTCAATATCGGCTGGCAATATACTTCGCGTGAGAAAACTGAGGCTTCACTGGGATGTCGCAACTATTGCAGACGGATTATTAAATGGTGTGTTCCAGACTGCTCCATTCAGTCACACATTCCCCAAGGCTACTTCTGTTGAATGGTCTTTTTGGTGCGGTGGTGAACGAGTCGATGCTAGTACTCCTGTTGAATCAGCGCTTGCCAACGCATTCTGCAGCCATATCTCTAGGATATTCCCAGATACAAATAGCATTACGATATGCGAATCGCCACTGTTCGCCGATCATTCAGACACCCCATTTGCTCGTAGCCTTGTGTCAGGCCTGCTTGACCAAGCAACCTCGATTGAGTGCCACGCGTCATTGCCGGCAGGCATTGATCCCATCTCTATTTGTATGATGAACATGCGCAGTTTATCATTCACCATCCGGAGCGCAGATTCATTGGCTATTGAGGTGATACACCGTAACGCATCTTCACTTGAAGTACTTCAAGTGCATAGCAGCGTAGCTCTAGTGTTCTCCAAACTCGTTCTTGTGGACGGCATTCCTAAAGTGTATCCGTCTGTTCAATCTCTGTCACTGGACTTTTCTAATCCGCGCGAATCCGACATTAATATCCCCCTTGACTCACCCGCAGGGGCTCCTTTTCCAGCTCTCAAACAGGTGGAATTGTATTCCTTGTATCCTTTCGGTAACGATGTGGTATTTAGGGGGTGCAGGCTAACACTTGAAATTATCGATACATCTCTGGATGAACAAAGCACCCAGGTTTTGGTGAACCATGGTGTATTTGATCCTGACCGTTTTCCCCTATTGTCAGACCTTGCGATATTTTATTTTGAATCCATTTTTCAAGAGCCCAAGAAGGAAATACTCAGCCCCCTCATCTGTCTCGGAGCCAAGTTAAGAGTTTTGAACATTTATACCAGTTGTTACTCGTTCGATAGCTTAGAGCTCCCCATCGGGATATTTGGCCAGAACATCACGGTTCTCAAAATCCCATTCATTAGTTTTTCACTCCACCAGGCACTGCAGCTTATACAGACACTGCCATATCTGCGATGGATGGCGATTGATATTGATAGTACCGACGAGATGCTCACCGACGATGGCACACATAGTGGCTGCATGAGACACTGCCGCCATAGATGGCTCGAAGATTACCAACTTGGCGATAGCAACGGGAGCACTGCAGATGGTGATTCGGACAGAGAGGATATCAGCGGCCAACATCACAATCAGCAGGGCGATCTATACCACAGAGATTACAGTGGTAACTCTTCACAGAATGGGGAACTGCACGATTTCCTATTCGACCATTTGGATGTGGTGTACGCAAATATGCAGTTCCTGGATAAGCTCTACGCAGATTTCTACCCGCTGTCGACAACGCTAACCATTCTGGAAAACCCCCACTGTGATGAGCAGAAGGTAGCGATATGCAGGGCAATCATAATTCTCATGGTACTTTGTCCAAGCATTCGGTATGTTCACCTCGATCGGGTAACTTGGCAGGATGGCTTATACCACATTTGCAGAGGATGAAACCATTGCCCGCTCGAAGGTAGTGGAGACAGAACACCATTCTAGCCTTGTGCATAATCTCGAGAGTGCCATTTATACTGGTAACTAGCTATTCGTTTTGGCTCAATAGATTTATGGTCACACCTCAATGAGATATATCCTGTCGTCGGAGTGCTGTTGCTACACTACGCCATACTGATGTTCAGGTGTGGTGCTGTGAGTAATCATTGATTAAGACCACTACCATATGAGAGTGGCTACACGGCTCACACAATGGAAACAGCTGTCGTATATGCTAGTTTGTGCTCATTTAAATTAAAGTGAATCTCTGAACTATAGCACTATAGCTGCCAACACAAGGTTGAATTTACCGTCTCACCAGCTGTATTCCCAGAGTCGACGCATGAAGGGACCACCATAAGCACAATTGCCTGTGTACAACACTCCTACAGACTGATACCCTGCTTGACACATCCAAGAGCTCTTCTGCCCCTCCACCATACTCGTCTATTCATACCATAACGCAATTGAATACAAGGATAAAATGAGTATACCAAAGGACACCGATCCTTATAGTTCTAAATTTCTGCTATTCGCGGAGAACTCGCTACATTCGTTCTTATAGTTGTCTTCAGTAGCGAGCAGGGGCTGTGTGTGCTCCATGAGCGCATCAAAGGTGCACATGGTGCTGCCCATCATGGCGTTATGCTTTCTGGGATTCTTGTACGTCTGCACATGCAGTATGCAACCATTGCGCTCGATATGCAATGTAGTTTCTGCCTCCTCCGCAATCCCTGGGCAGCAGTGAAGGCCAGTATTGATGCGAATGGCATCTGCTCTTTGCTCTGCCTGCCCATGGTGGTAGAGGGCTACGCTTGTGGCTTTGAGGTAGGTCATAGATTGATCTGATTGATGCACATAAATCCCTGATTAGGATTCTGACGACATACAACCTTTTGCAGGGCATCAAGGAATCTCTCACTCCATTTATCGTACAGAATATATTCCTTTTGAAATGATGGACGATTCAAATGTAGACAAGACCCTGCTGCATGTGGCTACGGCACACGGCCTCGACGAGCTCAGTACGGCGGTCAGCCAAAGCGCGCTAAGCCCAATAGCTCTCCTGTCAGCGGTGCCTGAGACCACTAGCGCCAGCGACCTGGCAAGCGTTCTGCGGACAGGCAACAGAGGACGACACAACGGAGATCTTGGGAACCGAGCAGTGGGCAGCATCATGCGTGGCCCGTGCTGAATCAATTGACCTATGCACGGGCCGACTGGACTGGGCAGTGAGCTGGCTCGAGGCGGCACTCAGCCTGACAACCGGTGCGCAACAGGTCGTTGAGCGTGCACTGGCCAATGCTCGGATTCTCGATGCTGTGATTGCGCTCGGCGGGGATGATACCAAGGAGCTGAGCGATGTCAATAGAATGAGCGATCTGGAGCTCGTGCAGTGGACGGTGGAGCTGGCCGAGGCGGATCTGGTAATGATTGAGGTGCTAGATATTGTGTGCGCTGAAGCCAATGTGCGGGACGCCTGGAATACGTGGTGGGCAAAGCGTGTGGATGTAGCTGGAGCGCCGTTCGTGCAGCTCGTTTTCGGGCGCTACACGGAGCTGTTTGACAGCAATGTCGTCCTGGCGGCCATGTATGCAATTGGTGGAGGATGCAGCAGTCTCGATGGCGCGCGGGTTATTTTGCCACATCTAGCTAAAGCACTGGGCGTGGAGGAGGCAAGCCAGAGCGTGCACTTTGCGACAGATGTGCTTCAAAAGTTTGCAGATGCCAGTGCACATATTCTGATAGACGAGCTACAGGGTCTGTCGGAGGGCCAGGTCTGTGGGGTTGTTGGTGCAGGACTAGCTCAGATCAGGGCTCTGGAACTGCTGGCATTGTTTGGGCTGGTGACTGATCTGCCTGCGATCGTGGCATGCCAGGGCAGGGTTGAGGACCAGCGGCGGGTGCTGATCCGGCTACTTGCCTCGGCCCAGCGTTCAGCTATCACCGAGAGCGTGTCGCTGTGGGAGACGGTCCTGTCCCTGCACTCCCTGGATCTGTTCAGCTGTCTGTCTGTGGACGATCTGAAGCAAGAGTATCTGCGATCGTTGCTGAATAACGAAGAATTCGATCCAGGCGCGCGATCTTATTAACGCTCCTCCGCAGTTTATCGACGAAGCGGTTGTCCGGGACATCGTGTGCCAGTGCGTCAGCGAGCTGTTTGACAATGCCGAGTCTGGCAACATGGACGGGGGACTGATGAGGGCAGCCCAGCAGTGCCTCGATGTCTTACCTGCACGGTGGCAGGACGATCCGGCTGTGCAGCACGAGCGGCAGCTGATTGATGCTGCGCACCTTACATGGACACTGCAGCAGTCAGGGTCGTCGATTTTCAACCGCGGGCGCGGCGCTGACTCTGGTGTGCTGCCTATTGAAATCCGGCTCGCAGCAGATCTATATGAGCTCATCAAATGCATACTGGACCGGCAGCCGCAGGGATACAAGAAGCCGAGGATTGTGAAGGAGATTGCCAACAAGCTGCGTGGAGTCAACGAATCAAAGGGGCTGCGCAACTTGGGCGTCGGCTCCGTCTCGGATGCCTTTGTCACGGGCCTGCTGTTGGATGCTGCGACAGCGCAGCGGGATTACTCTGCCGCATACGAGTTTGCGCGGCAGCTGGGCAATGCGCGCACAGTCTTGGACCAGGCGCTGAAGGCTGTTGAGGCGTACCGCTCAGCGCAGCTTTTGCATGAGGCCAGGGTGGGGATTGAGCGGCCGGTTGAAGTGCGGGCGGTGGAGCAGGCATGGACCGCTTGTGTGCGCCTGGCTGATGCCTGGGGTGATAGCAGCGGTGTCGGCGAAAAGCGGCTGGAGGTGATTTCGTTGGCACTTAGCTTGTGCCCAACTGGCAAGATCCCGGAGCTGCTGAAGCTGTGGAACCAGGTCCAGACCGATGTGCTGGACAGCAGGGCCGATGTGCTGCTGCCATGGGTAGAGTCTGCCTCAGCTGAGGCCAGCATCTTGGATGTCATGGTTGGCAGCCAGCACGAAGTTGCTGAGGATCAAGGGCAGCGGTCCGTGGCTGGCGAGTCGGTTGACTTTGAGAGCATGCGCACATTCGATCCAGCGATTATCAAGAGCAGCTTGCGCCAGGCGTCCGATTCTCATACACGGTGTGGCCTGCTGATGGAGTGGCTCGAGTTCGCCATGACCACGGCCAAGGAGCCAAAGACCGACAAGGCAGCTGCCTACAAGGCACGGGTCGAAGCAGAGATTGTCCAGAAGCACACCGCCAAGGCATGCAAGGTTCTTGCAGACAAGGTGGTTTTGCAGCTCGACCAGACAAACTACTTTGCGATGGAGACATTTTATGCTTTTCTTGCCAGGTGCCTTGAGCGCAACGGGGATTCCGAGGGTGCCGAGCAGGCGGGGGTGCGCTCTGAACTGGCAAGAGGTATCAGAAGGTGTTGAAGCGCTTGATTCGCTAGAGTTCAGCATGCTTATCGGTTTGGTTACTGGGCCTCGCATCGAGCTGGGTGATGCGCTCAATGTGCATTCGGTCTCGGGTATTGCTGGTCTGGTGCCGCTTTTTGTTCAGCTGCAACACCTGCCGGCTGTTGACGTTGAGCGCGAGACAGAGGCTGTTGCATGGGACCCTAGCGAGATGACGAGTCTGCTATATCTACATGTTCTGGACGCCATCCTGGACCAGATCACCCGGTCCTCCAGCCCCGGCTTGCTCACGGCTCAGTTTGTAGCACTACTGGCCGACTACCTGCCGCAGATGCAGCCCAAAGACATTTCTGGGCTGGTGGACCGTTTGGTATTTGAACATTCTGTGGCCAGCAGGATCGAGATTGCCAGCCGGCTAGAGGCGGTGCATCTGTGTGCCGAGCAGGCTGGCGGCGTGGCAGACGTGGGGCTGTCGTTGGTCGAATTCATTGGGACGCTGTCCGATATCCGGGATCCATTCACATTTGGCAGCATGCCCGACGACTGGGTTGGCAAGTTTGACGCTCTGGAGATCGACAAAGGCGATGCCACGATGCTTGGCAGCAAATGCGTCGACACTCTGGTCGGGATGATTGGGCAGCATGTTCCAGCGTACTTTGTCTGCCAGGCATATTTGCTGGTTGTTGGCGTGGTGCACAGGTGGTCTGCAGAGGAGGCAGTCCCTGAACTGGCTGACATTTACGTGCGCGCCCTCGACAACGCAGTTGATCTGGCTGGCCAGCTGGCCGGCGAGCGGGTGCAGTCGATTGCCGAGCCACCCTTGGAGCTGTGCACCTTCAACTATGGCGATGACTCGCTGGGCAGCGTACTCCAGCAGTTCAAGCAAGAGTTTGGCATGCAGCTTGCCGACGCCATACACGGGCGGCGGAGCGGCAGTGCGCTGAGCAGCTCGACCAGACTGGTTCTGCTGGAGATCTACAGGAGGCACTACCCGGAGTCGCCGCGGGCATCGATGCTGTCGATTGATCGGTCAGCCGCAGCCGGCCGCCAGAGCGTGGATATCAGCGATGCCGATCTGCTGCAGTTCCAGCTGCTGGCTGACAAATACTGGGCTCGTGATTTCAAAAACGACGAGGGCAGGAGGCTGGACGAGCGGTGCGCAATTTGGAAGCAGCTGCTGGGGCAGAGCACTACCGATGAGCAGATTGACACTCTGGCTGGTCTGCTGGCCCAGTGGCACTCGGCTGACCAGGAATCGGCAGATGTTGCCGCGTGTGCTGCGCAGTTGCTTGGCTGGGCCGTGCGCAGCAAAAAGCCACAGCGCGCTGTGGTTGCGGTTTTGGCGCATTCGGCCTGCTTTACAAGCCTGGCCGGCGACCAGGCGTTTGAGCAGCTGCTGGAGGAGGCGCAGCAGGACCCGATGCTGGCTGGGCCGCTGGCGCTGCTGGCACTGGCGTATCCCGACCAGGCATGGGCCGAGCGGTGCCTGGAGTCGGCCATTTACGTGATGATGATGGCTCCAGCCAGCGAGAGCGAGATTGAAGGCACTGAGGGCTCTAAGGAGCCCGGCAGCGACGATGGTGATGAGGAAGACGACGAAGATCCGTGGGGAATCGAGGATGTCGAAATTGGCGACGACGAGGAGGCGGGCGCAGAGAAGGACGAGGAGAAATCTGGGCCATCGCCTGCAGAGTTGTTTGCAGCAGCGCACGGCGATTCTGACCAGCCCTGCCCTGCATGTGGCGATCATGATCCGTGGCTTTGTGCCAGCCAGCCTTGCGAACCCGGCACTGCTGGATGCGCTGGAGAGCACGCTGATGTACCAGCGCAGGGCTGTCGCCTCGGACCCTGCCTGCCAGGCCCTGCTTGGTGCGCTGATCCAGACATCGCATCTCGCCGGGACCGCCCCCATCGACGAGCTGTTCCGGCGGACGGTGCACACCATGAGTGCAGTTGGCATGGAGGACCGTGCGTTGCTGTGGATATACGAGTACTTTGGCATCTCGCCTGTGCAGCGGTTTGCTGCCAGAGCAGGCACTGTCAAGCGCTGGCTCGGGCACCTGGACCGCGTGCTGCTGGGGGAGGAGTACGAGCGCAGGGACGAGGCACAGAAGGCGGGCGGTGGGCCGTTGGCTGTAGACGCCGAGGACGATGCTGGCTGGGGCGAGAGCGATGTGGATCTGGACGAGGAGATCGATATGCCGCCTGCTGCCAAGGAGCCCGAGCAGGCTGTGAGGCCGACTGCCAAGGAGCTTGGCGTGGAACCCAGTTGCTGCGGCAAAGGCAGAGGACGACGATGGACGATGACGACGAGGGTGGGTGGGGTGACGACGGCTCTGACATTGACCTGGACGCCGACCTGGAGCGCCTGTAGTTTTCCCCCGATCAATTAATGCACACGCATGGTTTTGAAACTATGCATTTCTCTCTTTCTGTTGAACTTTTGCGCTTTCATTTCCTTATACTTTCCCCCCTTCTTTTCGTCAGACTAACACAACATTGCAAATGGACACGTATTTGAGCAAATTGCGTGGCCTGGCGTCATCCGCGGCAAATGCAGTGCAGAGCAAAATCGGGCGCGACTACGATGTCAACCTCAGCACCTCACCGATAGGCGAGTCCGGGCTGTGGTCGCTGTTCCGGGCAACGCGCCGCAGCACCAACCAGCAGGTCACAGTGTGGGTGTTTGAGAAGCGGTTCTTTGAGCAAGGCATCAACCGGCAGCTGTTCACGCAGCGCGAGCAGAACCTGGTGCTGGGGCTGCTTAAAGGCGAGGCCAGCCAGCTGACGCGGCTCCGGCACCCATCAGTGCTGCAGGTGGTTGAGCCATTAGAGGAGACGCGCGGGTCATTGATGTTTGTGACGGAGCAGGTCATCGCCAGCCTGGACGATCTGGTGAATGCTGACAACAAATACCGCAGCGGGTCCGGGTGGGGCAGCAGCGGGCGGATGGTCGACGGCGAGCAGTTCGAGTTGGACGACCTGGAGATCCAGAAGGGCCTGCTGCAGGTGACCAAGGGGCTTGAGTTTCTGCACCAGGACGCCAAGATCGTGCATGGCAATCTGGTGCCAGCCAGCATTCTGATCAACGCCAAGGGCGACTGGAAGCTGGGCGGGTTTGGCTTTGCCAAGCACGTCAACTACACATCACAGCAGGAGGAGCGGGTCCAGTTCGAGCACGACTACCAGATGCCCAGCCATACGCAGCAGGACCTGGACTATCTGGCGCCCGAGTTTGTTTTGGAAGGGAAGCGCATGTTCGCTAACGACCTGTTCTCGCTTGCATGCCTGGCCACGGCTGTCTACTGCGAGGGCAGGTCGCTGCTGGACTGCCGCAATGACGTGGGTGCGTATAGGCGCGAGATCGGGCGGCTAACGCCCGACAAGTTTGCCAAGCTGCCGGACCATCTGGTCGCGTCTGTGCAATCGCTGCTGACGGCGAATCCGGCGCAGCGCCTGACGCTGCAGCAGTTCCAGGGCAGCAAGTACTTTGACAATGTGCTGGTGGCGACCATCCGGTACTTGGAGGCGATTGTCGAGCAGCCGCAGGAGCAGAAAATCGCCTTCATGAAGGGCCTGCCACGGGTGCTGGGCCAGTTTCCCGACCGTGTTCTGCGACGCAAAGTCCTGCCGGCGCTCATTGACCAGACCAACGACCACGGGCTGCTGCCGTTCACGCTGCCCAATGTTTTCAGGATCGTCGAGAAGCTGTCGGCGAGCGAGTTTGTCAGCCTGGCATTGCCGGGCCTCAAAGCCGACGTTTTCGATCCTGGATCCGCCGCAGACCAGCATGGTTTTGCTGGAGAACCTGGAGCTATTGCAAAAGAAGACTCCCGCAGCAGTGTTCAAGTCGGACGTCATGCCGTTGCTATACACTGCTCTGCTGAGCACAGTGCCGCAGGTGCAGGACAAGGCGCTGCAGGCGGTCCCGACGATTGCCGAATCGGTAGACTATGCCGACCTCAAAGACCAGGTGTTCCCGCGGGTCCAGCACCTGTACAGCAAGGCCAGCGTTCTGTCGCTAAAGATCCGGGCTCTGATCTGCCTGCATGGGATGCTGAAGGCGCTGGACAAGGGCACTATAGCCGACAAGCTCCTGCCCATGCTCAAGCGCACAAAGACGCGCGAGGCCGGCATGGTGATGACAATGCTGGTCATGTATGAGGAGATTGGCCTAAAGTACGTCGACAAGGACACTGTGGCAAAGGAGATCTTGCCGCAGCTCTGGGTGCAGGCCGTCGAGTCGCAGCTCAGGGTGGACCAGTTCGACAAGTTCATGGGGGTGGTCGCCAAGCTCACCGACAAGGTCAAGGAGGAGATGCGCAGGCAGCTGGCTGGGCTGCAGCGCATCGAGGAGCAGACGGCGAACATGAGCATCAGCGGGGATGGCGCCTGGCGAGTGGGGCGGGCCTGACGAGGACCTGGGGTCGAACGACGGCGGGTTCGCGGCGCTGGTCAACGGCGATTCGGGCGTAATGCAGAATCCGCTTGCCCAGACGCCCAAGGCATCGACGAAGCCGATGCAGAACCCGCTCGCGCCGTCCCCTGCCACATCCACCAGCGGAGACAACTCTGGCTGGGAGTGGGACTCGCCGACCTTTGCCTCGAACCCGCCGCTCTCGCCGACCGCAGCCAAAAAGTCGCTGGGCAAGACCGTACCAGTGGACAGCGATTTCCTCGGCTCTTCTCCCTCCGCAAGCCACGACGACTTTGGGTCGTTTGGGTCGTTTATTCCGCCGCCCAAGGGGTCTCTGTCGGCTGCATCGGGAGCCCAGATGGCAAAGAATGTGTCGTCGCGGCTTCGCACAACGCCAGCTTTTGGCCAGCACGGCAGGGAAGCTGGGCGCAACTAAAATATCGCCGGGCCTGGGCAGCGGATTCGGAGCCATTCCGCCGCCGCCGCCAGCGTCGTCGTCGGCAGCCAGGCTGCCTGTAGCCAAGCCGAACTACAATATCGGAAATTCGTTTGCTGGCATGCAGGCCAAGCCGATGCAGCTGAATTCGGTGCTGGTTCCGACTCCAAAGGGCACATCCGCCGGAGATCACCGCGGCTCGCAGTCGCATGCCGGCGGCAAGGCCTCTCACTTGGGACGACTTTGATCCGTTTGCATAATGTGTTATTGAAGGAGCTGCAGAGGCATGTGCACCAAGACATGGGGGGGGTTGAAAAGCTATAATACAATTGTTCGTTTCCGTTGCCTGGGATCGTCCCATGGCAAAAAAAAAGTCATAACAAGCCTGGTGTGTTCCGGGGGAGGGTGTGGGCAACTAATGCCAACCATGCTGCAGGAACATGCTCTGCCTACATAAAGCAGAAGCCCCTGTGTGCAGCCGACCACCAGGCCTTCCGTCTATCCCTCTGGGATCCCAGGCCACTCGTAAGAAGGGCACGTACGGCAAAAGCCTGGAGGGGAAGAGTCCAGCTCTCCTTTGAATCGTCATATGCTGGCCGTGGGGTTGTGTGCTGTTCAGACAAACAGATTCTGGACCCATTGTCTCGGATTCTTCAGCGGCCGCACGTCCTGCCAGCGACCCGCCCGCGGGACTCGACATGGCAGCCTTGATGCTCTGGCGCTGATCCACCGCTGCGGGCTTCTCAACAAACGACTCGTACGCCGTCGACCCATTGCTGATTGTGCGCGGCCGCCACAAGTGCTTTGCCTTCACCGAATCCGCTGCTACCGTGCGGTGCGACGCCGTCTCGTCCTCGAGGCTCTGCGTGTCCATCACATACTGCTCAGCCAGCGCCAGCGCCAGGCTCATGCGGTCGGCCGGCGGCAAAGGCGGCGTGTCTTTGTCGAACAGCCGCACCAGCCAGTGCCGGAACGAGAACGGCAGGCAGAGGCAGTTGGAGTAGTGGTCGTAGGCGTCCTTGGTCTGCTTCTGCCGGCGACGTCTAGAGAAAATCATGATAATAAATGCTAGAATGAAATAATAAGGTGTGGAAAATAAAGTTAGTGAAGAGGGGGATCGGAAGGGCTGGATATGGTGGTACTGCCAAGGGATATCTGCTGCCAGATTTATATTTAGCCTGCAAGCGACTGGCGGGCGGGTGCTGGAAATTTTTTTAGACAATTTGCCATTGCCCCTTTGGCTATTCCTGGCTCTTTTTTATCCGTGCCTTCTACGGCTGGGTGTTTGGCAAGACGGCCTGGGGGTGGGTTCCCAGTTACTGTCAAGCGCGAATGCTTGGGGTTTTCTTTTTTCTCCTGCTTACTGCGCAAAATGGATCGCGCGGAGCAAGCATGAGGATCTCGTGGAAATAAATATTGACTGGTAGTTACCTTAAACAACGGTTTCTTTTCGTCAGTGGAAATAGGCGGGTGTCGCGAGGAGGGGGAAGAGATGGGAGGATCTGGAATATCGCAGAAAGCGGTCCCACCAGAACAGCTGTCAGAGCTCTGAAGGCGTGGGACCGTTTGCGCACAATTGGGACCGCGTTTTTCGAAAAGCCACTGGGCAACCCAGCCTCCCTCCCCGCCGAACCACGCATTATTTTTCTCTGCACGTCCTTGTCCAGCTGCAAGAATCCAACGACGAAAAAGAAAATACAAATGAAGCGCTGAATAGCACCGTATATGAAGAGCCATTAGCGGCTGCAGGTCATGGTGGCCCGCCAGCTGAACAGGCGGAAGAGAATGTACGATGTTTTTTTTGGGTAGCCAGAATCTAGAAACACACGGAAAGGGAGAGAGGGCGAGGCTGCCGCGATATACAAAAGACGCCCGCCGCCCTTTGTAAAGTAGCTTAGTGAGTTGCGTGCCATCCGCCCAGAGCCAGAAACAGACCCAGCAGCGGCAGCGACAGGAGCGTCATCAGCGAATTGTACTTTCGCCATGTCCTCGCCACCTCCGAGTCCTGCTTCCTGGGCAGCACCACGCCGAGCCACCAGAACGGCAGAACCAGAAACCCGGCGACGAAAAGCATGGCGCCCAGGGGAATCTGCGCATCGGTCCGGATCTCGTACTTTGGCGCCGGGTAGCGCATGCGCGTGGGCACAAAGTGGCGCGCCTCGTTCGCGTCGTCCTCAAACTCCTCCTCGTCCATGATCCGCCGGTCCTCGGGGTCTGCCGACTCGCTCGCCGACGCGTTCTTTTCGCCCGCCGGCTGCCCCGGATAGTACCGGTAGTCGCTGAGCTGGCCCAGGCCGATCTCGCTGTCCTGATGGCTCGCCATGCTCTGGTGCTGCAGGCTGCCTGGCTGCGCCGGGCCCGCCCCGCTGTGCGGCTCCGGCATCGGGTATTTCTCCTGGTCGGTCTTCAGTGTCATGCGCGAGCGGTGCGAGCCCGGTGTGGCCGACCCGGCGGCCTCGGCGTCAATGACGTACTGGCGCGCCATGGCGTGCACCAGGTCGGCGTCTTCTATTTCGCGCTGCTGCTCGAGGCTGGGCTTTTTTCCAAAGTTCATTGCGGCAAGTTCGGTGCTCTGAATTGTTTCGCCGCTGTCCGGGTTGAAGGGCGGGGAGAGGCGCTCGGTCTGTGCGGTGTGGAATGAGGAGGTGGAGAACTGGGATTGCGCAGAGTAAAAGGCCGTGTATTTGGACGTGGTGGTGGTGCTGGTATTGTTTGAGGTGAGGCGAAAAAGTCTGTTGGACTGGAAAGAAGTGCGGTTCGAGGTGTCGGTCTCGCTTTGTTGTGGTTCTTGGTGCTGCTGCTGCTGCTGCTGCTGTTGTTGGGTGGCAACTGCTAAATTGGGATTGACCAGTGGTGGCGAGCGCGATGTTGCGCGGACCGAGCTCGCAGCACTGTGGCGATGAGGGTTGCCGAACATGGCCGATGCGGTATCTCAGATGGGTGGTTTTAAGGGCGTGCCTAGTAGCCTGAGCCAGGACAAGTAGAGCGGAGGAGCGACAAGAAAAGAAAGAAAAAAACCACTCTGGGCCTAAGCAGGTTCAGGGGCAGGGGAGAAAGAGTGGCCCCATCGGGCGGCTCGCAGCACCACCAAAATTATCCCTCCCACCTTCCCCAAAAAAAAAAAAAGAAAAAAGTAACACCTATCGATAGAGTGTGCGCTTTCTGGTTGCAGCAAGCACAGCAGCGCTTTCAGGAGGGGCTGCCCCGCTGCGCGAACCGGCTGTGTGCCTCCGACGGAGGTTGCGTACGGCCGACTGGTCCACCGTGAGATTTGAGGTCCAAGTCACTCGGCTGAAAATAGAAGTGCGCGCTTCCATTGGCCCAGCCGGTTTACAGCAAAAAGGCAAGAGTGCAGTGTATAACGCTTGCCCCGCCTTTTTTTTTTTTTGCTCTCTGCGCCTTTCTTCTGCTCACTATTTCATTTTTTGAATTCCATTCCGTGCGCAAACCCGCCAATTTGAGACCCGTGTTCTTGAGCCGTTCCCTGGTTCCTGATATCATATTTCTTGTCGATAATACATCTTTTCTTGCCTCGCCTCTACGCACGGCCGTCGCCTTCTGCTTTCTCTCTCCCTTTCTCCCTTTCCATATTCCTTGTATTCTAACTTATATATACCCTTGGAACAGCCCTCCGTTTCAAAAAGACAGCAGCCGAGCGTAAGCAGATCTCCTCCCCCACTCTTTGTCGCCTGTGTAGAATAACCCTGTTCTATTCCATCCCAGCCAACGCTATTGAAAAAGAGGTGAGTCTTATCGCTGTTTATTTCCCACCCGCCAAACAGGCCAAAAAGAGGCAGCCATATGATAATCCCTTGCGTTTTGTCGTATTTTGCACTGGAAGAGAGCGGTGCTGTAGAAGAGGTTGCTTCTACGCTAGCCATGCGGTTGTTTGCTGATGGCATTGGCTGCCACTACCATCTGCTACTCCCTAAAGGCTGAAAAATGCTGGGTCATTAAATTTCCGCTGTGGGCCATTGTTCGTGTGCTGTGATGGGCCTGCCCGATGGATGATGGCCCCTCTCTGGCCGTCGTCCTGCTGCTGCGCGCACTGCAGGTGTGCCCTTGTGAGGGATTCATACGACTCGCAGGTTCTCTCGCCCCTTTGTCGTTGCCTCTTTATCCGCTTGTTTTCCCTCCCTTTATTCATGCTCTGATATTTATCGCACATCTTTTATCTCCAGGTGGCAAATACTGACCTTTTTTATCCTTCTCCATTTTTGTATTCTTTGCAAACAGCAGCCCGGAAAAGCTAGAAAAGAAAAATACACACACAAATGTCCAGTCACGGCAGGATCGACGGACCCGATGAGGACGAGCACTACGAGGTGCCTGGGCATCCGAGTAAGGCGCAGAAGCGCACGCCGCAAACAGCCGAGCCGCCCGAGGCGACATCATCCAACTTCCGCACACGAGCCCGCGCGGGGTCAAAGTCGGCCGGCGTTCTGAGCACCGGGCGTGCATCGTTATCGTCGTCGCACATCATGCTGGTAGGCAACAGCACGCCAAACATGAACAGCTCGATATCTCTGCACGAGCAGGTGAGCCGGGCGAAGGAGCAGGCGAAGGAGATTCTGGCGGCGCTGAACGCCGAGAAGCTGCTGGAGCAGGACCTGTCAGTCTACCTGGACGACGTCGAGTCGTCAGTATATCGAGGGCGACTGTGCGGATGACGTTCCCCAAGCTGCGTGCAGCGTGGACGCGCGAGGAGGACCGGTTACTGACGCTGGGGGTTCGCGTGTACGGGCCCAACACCGAGTCGTGGCCGCGGATTGCAATGCTTGTGCCGGGGCGCACGAACAAGAGCTGCCGGAAGCGGTGGTTTCACTCGCTCGACCCGTCGCTGCACAAGGGCCCGTGGACGCCCGAGGAAGACAACTTGCTGCGCGAGCGGGTGTCGCAATTCCCCGCGCAGTGGTCGCGCGTAGCCGAGGGTATCCCGGGGCGCACCGACGACCAGTGCGCGAAGCGCTGGCGCGAGTCGCTGGACCCGGAGATTGATCGCGGCAAGTGGCGGCCAGAGGAGGACCGGCTGCTGCTGGAGAAGTTTGCAGAGTTCGGCACGCAGTGGCAGAAAATCGCTACGTTCTTCCAGGGACGGCCGGGGCTTGCACTGTCGCAACCGTTGGCGCAAAATCCAGCGCATCATCTCGCAGAAGGAGCGCAAGACTGGGCCCTATTCCCTGAGAACGACCTTAATCGCACGCTGGCTGCGGTCACGGAGTCGGTCAATAAGCGCAAGACCGCGCAGAGATCCCGTGGCTCCAATCACCCGTCGAGGAGCACGGGTTCTCCTGCTGTCTCGTCGTCGTCGGCAGCGACGGCAACGGCTGCACAGCTCGAGGCCTCGCAGGATGCATCGATGGAGGATCTGCCAGGAATTGGACCAGAGTCGCAGCAGCAGCAGCAGCAGCAGTTGGGCATTCAGACCGGCATATCTACATCAGTAACAGCGGGCAGTCTGCAGTCGCCTCAGACAGGAACCGCTGAAAGCATTGGTGCCCTGTATATGCCGTCGGAACAGCAGCCGCCGCAGTCTGCTGGCACACCCGCAACCACTCCGCATTTTGAAGGTAAGCTAATTTGTTGTTTGACAACGGCTGCAGTGCTACGAGCGAGTAGCAACGAAAACGGAGGAAGAAAATGGCCCCCGCATATGGTGCTATTGTTCAGGTGCATGCGCGACAACATCGTGTCTGCACGAAAAAAAAAACAGAAGACCTGGAAGAGAGCGGCGGACGGGGAATAAGGACTGGGTTGCCCAAGGGGACGCCCTCCCCTCCCCTTTATTTAGACGTCGATGACGGAAGCACCCTCGCACAAAAACAGGCTATTGTCTTGTTTTAATTTCATTCATACATGGGAGGAGGGACATGGCAGGGCATGCACCATGGGCATACGGCTGTAGTTTCCACAGACTGTGATTGGCTCAACGACATGGGAACAATGTAGGTCCGCTGCGCGCTTCGACGTCGTCGCAATTCGGGCAAGCCAATGCGGTATCAGGCGCAAAGCGCTCGGCCTCGGTGCTGTTTTCGCCCACGGACGAGCAGCGGACAGCGCTTGCGAAAGCTCGGGCTCAAGCTGTACGGGTGCGCGGCAGCCAGTGACTCGTGCCAGGCGTCGTTTGCAGACGCCATGAGCCTGAACTCGCACCTCAAGCTGGCGCACCCGGCCATCGCACGGCTTATTCCGTCGTTGCAGGGCGCCAGCGAGTGCAGCATTTCGGCGCTGATGGGTGGCAGCGGGTCACCGGTAACGGAGGCGCCCAGTCGCGCGCAGCCCAAGCCGTACCGGTGCGCGCGGTCCGGGTGCAACCACCAGTACAAGAACGTCAACGGGCTGGAGTACCACATCTTCCACTCGCGCAAGTCCAACGACCACCTGATGATTCCCGGCAGCGGGAGCGACGGCGGTGGACGGTCGGGCGACGGCGGGTCGAGCAGCGGGACTCCTGACAATGTGGCAGCAGCAGCTGACTACAGCCCCATTGTCGAGTCACTCAGCGCCTGCAGCAGGCGGTGCCGAGACAGTGGCAGCGCAAGTAGCGCGGCTCGATACTGGACCAGGTGGGGTCGCTGACAATGCCCGCGGGCGGGGCAGCGACTGGCGACGCGTCGATGCTGGTGGTGGCTGGCGGGCAACTGCAGTGTTCTGAGGTGGAGTGCCTTGCGAGCTTCGGCAGCGAGCTGGAGCTGCGGCAGCACATAGCAGCGCACCATCCGCGGCCCATCCGGCGCGCAACCAAGCCCTCGAACCGCATCAAGGGGGCGGCAGGCACCAGCCGGGCTACGGCAGCAGTGGACGCGGACAGGTGGGTTCTGGAACCAGTCGATCATGGGGGATGTGTTTGATAGCGCAGGCAACTCAGGCATCAGCCCGATGCCAACCATCCCCGAAGGCGACGTGTCGACGGCCGGCTCCATAGCAGCCATAGACTACAGCGAGAACAGCCAGCGCAACAGCGCATATGAGCCGGTGACACTGCCGCCGCACGCCAAGCCGCATCTTGTGTTCTCGATCCACCCACAGCAGCAGCCGCTCAATGCGTTTGCACCCGTCGGCTCGCCGTCGTTCATGTCAGCGCCAGCGCTGCTTTCGGAGACCGGTGGTGAGCCCGGCAACATCGGATCGTACTTCAACCTCGTTCTGAATAACCAGCAGCAGCCGCATACGCCCTTTTTGGCCACTTCGAGCCAGGCCGGGATGGTAGTTACGCAGCCGGCCGGCAACAGTGCAGGGACACCGGGTGCCAGCACTGCGATGGCGTCGCGGCTGATCCAAGACATGAATGCATCACTTGACATTCAGATGATGCACAGCATGCTGCAGCAGCAACAGCAACAGCAACAGCAGCAGCAGCAGCAGCAGCATCTGTTCAGCCACGGAAACCGCAGCCAGGGGAACCTAGGCAGCACGACACCGGGCGTCAGCCAGGACATAACCATGGAAGCTAGCGAAGACACCGGCACGCAACAGTACCCGCGCAGCCACCGTTCCGACTCCATCGACTTAACGTCATTGGCGACTGTGCCGCCGTCCCACTAGCATGGCCATGAACGGCAGTGCGGAGCCCGGCGCCGCAGCAGCGCAAGCCGCACAGGCAGCGCAGACGTCGTTTGCAGCGGCGACCGCGGCTATGATGAGCAAGCCCACACAGCCGCTCTCGCCATGGCTACAAGATCTCTCCGCGCTCGGGCTCCTGCCGCTTGCTACGCGCGACCCGCCTACCGAGTCTCAGCAGAATCGGCGGATCCCGCAGTTGGCGCTGTCGGCCCATGCTGGCGACCTGCAGTCACGGCGCGACTGGCAGATGCTGCAGCAGTATACGCCGCAGCCCCTGGACATGGGGCAGTTCCAGCCGCGCCCGCAGCTGGCGCAAATCCCCGTCGGCCCGTCCACGGTTGGCGCCGAGTACCGGCGGCGCTTCATGCCGCAATTCCCTCTGGTGACCACAGCCAGCATAGGTTCAGTGGTGCCACCAGGTTGCCGATTCACTGCAAATGAACCGGACCGCCAACAGCATCGTCAATTGCCCAGTGCCGCTGTGCGGCCGTGGGTTCTCTGACGCCAACGCCTTGAAGCACCACATGAGCTTTGACCATCCACACGACCTGCGTAATAGCAACCCAGGCAGTCCAGCCGACAAGCCCGTGCAGGCGGACCTGACGCCGCCGGTGTTTGCGTCGAACCACAGTTCATTTAACGGCAGCGCGATTTCGCAGCCGCAGACGACGCAGGTTCTTTCGGCCAGCACCCAGGACCGCAACAAGGCGCCGCACTGGGTGGATGCCAATGTGTGGAGCTCGTGGATTGCCGCAGCCAACGGCAATGGCGATGCGGCTACATTGGCGCAGGCTACGGCGATGGGCATTACGCCGGGCATTGGCGGCCCGCAGACGTTCCTGCCCCAGCAGCAGCAGCAGCAGCAGTTCAGCCAGCAGCGCAGCGAGAACGAGCTGCTGCAGATGTTCGATTCCGTGACTAGCGGCGGCGACCAGATGACGCTGGACCAGCAGCTGGCCATGATGGAGTCGGTGCTCAACACCAATGGCAAATAAACCCACCACTGTATGTGTAGTATCCTTTCTCTTGTCTGTGGGAGTAATACATTTTTGCAAGACGATTGCACGGGATGTAGTGTGGGGGAATAAGCTTATCGGGAGTTCGGGGGTTAGAAAAAGAAACAACTACTCTGCGTCCATGTTGATTGGGACTAGTCTCGGGGCTTGCACGCGACAGCGACGACATCTTGCGCGGCGGCAATAGCGGCGGCTGCAACTCCTGTGGTGGGCGATGCGGCAGTGGGCGCTCGCTACAGGCCCTGCCAAAATACGTGCTGCTCTGGGCACTACCCATGACCATCTTGATCCACTCGGCCAAACCCGACTGGGCCTGTCCCTGTCTGCGGATCGCGGTCTGCAGCGCATAGCAAGCCTCCACCGTGTGCTGCATTAAATGGTCTACCTCAAGCTCCGAGAACGCGCTGGGCGTGCGCCGGTGGTGGCGGCGTCTGGGCACATGGCCTAGCGAATCCTCCGACATGATCACATTCGCCAACGACATGGCCATCGGGCTCGAATTGAACAGGTCATCGTACAGCGTCCCGGGCCGGGCCTCCACGGCCTCCTGCATGGACTGGCTGCTCATGCGGCTACTGGATGTGCTGATGTCGACTTCCTCGTTGTGGTCGCGCGGCTTGCGGAACAGCTTATTGGGCCGGGCATGGCGGTCCTCGTCGGCCCAGAATTTGAGCAGCGCGTGCTTGGGCTCCAGATCGGGCGTCGACAGGTGCTCGCGGTATCCCTCGAGCTGGTCGAACTGGAAGCTCAAAAGATTCAGCGACCCGTCTGGATTGACCAATGAGTACCGGCTGTGGGTGAACGAGAACGGCCGCGACCCGCTTCCATCCGACATGGCCTGTTCGGCGGGCTCCTGCCACGGGTCCGCAGGGCTCTCCTGCAGATCCGATGCAAGGCTGGCCAGGGCGCTGGAGCTGCTGGCAGAGATCAGGCTGTCCTTTATGTCGCCGACCTGGACCCCGCTGTCGTTGGCGGGCGCCGCAGCCTTGCGGGTCTCCACCAGATGCATCAGATTCTCGAGCTCCTGCCGCCTCCTCCTTGTCGGCCACCTGCTTCAGGTACTGCTGCAGCTTGTCGGCGTTCATCACCACGCTGTGGTACTGCGAGTCAATCAGAACCGGCGACTCGGACGGCTGCTGGGCGGGCTCGAGGGGCGGCTCAAAGGCATTGGTTACGGGTGGCCGCGTTGACATGCGCCGAGTCCGACTCCCCCACGTTCCAGTGACTCGACAGTTGCAGGTGCGCGGGAACGTGTCGAATACCGGCGACCCCGTGATCTGCACATCGAGTCTGCGCAGAGTCTCGGGCACACTACACTGCACGGCGGACGGCGGGCTCTGCGGGGCACTGCCGTCGCCCAGCGGCAAAGTCGTCGACCGGTTGCGCATTGGATACAGCCCGGCAGCGCTCTCCATGGTTTCAGTTGACGTCTGGTGCTCCAACCCGTTGGTCTCGTATGAGCCTTGGGAGCGCAGCGGCGACGTCATCCCGCTGCGCCGCCCGGACCGCGTCGACGCAGCACTGGACCTTCTGGAGACCCGGCCCGATGCCTTGCGGAACAGCGAGTATTTGCGTGCCACCCGCGGGCTCTCGATCCGCTCAGCGCCATATGCTGTGGCGGTCTGCGGGGCGCTCACAGGACTGTGCAGGGGCGTGCCGAACCGGTTCAGACTGTCCGTGCGCTGCTCGTACATTGACCCGCTTGACGCACTATTTACCGCCATGTCGTATTGCGGCTCGCGCCGCACTGCTTCAAAGCTGCCTGCTGCTGTCTTCACTGCCTGCGCGACGCGCTTGAATCCGCCAAACAGGCCCTTTTTGCCCCGCCCAGTGCGCTCGCCCGGGGCCTCGCCGGCCTCTGATATCGCCTGCAGGTGCGGGGGCATATATTCGCCTATTGTCGCCATGCTGCTCTCCCGCGGCGGCGCCCGCCCGGTCTGCGGTGTGTCCATCGAATATGTCCGCCCCGTCAACGGCGTATACGGCATGCCATTAAAGGACGGTGCTGCTGATAATGTGCGCGAGCTGCTGGGCGGCGTCCCTGACACCGATGCCTGCGCTGCCTGCCATGTGCGTTTGCGACGGAAACAGCTGCAACGGCGGCGGCGGCCGAGTTTGCCCAGAAACTGCCCGCCGCCGCATGTCTGCGTTCTGCAGGCTGGTGCGCATTCTAACCCAAACTGAACCTGGAAATGAGCTGCCATGCCAATTTTAACAGTTTTTGCAAAGGAAAGACGCCTGGGTTTGCTTACTCTGTCTCTGTCGCCTTGGGGTTGAGCAGCGCAGCGCGCAGTGCCATATCTGCCCGTCTGGTCGCCAGCCATTATGTTGTAGGTAAGAGGAAAAACAGGGGACTCGCTGTCCAAAAAGTATGCGAAATGAACGAGGGAAAAAAGAGCGTATTAGAAGAATTATAAGAAAAGCCCCCTCACAAGGTGTAACAAGAAGCAAAAAACTGCGCTGAGGGAAAATGCCATTTTCCTACACTTTTCTGCCAGCACGCGCCGCTTGGACAAGTGGGATTTGCTGCCAAGGTGGCGCTAGTAAGTCTCAGGACAATATGGATCAGTTTCCTACCCCCTCTTCTGGAGGATCAGCGAAGCCTGAACAGGGGATCTGTGCTGACACCCTCTTAGGAACCTTTTTTCGGTGCTCGGACGAGCGTCCCATGGCTGTGAATAATGGAACCCAGGACCTATAGATCACGTACAGGCAGCACATCGGAGCTGATCACCTGCATCTACACACCTTTATGGGGACGCGCCAGAAGTAAGCAGAAATGATCAGCCCTACGCTGCTGGGCATTTGTCGTCCCAGATAGCCAGGGTGGCCAGCTGCTTGCAGTGGCTGTGGTCTCCACACCTTGCAAACTCCTGAGTTTTCCTCGGCATTTTGTGAGCTTCCAGTGCATAGGCAGTTCTACTATATCGCTTTCTTTCCCTGCAATGCTTTCTGGCCCGCTAAACAATGCAAATAAAGACATTTGAGACGGAGGTGCAGCAGTAGCTGCTGAGAGGGCATGAAAGCCAGGTCTGCGAGGGCAAATTGGTTTTTTTGGCCGAGCGCTCCTTCACTAGCGGAGCCAAGGCAGGATCGTCGCCCACCACACTGGCCCTCTGACCCCAACAATGTGTGTTGTGGCCCACCCAATGGCTTCTACTTAGATCTTTCTTTGATATCCCCTCTGGAGGGAGAGAAGGCGTGAACAGCAGGTAGGCTATTTTGCTACTCGTGCAGAGATGCAGAGGCGTTCATTTGGAATCTTCAACTGACTGGCTTCTCTATAAAAAGATCGCTGTTTCTATCTGCCGCCGCACAGTTGAGAAGCTTTTCGTATCCTTTTTTCTCAATTTCTTTTTCAGAGAAATTTTTTACTATCACTTTAAGAAAAGCCCAGATCGCGCACAAACAACCGAAAACTACGCAGTAGCTGGACTCCGATTAGATATTGCTTGTATCAGTTCTAGAAGCGAGCCAAAGTTTAATTTTTTTTATAAGGTTGATGAGTATTGTGAAGGCGCAGAGCATCCTGACCACCCATGGAGATTCAAATCGTCGATTCAAGTCCGCCGCTCGCCCGGCGCTCGACCATGCGGCTAGCCAGTGAATTCCGCACGCTCTCGTACCAGCTGACGGAGCCCTCGATTGCTGTGCAGCCAGAGCCGCACCACTGGCGCATGGTCATCCGCGAGCTCCTCAACGAGCTGGTGCCATTGCGGTCGGCGCACCTGCAGCGGCAGTCGGACGAACACCAGCGCGCGATGGCATTGCGCAAAGTGGCCGACCAGCTGCGCTCGCTAAACTACCATCTGGTGTCGGTCAACGACATATACAATCGGTTCAGCACGTCGCCGGTCGTGGGGCTGGAGAAGCAGGCCGGTGGATAGGCGAGTGGCGAAGCAAGGGCGGAATGTGTTTTCGCGCGCATCGCGCAGGATCCCGCAGCGCCTCTTGCGGTGGTTTTTCGGCGGTTTCAACCGGTTCTTGTGGGTGTCGATGATTGTCTTTTGGCTGTGCTGGCGGCCGATCGGTAACCCGCCGCAGGCCGGCAATCTGGCCATGGCCATAGTGATCATTCTGGTCATTATCCTACAGGCGTCGTTCAGCGCATGGCAGGAATGGGTGACCAGACGTGCCATGGATTCGATTGCCGAGATGCTGCCCGCGGAGACGCTGGCATTGCGCGATGGGGAATGGCGGCGGCTGAGCCCGGCTGACTTGGTGCAGGGGGATATAGTGTATTTGCAAATGGGCGATAAGGCGCCAGCGGACATGCGTATAGTGGATGTCTCAATGGACGCCATGTTTGACCGCTCGGCGCTATCAGGCGCACCCGACCCGACCATCGGCACGGTGAACTACACGAACACAAACTACCTGGAGACTCGCAACATGGTGATGCAGGGGGCGAAATGTGACGCAGGGCAACTGTACCGGCGTGGTGGTGGCCACAGGCGATCGCACGGTGATCGGGCGGATTGCCAAGATGATGACACTGAAGAAGCCCGACCGGTCGATTCTGGAGATCGAAGTCCACCGGCTGGTGAACGGCCTGACGACGCTGTCCCTGGTGGTCGGCATCGTGTTCATCATCCTGTGGGCGGTCTGGCTGCGCACGACCTTCCCTGGGTTCATGTCCGTAGCCGACGCATTGGCCAATGGCGTCGGCGTCCTGGTCACCTTTGTGCCGGGCAGTCTGCCCATCTCGTTGACACTGACTTTGACCGCGATTGCCCGGCGCATGCAGCGCCATAATGTGCTGATCAAGAACCTGACCACGGTCGAGACGCTCGGGTCGGTTTCGGTCATTTGCTGCGAGAAAGACCGGCACCCTGACGCAGCGTCCGCGTCAATGTTGTGCATGTAGCTGTGGCCGACCAGGAAATGACCGTCGGGGAGCTGCTCCGATCTGCCCTTCAACGCTGGTCACCCGGCTGTACGAATCCGCAGCACTCTGCAATGCAGCCGAATTCGAGGAATCCTCAGACACTCAGCCATTGCTGGAGCGCCCGGCCATAGGCGATGCCACCGACGCAGCGCTTCTGCGGTTCTCGGCGCACATCCATCCGGAACCACCCACGCACCAGATCCTGTTCCGGATCCCCTTCAACATCCGCAACCGCTGGCAGCTATCCGTCTGCAAGCCGCTGGATGGTTCGCCCTTCGTTCTGGTTCAATGGGGCGCCCGAGGAACTGCTGATGCACTGCACGTCCATCCAGGACTCCCGCGGCGAGATTGTCGAGCTGACCGACAAGCTGCGGAGGCAGATGCAGGAGCGACAGAGAACGTGGGCCGAGCAGGGCGAGCGCGTGTTGATGCTGTGTCGCCGCGACTACGGAGCAGAGAATCCGTTCGCCAGCCATTGAGGATAGCCCGTCGCGCATGTACCAGGCAGCGCAGATGTGCATGAAACAGGGGCTGTGCTGCGTGGGTCTGGTGGGGATGGTGGATCCGCCGCGTCGTGAAATCCCAGGCGTGGTCGATACGTTCCGGGCGGCGGGTGTGCGCGTCTACATGGTGACTGGCGACTATGCGGCGACAGCGGCGGTGGTGGCCCGGCAATGCCGCATCATCACGGGCATGGTAACCGACACCATCGACGATGTAATGCGGCAGGTGGACCAGCCCTCATCCACATCTCACTGCTCATGCAAGTCGTCAATGTGTAGCGAGAAGCGCTGCTCGCACTCGCTGGTGGTGTCGGGGCCGGAGCTGAAGATGCTGCGCAGCGAGCACTGGGACGTGATGGAGACATACGAGGAGATTGTGTTTGCAAGAATCACGCCCGAGCAGAAACTGCAGGTGGTCGAGGAGTTGGCCAGACGCGATCACTATGTGGCGGTGACTGGCGATGACGTCAACGATCTGCCGGCTATGCGCGCGGCTCAGGTGGCTGTGGCCATGGGCAACGGCTCAGAGGTGGCCAAAGGAGGCGGCCGACATGGTCCTGCTGGACAACAACTTCTCGTCGATCGTCGTGGCCATCGAGTGCGGCCGGCTGGTGTTTGTCAATCTGAAAAAGGTCATCATTTACCTCTTGCCGATGACCAACCTCAGCGAGATCGTGCCATCGCTGCTTAATGTCGTTTTGGGCCTGCCCATCCCGCTGTCGACGTTCCTGATGCTGGTAATCAACACGGTGACTGACGTCTGGGCGTCGATTAATCTGATCAACGAGGAGCCCGAGAGCGACCTGCTTCTGCATCCGCCACGCAACCCGAAGCGCGAGGGCCTGGTCAACGTGCGGTTTTTCCTGCAGGCGTACGGGTTCATCGGGCTGTGGCAGACGTTCAGCGGACACTTCATGTTCTTTTTGTGCATATATCTGCGGGCCGGAATTGCGCCCAAGGACGTGTTCCTGGCGTTCAACAAGTGGACCGACGGGTACATGGGCAAGTCGCAGGCGGAGCTCTCGGAGATCGTGCGGGTGGCAGGCAGCGCCCATTTCTTTACCCTGGTGGTGATGCAGTGGGGCAACATGTTTGTTGCGCGCACACGCACCCTGGGGTTCTTTCAGCAGAACCCATTCCGCGGCACCAAGCGCAACCCGCAGCTGCTTATTGCAATCCCAATCTCCATTGCCGTCGCGCTGCTTGTCAATGAGGTCGGCTGGTTCAACCGCATCTTCTTGACCGGCCGCATCCCGGTCGAGTTCTTCTTCCTCCCGATCCCGTTCGCTCTGTTCCTGATTGTGCTCGACGAGACACGCAAGATGATCGTGCGGCGATACCCGACCAGCCTCGTCGCCCGACTGGCGTGGTAAAAACACCTCCATTTTATTCAAGTAGTTGCTGCTAAATAAATCCCTCCAGCTTAGCTAAACTGCCTGCGCAGATTCTCGATGTCTACCCAGATCGGTGCGATGTCAATGGGCACGCCCTTCAGGTTCTCCAGCGCCTGCTTGACCTCAGGCGCCAGCACACCGTACTTTTCCCTGAACGCCACGGCGCGCTCCTTGTCGCCATTGCCCTGGATCATCATGATCTCATGCGTCAGCTCCTCCACCGCCGCGCCGATCTTCTCCATGTCAACCGCAAACTTGCCCGCCGAATACACAAACCCGCCCTTTTCCAGCAAGAAGCTCAGCTGCATGGCCTGGCCGAGCCCATGGGCCTCCGCCAGTCCGAAGCGCACCGACCGGAATGCCGATGCCAGATACGTGGTGTAGAACTCGCGCATCGAAATGTCATCAACGACGCCGCGGTCCACCAGCAGCCGCGCGGCAAACAAGCCCGTGATGTCCGCCTTGGCCTCCTCGAACGCCGAGTGCAGCTCCTGCAGCCGGCTGCGCACTGTCGCCCCGCTGGTGTCGCGGTGCGGGCCGTTCGAGTGCGCGACCTCGTGCATGAGCACGTGGGTGAAGAAGGCTGGGAATGTCACGTAATCCAGATCCGCCTTGCTCAGCACCTCCTGAGCAATCGGCCGCAGCACGCTGGCCACCTTGCCCTCCTGCACGTTCTTGATCATGGTCAGCTTGGAGCCCGCGCGCTCAATCGCCTCCTCGTCGTTGGGCAGATTATACGCCGCCGTCATCGGCACCGCCGTGTCGCCGCCATAGTACACCTGGTTGACCACCACGATTGGCGGCGCCACCAGCTCCTTGTTGCGGTACGAGTCCGGGATCGGCAGGTTCTTCTCGACCAGCTCCAGGCTGCTGGTGAACTTGTCCAGCAGCTGCGTAGCAGCAAAGTCGCGCACATGCACCATTGACTCGAAGAACGCCTTGGACGAGAACAGCTCGTCCTCGTACGTCTCGTAGGGCCCCACAGCGGCCTCCAGCGCGCTGGTGTGGTTGATTTTCAGCCACGACACCTCCGAGTCCAGGTACCTTGTTGCTCAGGAACGCCTTGCCGCGCATGCGCAGGAACTCGCCAAAGCTCTTATCGCTGACCAGCGTGCTTGCCTCCTGCATCAGCCTGGCCGCCGGCGCCAGGAACTCACGGTACTCGTCCGCATATCTACTGAGCACCAGCCCTGCACTTTTTATCTCTTTTCACGACATCGTAGAACCCCTTGGCGCGCGCCTTGTCTTCTTCGCTAAGCGTTCCGAGCCACAGTTCAAACTCCTTCTTATCCATGTCTTCCGGATACACATTGGCCGTGATTGGCTTGGCTGCAGCGCCCGGCACAAACACCTCGTTGTCGAGGCTGCGGTCCCACGGCCCACGGAACAGCTCGAACAGTGTCGCCAGGATCTTTTGCCTCCTCGCTATCTGCTTTGCCTGCTTGCAGCTTCTGCCGCATCGCCGGAGCGCCTGCCCAGATCTGCTTAAAGTACGCAGCGTTGAGCAGGTCCGAGACGATCTGCCAGCTTCACCAGTGCGCGCTTGTCGCCCTCGGTCAGGTGCGAGAGGTCGGCGCGCAGCTCCGTCGGCCTTGTAGTTGGACAGACGCTGCTTGACCGTGAGCCCGCTGGAGGACGCAGTGGAGAGGTTGCTGGTGACCATGAGGACGGACGTGACGAGTGCGAATGTCTTTCGGAGTGGCTGTAGCCCAAGCGCAAGGGGGTTGAAATTCGAAAGTGTGGAAAACATAAGAGACAAAGAGTGGTGGGGGGGTGGGAATTTGGGGGGTGGGAATTTGGGGGGTGGGAATAGGGAGATTTTTATATAATGACAAACAGAAAAATACGATTGTTCTCGGCAGGAGAGAGCAGAATGTGATTATTTGGTTTGCGTCATGAATGCATGACGTGAGAAAAAAATATCCCTCAGAGCTTGAGCTTGAGCCTCCTGCAGCGGGCGCTTCCTGCGGAGCCATGTGCGCACCGGCCCGTAAACAACCACAGTCTGCCACGCATTGGTTGCCACCACATTGCCGATCGAATACACCCACAGCTTCCACTTGAAATCAGAAGGCAAGATGTTGTGCCCATCCACCGCATTGTACTTTTCGATCTCCCACCCTGGCCGCCCATATCCCATCCCGACCAGCTTGTCTGGGTCGCCGCAGTTGAGCCGGAACGTACACGACAGCCTGCTGGGCGGTGCCAGCTGCGCATACGAAATCATGATAATTAGCCCCGCCCACACCGCTATCAAGCTTGGGTTGTGGAACCACGGCTTCCGGTGCACATACCCGTAGTTGACCAGGAATCCGTTGTTGATGAACATGTACATGATCAGGTATGTCATCATGGCCGCCTCGTAGTTGTCACCCAGCAGCCACCATTTCAGCACGTTCGTGTTTGATGCGTCAAACTCGTGGCACCGGAACCACGGCTGCCTGAATAGCCACACCCACGCGCCCACAATAAACACCCAGTTGATGACAACGACACCAATAACTGACGACATGATCTCGGGGCCCAATATCCGTGCCGTAGGGCGGAACGGCGAGAGCCTCTTGGCCGGTGGCAGGAACGTGACCGTGATGGCCATGCTGGTAGCCACCAGGGCATCGATTATCATCCAGATGGGCTGCGACATGCTCAGCGCGAAATAAAAACTCACCAGCTTGGTCATTGTCATCGTGGTGCCATACAGAATCAGTGCGCGATAGTTGCTGAAGCTGCTAGCCAGGCCGGCTCTGCCCTGGAGCAAGAGCTCTACACACGAGTGCACTGACCGGTTGCTAGACGAGAACGGCGATACAATCGATGCCTCGGCATCCGACAGTGCCAGACCAACATGGGCCGCTCGCAATGCCCCGCAGTCGTTGCCACCGTCACCACACATAGCCGTGATACCGTGGGCCATGTGCTGCTGCACGCACCGCACCTTGTCGTTGGGCTTCATGCGCGCAAAAATGCGCGTGTTGAGCAGAATTTCTGCCAGTCCGCCGGTCGATTCCAGGTGCTGGAAGGCAGCGCTGGTCAGGGCTAGCTCTGTGGTCGGATATCCGTCGCTGCCAAGCTCGGTCAATAAAGGTCGAATGTCGGCCACCTCCTCGTCAGTATCGACGTCAGTCCACACCAGCATATGCGTTTTCTTGTCCATGTCGCCAAGCAGGACCTTGCTGTTGGCTGGCACCATGCCGCACTGCCTCGCAATGTACACGCCAGTAAGCGCAGTGTCACCGGTGACCATGACCGTGCGAGTGGACCCGTGCTTGAGCTCAGCAATAGCATCAGATGTGTCGTTCTTGAGCAGGTTCTTGAACACCAGCAGGCCGATCAGATCGCAGTTGCTCTCGATCTTGTCCTGGGTCAGATCCTTGAGCCCTTCCAGAGTCACATCCAGCTGCTTGTGCGCAATCGACAGAACATAGCAGCCCTCGCGCGCCAGCCCAGCACAAGTCCTGTCATAATCCAATGGCACGGAAGCGCTGTTTGAGACCTGCTTGATGCGCTCAAACGAGCCCTTGACAAAGACATGCAGTTTGCCAGTCATCTCATCCATGACAACGACTGACATCGACGCACGGGCATGGACAAACTCGAAGCGGCGGACGACATGCAGCTTGCCCAAGGACGAGCCACCAGCAGGGATGATAGTGTCAAGGTACTTGGGGGCTGGATCGATCGTAGAGTTCGACGCACGGAACTGCTCGATGTCGACAGGGTTGCCGATCAGCTGCCCATTAAGATCGGTAACAGCATGGCAGCTGGCAACGGCTTGCTGGAACAAAACACTGGTGTTAGACAAGGCATTCTCAAATCCCTGGAAGGCATTGCCATCCACGCACTGGCCGCCGTAGAATTCCAGACCCTCCTTGGTCAGAGTGCCGGTCTTGTCGAAGCAGAATATCTGCACTTTGCCGGCCATCATGATGCGCTGCGGGTCGACACAGAATATGCGCTTCTTCTTCAGCCGATATGCCGCCATCGACTGGCCTGCAACCAGACCAGCAGGCAGTAGCGGCGATACAGCCTGCAGCATGCAAAAGTTTCCGTAAAAGAACACCGCTGTCGGCGACCCCTTGTACAGATATATCGCCATGCCCATGCAGAATAGCGCGTAGACGATCAGAATACTGAACACTACCTTGAGCTGCTCGTTGAAAATAAACGACAGCGGCTGCGGGAACAGGATCTTGCGCACTAGCTTACCCTTGTCGGAAGCCGTGCCGGTGCGGTGCACCAGCCCAAGCACGTGTTGGTCGGCCAAAATGTCGCCAGCCGATTTCTCGATCGCCTGCGCCTGGCTGATCACTGTGCCAGCATACAGCTGGTTGTTCTTGTTGGCCTCAATGTTGAACAGCGTGTCATCATTACGCAGCGGGAACTTGCGCACGGGCAGGGGCTCGCCAGTCAGCGATGACTCGTTGACGACAGCATTTCCAGAAATCAGAATGCAGTCGCATGACATGTGCATACCGGTAGTTAGCTGGATGACGTCGCCTGGGACAAGATCGCGTGACGATGCCTGCACCCAGTCGCCGTTGCGACGCACATTCACTTGGTCGTCCTGCTCAGCCATGCGCTTGAGCCGCTCCTCAGACAGCTTGCGCACAACAGTACTGAATGTCATCGCCAGCAGCACAATCCCCAGATCGACAATGCCCGCCTGCCAGTAAAAGTCATAGATGAACAGCAAGAGCGCCAGAAGCTGGTACAATGCAATGAAGCTGGTGACCTCGCGCAGGAATGCAAAGAACCAGTTGGGAACCGACACCTCAATGAAGTTTTGCCCGACCAGTTCCATCCGATACTCGGCCTCTGCCGTCGATAGGCCAGGGCTGTTGGCGACAAGGTCGCTGTTCGTGGCTCCCAGATCAAAAGTGTACGGTGTGTACTCGCCAGTGGTCTGGTCAAGCACAAAGCGAGTGCACTGGTATGTAAAGTACTTGCGGCCATGCGCGGTAATGTGCTGCCGCGATGTATTTACCGACCACGTCCAGCCCAAATGGTGCTTCAGTATGTTGGCTACCCGGCGCACATTGTCGACCAAGAAGCTGCGCTCGTTTTGCAGCATTATCTGCGAGTCAATCTTGCGCTCAACACATACAAATGTGCCCTCCGCTGGTGCTGTCTTGATGCGGAAGAAGTTGCGCAGGCGGTGACGGAACACATTGCAGGTCACAACCATGAACACATACAGGCACCACATCACGATGAATGTCTGGTTGCCGAGCGTGCAGTCCCCCAGCGAAAGAACACAGGCTGCTCCAGGAGCGATCCCCGGTACACTGCCGTAAAAATCTGCTGAAAGCGCCAATAGGTAGCCGAGCCAAACTACGCCCAGCGCCAGCAGTCCCCAGTTCATCGCTGTGCCAAAGACGTTGTTGCGATAGCCGCTCAGACGAATATTGCTGCTGCTGAATTCGCCTCCCTGATGATCGCCAACCGCAACCTTCAGTGCCTTGGTGTCGATGTTGGTCCCCGAATCGCTTGGACTAGCCCTGCTGTCGAGTGCACTAGTTATATTATGCTCGCTGAGTAGCTTTACTGCATACCAGATACCGAGCAATCCGACGTAACCGAGCAGAATCGTGAACACACCTATCCACATGGGTTCGCGGAATGTATACATGAGCTGCGGCTCCTTCGGGCACTGGACCCAGACGCCCCGTACGCCAGACTCGTCGCGTGTGCGCCGCGGCCACTGGTTTCCCCAGATACCAAAGCTGCTTGGGTTGCTGATCTGCGCATCGGCATTGCATGCATCCCGGACCTGGTTCGTCGCGTTCCACAGGTGCAGCTGCGAAATAGTTACATTTTTAAGCAATGGACATGGAATCAGATCCCTTGCCGCTGCCGGCACAGCACTGGGTCTCCAGCTGCAGGTACATGGGTTAGCCATGTTGACGTCGGCAGTGCATGAGTCATGACACAGGCCGTCATGGCATAGCACCTGGTTATCAGGGCATGCCACGGGACGCGGACATTCGGCGAGATCATAAACACAGATTGCGGGACAGGGTCTGTTCTGGTTCAGCTGCGCCGGGCACAGATCACCATTGGCTTGATACTTGTTAACTACAACGTCAAGTAGCTATTAATACATTGTTATACTGAACACACCTGGTCTGCGCATAATGATGCTGGTGCTTTACCTGTATTCCACATGGGCTTGGCTGAGGTGGCCATAGCAATTGCGAGGAATATGAGCATGTAGACATTAATCCCAGCCACTGCTCTGCTTGGCCAGTCGCCATTATTTAGATATCGGTGGAAATACATGCTATTAAGAGTACAAATTAAAATCAATTCGGGGGAAACCTCGAATAAAGAGGATGATGCACAGGCTGAAAGGAGCAAAGTGGCCACCATGCTTCGGTTTTATAGACTACTTCTCTAGCTGCAGCCGCTGACACATTCCCAACGGTACTCACAAAGCACCAGCATCGTTGCAAGGCGCATCACTGTGCGCATTTCCCTGCAACTAGGGTATGCTTCCAGGTAAAAGAAAAAATGACTACTCTCAGCGCCAATGGCGCCACTGCATGTCGTGGAATAGTGGATTAGCATTGCAGTTTCTTTGTCGAAAGACTGCGCGATTTGGGGACGGATTGCCCAGCTTGCTGCAGCCATCGCCATGTCAGGCAGTGATGCTGACATCTCTAAGCAATCTGACTAGTCGAATTATTAGATGGCATCCCGCCTACTCGGTGCCAACCAATGTGACCGCTAGAAATCAGCATACCCCTACCATTTGAGGGCAAGACGAAATACGCTGATACGCTGAGCCATTATTGTGACTTGGTATATAATGGTTCGTCGCAGCAGAAGTAGACCCTAACTTACTTGAGAAGTAAATTGCTATATGCAAGCGGCAAGGATCCTCAACAGTAGGTCTCTCTTGAAGACACCCATTTATATAATAGTATGCGGTTTTACCTGGTGTCTGGCAATTTCTTGTTGTCAGTCATGATATGAGCCAGTCGCATCTCTGTAAGATTTGATGGTCTAAAGGTGTCCATCTGTCTGCAAGAGCGCTTCTGATTGGCTAAATCGATTCACGCTTCTCTGAGCCCCACCACAGGAATGCGTGACTCGTCTTGCAAGCACACAGTACTTTGCTTTCTCACACAGGCCCTCTCTCGCACACACGTTCATTTTTCACGTTATGCTAGCACCAGACGGCTTTGGGCGCTCGAAATGACCACCATCAAGAACCTGTACAAGGGATATTATATGCCTGGGCAGAGTGCGCAATGCAGAGCAGAGTAGGCTACAGGTATCAGCAGTCCTCACCTCAATTTGAGACATGCAGTGTTTGGTTCCGATAGAGGTGTGCTCACATTAAGGCTAGCAGGCTTTTAGTAGGACATGTGGTATATGCCTCATATGCCTTTGGGCCTAGTTCTAATGGTAGCCACGTTCCATTCGTATTTTATGAAAACTGTTGACCAGTGGGCCAACACCCCCATCAGATGCACTTCTGTTCACCTTGGGATTTCATATTGATTCATGTATAATACTAAGAGGGTGTGTTCCGTAGTGCAGAGTAACTGAATGATAACACTGCTTTCGGACGAAGCATATATTATTTTGGCAAATGTGGAGAAAATGGCAGCTGATCCAGTACGCTGGCTGAGGGTACAGCATGGTGAATCTCCATGAAAAAGTAATTTAGGAAATGAAATACACACATGTTGGCAGGAGAAATGTCTTGCCAAAGAACCATGATAAATTCCAGGACTATCCCAGCGAGTAGAGCTCTGCTGAGCACTGGGTAAGGCCTAGTAGAGCCATATAAAATACACACCCGTGAGTCCGATGAAGTTTTTCAAGCAGAACACAATATTTCTTTCGTTTTTAATACTTGATTCAACACCCAAATCCAAATCCGTGTGGTCACCGACCGCAATACACCCTGGCGTTGAGCCCAGGCCACAGCTGTGCATCAGAAACCTGAGTGCAGTGGCGACGACTCACTCAAAACATATAGCAAGGCAGAGCCACTGCAGAACACCAGAGCCTCCTATACTCGACCAACCGAATGATTTTGCAAGCAGGTCATGATGCACTGCAAGAGGGCACATCTCACCTGCTCGATCTCGATCTTACCACACACAGAGCACCCAACTGCTGTCCGCAATAGCGAGCCAAAGCAGAAATGTCAGCACTAGCCACATTCCTGACCTACCTATCACCAAGAGTAGGTTCTTTAAACTTTTGGCCTGGCTCAGCAAAGGATTCGTGTATCGCTTTAATGCCATGCAACAAGCTATCTAGTCTGTTTCTGTATCGGCCGCGAGCAATCCGCACCGATGAACCTGTTTCAGCCTCCATGCCTGACCAGCAATGACTGGCTTGAATCGCGAGTGCGGGACAGCTGGTATAACAGGGTGCAGGAAAATATATTGTGTCACACTGATAAAAGATGCAACTAGTCTGTATATCACATTTCGTGTGACAATACCAACCACGTACGATCTGCCATACACATATACCATCGGCATGTGCAGGCTGACCCGGCTCCGGTGCATTGGCAGTAATGGGTGCGGAGAGGGCGCTGTCGGCCATTGCTACTGCGTCCCCGACGTCAGCTTGGCGTTGGCGCTTCACTGCATTATCGGGCTCTGCGGCTATGTCGGGCTGGCGCTTTCGCGGTGCATGAGCGGCAAATGAGGACATGGCGAATTATAAAAGTACAGGTATGCACCGGTTGGGCTAATGCGAGGACGAGCGAAGAGGAGAGGCACGAGCCAGTGCTGCCCGCAAGAGGAAAGTTGTTTAGGCATAGTGGGATCGCTGCGACTGATGATCAGCATCGCGCTCGATGATTGAGCTGACGTCTATGCCAGCTCGAGAGCCAAGAATGCTGGCCCAAATGCGGTGGCTACTGCTGCCGCCAGCCCACCCCTGCTACTACTGCCACTAGCCTGCCCAGCAGTGGTCTATAAGACCAGAGCAGCCTGCTTGGTGCAGCACCGGATGCAGCCCATCTGTCCAGTATCCCCGCCCTTTTGCTCGTTTTCACATAGAATTGCCCAGCCATGTTTGTGCCCAGGACAACCAGCTCACGATACCGCCGCGCCATCCTCAAATACCTCCCAACACTCGTAATCGGCATCCTGGCAGGGTACATTGCTGGCACACGGAACCTGACTCTGCAGGAAATCAGCCAGATAAAGTACGAGCTGTCGCAGCCGGCACCCCAGCCTGCGTGTGCGCCAGTCGATCTCGCCCACAACACTGCCGAGGAGGCAGAGCAGATCTACGACGACTACGACGCCGATGAGGGCGAGGACCATGCCAGCGAACAAGAAATCCTCGACCAGTACCACCCCCACGGCCAGAAGCCGGTCAAGGCTGCGCTGGTCGCACTGGTGCGCAACACCGACCTGCTCGGCATGCGGCAGACGATCCGGCAGATCGAGGACCGCTTCAACTCGCGCTTCAACTACCCATACATATTCCTCAACGATGTGCCGTTCACAGAGGAGTTCAAGGCAGGCGTCCGCATCCTGACCAGCGCCAACGTGTCGTTTGGCGAGCTCGACAGCGAGAGCTGGGGCATGCCTGAGTGGATCGACCGCGAGCGCTTTGAGGTGGTAAAGAGGACTGCGCGCTACCCGCACGGCGGCAGCGACAGCTACCGCAAGATGTGTCGGTTCCAGAGCGGGTTCATCCACAAGCACCCGCTGCTGGCCGACCTCGAGTTCTACTGGCGCATCGAGCCCGACGTCGAGTTCTTCTGCGACCAGGAGTACGACCCGTTCGTGTACATGAAGGAGAACGGGCTCAAGTACGGCTGGGTTATTGGCATGACCGAGTTCATGGACACGGTGGCGACGCTGTGGAACACGACCATGGGCTTTATCGCCGAGCACCCAGGCATGGTGAGCCCCGCCAACCTGAAGCGCTGGCTGCTGGACGATGCCGGCAACTACAACGGCTGCCACTTCTGGACAAACTTTGAGATCGTCGACCTGTCGTTCTACCGGTCGCCCGAGTACGAGGCGTACTTCCAGCATCTGGATCGCGCGGGCGGGTTCTTCTACGAGCGGTGGGGCGATGCGCCGGTGCATTCGATTGCTGCAGCCCTGTTCCTCAACGCCTCGCAGACGCACTGGTTCGAGGACATCGGATATTTCCACCCGGCGGTGGCAAAGTGTCCGTCGGGCTCAAACATTCGCAGCAAGTGCGTGTGCGATCCGCAGCGCTCCTTTGTCGAGAAGAGCTACTGCATTGTGCGCTACAAGGAGTCGAAGCAGATGGTGCTGGACCCAGAGGCGACCGAGCCTGTTCACACGGGACCTGTGTACATGGCGGTGCCGGTGGTGGGCTAGAATGGACGGCGGCCGTGCTAATTGTTCCACTGACCACAAATAAAAAGACGCTTGGCACTGGGTCCTATTACCACCGCAGGCTGGTTGTCGACGGCATATCATGCGCAGCGGCGGAAGCGGCGCACATTGTCTGTGCGGTGGCTAATTGATGCTGGCGGTTTATGACTGTCGCGCCCAGCGCAATAATGAAGGCACGGCAGCGTTGGGTCGTGCGAGGCAAGCAGACCTTGGTCCAATCCGGCAATCCAGCCATTCCAGAAACCGCGTGCAGCAGATGCAGATACGCATCCGCATTCTATCACACTGGCAGTTCATGCTGGCGCAAGCCTTGGCCAAACAGAGCCCCAGGCAGGCAGGCAGGCAGGCTTGGGAGCCAGACAGCCGCGCAACGAGGTGCAAGAAAAACAGGGATTCCAGCCGACACCAAGCACACAGCCACGAAAAGAAAGCCAGCAGCCCTACCCTCCCCCGTCCCTCCTCCTGCCGCTGTGCATGCTGCAGACTCCAGGGCTGCTGCTCTCTTCTCTCTTTGCCCTTTAACTTTCTCGACTTTTTGACTCATCAGCATGGCTATCGACGCTACCAGGAACCCCGCCATGTCGCTTGCACGCGACCCCCAGCCAAACATGACCAAGATAATTACACCGCTGCCTGCTCCTCTCGATATTGTTGCACCAGCTGTGTAGGACTAGCCGCCTCTTTCAGCAGCACTTCATGGATGGCCATATCTGCAATAGTTGTACTTGTAATTCTTGGTTGACACAGCATGGTGTCCACATTAATATTTATTTCACAGGCCTATATGCATAAGTTATTGGTGAGCGGTATCCGAGCCCTGCTGGAAAATAGACATGGCAGTGTTTTTGCCGCGGGCAATGGCAGGAATCTGCTCAACGCCAAATACCATCATATCGGTGGTATACCGGTATGCAGAGCTGAAGGTCCCCTGCGGCATACTCGAGGTTGTAGTCGACGGTGTGCCTTGCTGCAGCGGCATGCTGCCCATCGGCGATGACTGCGCCGACGGGACATTGGGACCAACATGCATGCCTTGGTTATTCTTTTTGAGTGGCAGATCCACGGATGAGCCGTCGGTCTCGGTGGTAGTTATTGAGGCACGACCTTGGTCCATGCCCAGGCCAGCTAATGAAGCCGACAAGGTCGAAGACATGGAGGTGCCGCGGCTGCTGTGGCCGCTAACAGACTGGGACTGAGGTGTCGCTGCCTGCGAGTCTGTGGCTGGTGGCGATGGCGACAAACAAGGTTCGAATGCGCTGGCCAGGCTCGACGGCGAGTTGTCAATGGACACTTTACCAAGGCACCTCGAATACTCGTCACCGGTGGTGCCACCGAAGCACACAGGTGCTCTCAGCTGCGAGGGGATTGGCTGGCGCTGAAACGAGTGTGTGGCAGGGTTGGTTGGAGAGTCGACGGGGGCTTCGGCCACTTCCTCAACTAGGAGAGACGACGCAGTGTACAAACTTTTCGGGGCTCCCAGATCGAGGCGGCGACGGGCTGTGCTCCCGGTTCTCGAGCGAATCGGCTGACTGCCGTACCGACTTACGCAGGCTGTGCTTGATTCGCGAAACCAGACCATCATCCTCGTCGTCCGCATCCAGGGCCATGGACAAATCGAAAGCCGGCGGCGGCGGCGACCCCATGCGCTTCTCGCGGGGCGCCGATATGCCCAGCGGCGAAAGGCTGTTGACATCCTCGTGTTCGATGCCACGCGCACTCGCTGCTGCTGCAGCTCGCTCATCATGCAACTGCGCAACCTGCGGGTTGATGAGGCGGATGTTTTCGAGCAAGCGGAGCTCATCTGGGAAGCGCACCCTCTTGCGCGTGGACTGCGACGACTTTGGGTGCCGGGGCATGCTGCCGCTCTTTGATGACGGCGGCGTGACGGCAGTGCTGGCAAGCTTTGCCTCATCGACAATGACAGGCAGGGTCGAGCTGCGGCCAGCCTTGAGCAGCGGGCTGCCAATGCTTCCTAGCCAGACTGGAGTCCAGCGAATCCTCACGCGTGTCGGGTGTCTCAGAGTTCGCGAAGAACATGTCGCCACCGCTGACAGCAAACGAAGATGCCACCGATGCAATGTTGTGCAGCCGCGTCGGCTTCGACCGCCTCGAGCGGCCAGCCTTCAGGATGCCGCCGGTCTTGTTTGCCTGGGGCGTCAGGTGCTGCAGATCAATTGGCGGCATTCTTGAGCGGCGTTCCACTGCGCGGGCCCAGAGACCCATTGCGGTTGCTGGCTGCTGGCTGGAAGACCGATTCAGAGCTGGAACTCTCACGGCTCCGGCCGTGTTAGGCGGACGGACCATGCGAGCAGGCGACTTGCTGATAGGATGACGTTGATGATGTCACTGAGGTGATTGAGCAGCGGCGGGCACGTTGTTGTCTCGGAGAAGTTGTGAGCGAAGCCGAATTGTGGCTGGCTCCCTTGATTTCTGGCGATAGCAATGGATCCATGGCAGTGGTCTCGGGCAAGGACACCGAAGCTGGCTTCATGTCGACAGTCCCAGAAGATGGAGACAGCGTCGGCTCGCCCGCGGGCGGGGAAAACGACCTTGACAGCAGGTCCTTGACCAGGTCCATGGAATCCGAGTCCGTTTTCGGCAACCTCTTGATCGAAAAGCGTTGGCGACGGCGGGTTATCACCAGCTGCTGCTTGCATCCCACCAAGAGCACCGGCCAGTGCGTAGTTGATCTCACGAGGGTCCATGCTGATTGAGCGACGGCTGAGAGCCTGCGCTGGGTTCTGCTTCTTCGTCAGCGCGTAGTACCGATTGGCGCTCGGCACACCCTGGCCGTCAGCACCAAATTCCTGATGATGAGCCCTCGTCTAGCTCAGGGGACGTGTATGAATCAGGACTCGTAGCGCGGTTCAATGGGTGCTCAGTGCGGCGTGGGCTCGGGTCATTGGTAGTGTTGCCGCCAGAGCGGGCTTCCTCCAGACGCCGGCGACGCCCCTCCATAACGATGTTGATTTCAGAGCTGACCCGGCGCATCGTGCCTTCCAGACAGCCCCAGGACGCGAGTTCTGCACTGTATTCGCAATCAGCTGCAGCGCATCAAAACGCTGGATGATCGACTTGTAGCGCTCCTCGAGAACCTCCTCCGAGTCAATGTCAAGCTGCTGGCGCGGGGACTTTTTCGACGGGGACGGTGACCCAGCGGCACAGGACCCTTTTAGAGGCGAAGCCAAGGCAGCCGGAGACAGCGGCTCTTGCTCGCCGCCGAGGCCCATCATAGCACGCTTCTGGCGACGGCTCTCCATGCGCGCATCGACCTCCATCTGCTCGCGTTCAATATCTGCTGCTCCATCAAATGCGAACCCGCTATCATCGACCGTATCGGACGCACCAAAGTCAGCGGCAAATGGCGGTGGTGGCAACGGAATCTGTGGTGGTGGCGGCGGCGGCTTTGTGCCAGCGCTCCCTGGCGTTGATGCTGCCAGCGGCGATCCGTTGTCGGCCACATGTTCGGCTGCTTCGCAATGCAGGGCCTCAGAGTACGACTTGTCCAAGAATGTCCACTCGTCGATGCTGTTCTGCTGATCTACTGCTCCAGGAGACCCCTTGTGGCCGCTAGCAATTTTCTTCACGCGCTTGGCGTGCTGAACGAACCTGCCCTCGGTTGTCTTGACCCAGCCGCTGAGACGGCGCAAAACGCCAGCCTTGTCGTCATTGGGCGATACTGAGACGCTGGCTGAGCCTGAGGGCGCACTGGCGTAGGCCAGGGACGAAGACTCCGACGACTGGGTGCTAGGCGTGGATGTCAGAGAGCGGGTGTGGCCAGACGATCTGTTCCCCTTCAGGACTAACGGGAACGGAGCCGGCGGCTGACGGCGAAGCTTGGCAGTCAACGAGAACGACCTCTGGTGCGAGGATTTTTCTGTGCTCTCAGAACTGGCTTCCGCCTGATACTGGGCCTGTCCTTCTGACGACGTAGAAACATTCGACGACGATCCAGCAGCAGCATGCGAAATTGGGGACAGCAGTGCCGGTGGCAATTGCACAGCGGACGGCATCTCACTAGGACGAGCACCAAAAGTAAAGCCGGGAATCGGCATCTGATCGGGCTTCACCTCGGACCGCCTGGGGTTCCTTGGCGAAGCAGCCCACGACCGGATATCACTACGGCGACGACGGATCTGTCCGCTGCTGCTGCAAACTCGAAGCGCTTGATCCATCAACTAGCTCGAGCGCCGCCTGCTCCATGTCCCCTTTCCCATTCTCTGCTGCGCGCAGCTTCTCTTCAAGCACACGGATGCGGTCTGCCTGGACCGCTGCCAGAGGACCGGAATGACTCAGGGGCCACGCCAAAGCGGATAGAAACGCTGCCCGACTGCGTAAGTGTATCCGAGTCCTTCAGGTCCTCGAGCGGGCACATGTTGAAAGTTTGTGATGATGAGCTCTGGCCCCACACATTGCAAGACTCATTTCTGAACCGCGACAGTGCCGACGATTCCGACTCGCAATCGCTGTCAGAAACCTTGGCTAAGCCGACGCTGACAGTGAACGTGCCGTCGATATTCTCGCAGCCATCGATGCGGTTAACCACTACCGACAGGCACTGCGTACCGAGGCGGCTGCGGCTGCGGCGAATCTCCAGCTGCCAGACAACACCGTGTGCTGAGATTGCATCGCTGACTACACGCACATGCCCGCGCTTGCGGCCGAGCTCCATGACATCTGGCACTTCAACGCTGGCGTAGTGCCAGGCGGGCATCACCTCCTCTTCGATCCGGGCTACTTTGGGCAGCGGCTCTTCCCAGTCAATTGGCCGTGCCTGCTCGGATATCGACAGCAGCTCGAGAATTTGCTCGCGCTCAGCAACAGTTTGCGCCGGAGACAGCTCCTCGACCATCATCTGCACCATCTTCAGCGTTTCGTCTAGATCATCGCGCCACGCAGCACACTCGGCAATCCGCTCCTCCAGTGACGACTGCGCGTCGCGGAACGCGGTCTCGACTCGCTCGGTATCGCGCAGCAGCTGCTCATCCATGGCCACCTGGGCCTGCGAGTACGAGTCGGCCAGCTCGCTAACTGCCGAGTCCAGCAGGGCATTTCGATGCCGCGTATCCTTCAGATGATTTACAAGCTTCACTTGCATGAGCTCGATCGCCTCGAATGTATCGTCGTAGGCAGCTGCCAGCTTGGTGATGGCGTGCGAGTGGTGGGCGGTGCCTGTGGGAACATCGATGCTTGTGTCAATGCAGAGTTCGCAAATAGCCAGTTCGCACGACTCGCACCAGTAGTCATTGCGCATGCCTGGGTGTACTGAACACCGGTCACTCTGCATAACTGTGCCGATATTCTCGGCGATCTGCGACGCCCGGGTCGCTGGGCTGTATATTTCAGGGCTCGATGCGCTGGGCGCGGCCTGTGTTGGCGGCGACTGGCTGAGCGCTGGCGGCGAGAACGAGAAAGACGTGGACTCTGGGCCAACCATGGCCGTAGCAACAGTAACTACGGTGGGGTCGGGAACAATGGTGGGCTTTGTAATCGGCTTGAGTGTAGTGCGTTTGCCTGGCTCATTTGCAGCCCGGTCGTCGGTCAGCGTGTAATTTGACGCCGGCGACGCCACCGTCGCCTCCTGCGGCGAGCCAGCCTTTGCCAAGCGCTTCAGCGACACTGCCACCTGCTCTCCATTGAACGTGCCGCTCGAATGCGCGCTGCCAGCGTTGGCCGACGACACCTGTGGGCGAAATCGCTGTTTGCCAGAGTGTTTAAATGGACGCATTTCAGACAAATTGGGGGAAACCGGTGGGGAGAAAAAAGGCAGAGAGAGGACAGAGAGTGGTGGGTGAGTAAGACTAAGGTATACGGGGCCATCAGAGAGAGATTTTTTGTTGTTTTTTCGCCCTCTGCCGCCAGCTGCCGGAGGGCTCAGGCAGATGCGCGAGAGGCTCGCATGCAGCAGCGGATCGACAGTGCTAGGGCTCGCGGGAGCGGCATCTGCGAGTGGTGTGTGCTGGTGGCCATCGCTGCGGCTGTCGGTGTTGGAGCACATCCGACACAGCAGCAGGAACAGCCGAGAGACACGGGGCATGTTTCTGTACAGGAATTACTGAAAATGGTGTGTATAGTAGTGACAATAGGAGGGAAAGTGGGGAGGGAAGGGAGGGGAATGTGGATACGGCTTGGTCAACAAGCACGATGGGGATGCGAAGAGAAGCTGAGCAAAAATGAGGAATGAAGGGCGAAGGACGAGCAGCAGTAGAATACTGGCTGAACCACACCAAGGGAGCTCAAGGCAGCAGCCGTTCTTCCAGGAACTGGCAAAAATAAACAAACGTCCGACAATGCCAGATCAACAGTGGCCTGCGTTCTATAAAGGGGCGCCACTTGCAGGTCGCAGCAGGTGGTGTTTGCTGGTCGCGAAGCTTAGAAAAACAGGTGTTGATGGTTTTAATGGCAAAAATAACGCGGGAAGGTATATGTCGAAATGAATATCAAACAGAAACGTGAGGCGTGAAATGTGAAATGCGAAATGTGGTGTGTGAGAGCGGTGGGGCAGCGAGTGGGTAATCTGCGAACGCACGTCTGCTCTTAACAATCAGTTGGGAATGAGCATGAGCGGCGGCGGGCGTATATGGACTCGCTAAAGGTGTGGAAGGCGGATAGAGAAAGAGACGAGGAGATCGTTATTTGAGTTTTATACATATCAGTCAGAGCGCATTTCATATAGGAGTTGGAGGCTTGCATAAGAAGGCAGAGGGGGAGGGGAGGAGATGGAGCAGCCGGAGACATCACAACAAACAACAAAAGGACGCCATGGAATTCATCTACTTACCCCATTCAAGCGTCCGGCCGGCAGCGGGTTGTTGCAGCTGGGGCAACATGCCTGGCATCGTTTGCTTGACACGGCCACCGACTCGAAGCAGAGCTGGCACGAGACTATCTGCGGTGGCGCGCCCGGGGACCAAGAGGTGCCAGGCACGGTGCCATCGCCGACAAGATTGCGCAGCTCCTGGACTGCCATTGTCGTGTTCCAGCGATCATCCGAGTCGGGCACACTCGGCGTGCTATCCACCGTGCCCTCGCCATCAAGCGTTGGCGACCGGATGCTGGCAAAGCCCTCAGGCTCGAGCACCGGACTCTTGAATGTGAGCTCGTCCGATGCTATTCCCCTGACCGGGCTGTCTGGCCGCGACTGTGCAACAGACGGCGTCAGCGCCCTGGCGATTGACCCAGACGGAATGCGAGGCATGACCTGCAGGGTGCCTGTCCGCCGGCCTGCTGCCTTGCCCAGCACCGACTTGCGGCGGCCAGATGACGATCCAACATCGCTGCCCTGGGCTCCTCGCTGGGTCGACACAGACCGCTTCAGATTCAGCTTCACGACATTGTCATCTGGATTCAGTGTTAGGCCGAGCCCGATAATCGGCTTGGTGCGTGTGCCAATGCCGATCGAGCTGGTGCTGGTCAGCCGGCGGGTATCGACGCCGATTGCCGGCCGACCAACGCCAAGCGCCCTGCGTCCGCCTGCAACCGGCGGCAGCGAGGTCTTTGACGGGATTGTCAGCCCAGACGCGTTTGTATATGGGTCCTTGCTTGCCGAGGTCGGCCTGCCAAACCCGCCCGACACCACAGGCATGCCACCCACCGTCACCACCCTCCGCGGCTGAGCCAGCGCAAACCCCGAGTGATTCATGGCCGGAAAGTACACGTTCTTCGCATCATCGTCATCGGGCAGTGTCGCGTCGTTGTTGGGGAACGTCAATGCCTTTGTGCGCGACATATACACCGGCACCACGATACTGCTTTCGTCAGTGCTCTCGGACGTGCGCGCGTCCTGCTGCATGGTCGTGGCCTGCGCGTATATGGGTGAGGCGGCAGCGACAGGCTTGAGCGGATACAGCGTGGTGAATGCTGTGGCAAATGGCAGGACGCGGGTGCGCGTGCTACTGACGCTGGCGCTGGTGCTGAGGCTGCTCTCCCGCTTGTGTCTGTAGGGGCGCGCCGGCGGTATGCTGGAGCCATGCTTCTGCTGTCCACCGCGCCCAGACAGCCCCGCTAGGCCATTATTAGTGTTCATAGAAGACAGAAAGAGAATACCAAGACGAAACAAATAAGTATGAAACGCTGCAAACACTGGAGAAGAAAGGAGAAGCGGGGATAAGCCGCGCATGAAAATTTTTGTGCATAGGGCGCTGTCAAAAGCGGCTGCACCAGCAGCAAAAGGCAGCTGGCTGTGAGCGCTGCGTACCAGGGATGCCTGGGGCTGCAAAGATTTGCGCGATTACTATCTCGGAAACCTGGCTCACCACCAGATTCCATATTCTCTTCCCCCTTCTTTGTCGCAAACAGCCTCAGCGTTAACAGAATACCCGCACATAGCGTGAATGTAACTGATGATGCATAGGCAGTAGCAGAGAGGAATTGTATCGTTAAATGGAGTCGAAGTGAAGTGCAGAGAGACATAAGTGGTGGGCTTGTCATTACAAAAAGTCGAGAAAGTAGTGGGAAGGATGGTGCGGAAGTAAGCAGGGAGAACGACTGGAGGATGGCGGGTTCTACACGCTGGCAAGCTACGGCTGCCTCGTTTGTGCTTGATAGCAAAGCCCATTCTTGGAGCAAGAACAAGGATATCCCGCATAATATTCGCGATAGCTTGAATGGAAATTCTACAAGCCGAATACATGCATGTCTGCGGTGTGGAGAACAAAACACACCAGCCACACAGAATTCGGAGGAGGAGATGGAGCTGTTTATGTTTGGTAAAGAATAGCACCAGCGGCTCTTGAACCTGCGTGCCGGCTTCGCTTGGGATCCGGCGATGCGAGCCCAGCTCCATGGCGTAGGCACGAGCCAGAGCGGCTTGAGCGAGTCGAGCCTCCCCACACGTGATTTTTCTGGGGTTTAGTAGTTGGACGAATGGGGGCTGATGTCCGAGACCAACAGAAATGATGTAATTTTCTGCAGACTAAAAGGGCGCGCGAAAATAAAAAAAAAATCTGGTACGAACTCTTCTCACCTTGGCTTTGTTTTTTTCGCCCTTTTGCTCAGTCCATTTCCTGTACTATTTTGTTCTATTTCTCAATAATGGAGACGCATAAGCGTAGGACGTCAAAGCTGTCCTTGGAGCCAAACCCCTTTGAGCGCAGCTTCTCCTTGGCGCATGCGGACGAGTCGCAGTCAGGACGGAGCTCGGTTGGCAATGCCAATTCGTCCAAGCCAATAACGCTGCCGCCGGTAACTGCCATAAACAGCCCGCTTGGCCATGAGGGCGTATCGGCAGCATGGGGGCGGGACTCGCTGCGCAGCGGGCCTTTATCTCCAGCAATGCTGGGCGGACCCGCAGCACCGACAAGCCGTGCACGCATAACACCACGGCTGGGCCTAACGGACCCCACCCTGCACACGGGGCTGACGCCGTTCCTGCAGGGCGAGACACACCCGACGGTCAGCAGTATCCTGGGCACCAGCACCATCGATGGATCAAAGCCGTCGCCGGGGTTCCAGGCGCTGCTGAGGGCGGTCAGTGGCAGCGAAATAACAGCGACGCCCGGCGGCACGCTGCATGTGAAGCCATTGCAAAACGTATCGGCCTCAGTCACAGCTACGGTGCTGCAAAGGTCACCCAGACCAATGATAGCGGCGGCAGGGAGGAATCTGCAGAGCGCATCGCAGACGCAGGTGAATGTGACCTCAGCGACATCACCCGCTACATTTAAACATGACGTAATTTCCATCAAACCACCCTCGCCACCTGCAATCTCGCTGTCGACTATACCAGAGCCACAGCCCAGAGCAGCAGCCGGGAATCTGTTGCCACCGCCGCCGGGGCGTGTCCCCGATAGCGGCTAATGTTCCAATGGAACTGAGTAGTAAGAATATTGCAACGGCAAAGCCTGCTGCGTCCAGCAAGCGACGACCCATGGATCCTATACTTCAATCGGCGACTGCACCCGCAGCAGCAGCTGCGCAGAAGACTCATCAGAACCACCAGCAGTAGCAACAGCATCAGCACCAAAGGCGCCACCCAAAACGGCCAAGCGCAGCCGCGGGAAGGGAGCCAAGGCTCCCGTGCCGCCAAAGGGACCGGCGGCGAAAGAGTCGGCAGTGAGGGCGCCAGGATGACAGTGGCGACGGCGCACGGAAAGCATCGCGGAGAAGCGAGAGTGTGGACCCTAAAGGCGGAGAGGACGAGAAGCGCAAACAGTTCCTGGAGCGCAACCGGATAGCGGCGCTAAAGTGCCGGCAGCGCAAGAAGCAGCAGCTAAACGAGCTGCAGCAGCGACACGACTACATGGTCTACGAGAACGAGCGGTTGAAGAACGAGTACCTGCAGCTGCGCGATAAGGCGCTGCACATTAAGACGCTGCTGGAGGCACACCGGGAATGCGCGGTCGCGCAGGCCAACGGCGTGTTTGGGATTGACAGTTTACCACCCGGGACACCCAACATTTCATCGCAGCCGATCGTAGTTTGCGCTCCCCGATGGGGTGCAGAGCGAGAAGCTGAAGGAGATAATCTCGGCTATTCCGCCCACGTCCAACGGCGTGCCCATCAGCGGCGTCGACGCGGTGGCAGGAAAGCCGTTTATGATGCCGGTGCAGCCTGGCCACCAGCAGCAGCAGCACAGCATGCCGCCTCCGCCTGGCGCTATGATGCAGGGAATCCAGGCGCCGCTGGTCACACAACATGGGCCACCGGGCTTCCGCCCACCAATGGGATCGATGCCGCCACAAATGATGCCACCACCGCCACAGCCAACGGCTGCCGCCATGTCCGGGATGGTGGGCCAGGCACCGCCATTGCAGGGCATGGGTCGGCCGATCCCGCAGCCACAGCAGCGGGTACTGCAGTTTACGCACCAGTCCGCAGGCACAGCAGGCTGTGGCAAATGCTCCGCCGCCAGCCCCTCTGCCCTCCTCTTCCACATAGAACGCGCCTCACAATTCCCAAAAATAAAACGTCCAGTTCTTTCGAACACTGGCGGCTTTTGAGTCCTCCAGACACTGTGACGATTGCCATGGCGCATGTGAGGTGAGCTGTGCTCTATATGCATCCAAGGCCAAGTAGCAAACAGGTCGGGTCTAGCTAGCTTCAGCAGAATAAATGATCAGGCATCGCCGCAGCAAATGGCTATATGCATCGCTCTTATGTTGGGCGTGAAAATGCCATCAGCGAGGCTCTCACACATATACGAGCTCCTGGACTCGCAAACATACATGCTCCATGCACAAAGCCAGCAATATTGTGATGGCAGGGATTGCAAGTGCAAGGAATTGATATGGCTGTAGTTTTATCCGTTGTCTGGAGTACGTGTAATGAACATTCTGAAGAGCTAGCTGGTCTTAGCCTTGGCTGCACCCCGGGTGATTGTCGACGGGATGGTTGACACAAACACTGTGGTGATGGCAGCGACAGCGATGGCGCCAATGAGGTAGCATACGGCAGCGCCTGAGAGCCAGTAGACCGAGCACGCAAACATTGGGCCCAGCGCCCGGCCAATCTGGCCCGCAGACCGAAAATCGCCCAGCCGCTTGCCTGTGTCCTTGGGGGCCATGCCCTGGCTACCTGCCAGCGAGACCATCGAGTTCAGGCAGTTGACAACAGTGGCCGAGGCAACAGCAAAGCCAAACGAGCCAGCCCACAGCCACCACGAGGGTGCCGAGTAGCCTGTGGCCTCTGCCTTGAAAGCGCAGATGGCGATGGAAAGCAGGCCGAGTGCGCAGCCAGCCATGCCCTGGGCAACCAGAGCCTTGTCGCGGCTTGCCCGACCTGCTCTTGACTCTGCGCACATAGCCGCCCTGGATCATCCGTCGACACAATGCCGATGAAGCCAGAGCAGCTTGCCCTGCTGGGCATTCGAGAAATCAAACTTGTCGTGGGTCAGGAACGTCAGCGTGTACTCCATGCCCGAGAAAAAGAACAGATAAGCGAAATGCGTCCAGTTGAGCCGCCGCAGCACCTTCGCAACATGCCGATCGCCCGGGCTGCTTGCTGGCAGCTCACTTGTCCCCTCGTCCACCTTGGGCTCCGCCGAATGCTTGAAGTCAAGCGTCTCGGGTAGGTTGGCGTAGAGATAAGCGCTTTCCAGGACAAGCAGGCCCAGGGAGAACACGGCGGCTGTGGCGAATGGCGCATAGGCGAAGGCCGATGACTCGGCTTCCAGTGGCAGGCTGGCGAAATACGCGCCGATGGACGGGCCCAGCGTGAACCCGACAGCAAAGGCAATGCCCACCAGCGCCATGCCATGCGATCTGGTAGCTGTTGGTCGTGACGTCAGCAATGATAGTCGTCGACAGCTGCACATTGCCTTCGCTGAGCCCTGCAATTACCCTGGCGACAAGGAACGACTCGAATCCGGTCGAGAAGATCCATAGCACTGTCCACACAACATTCCCCGCCATGCAGAACATCATTGTCCGACGCCGGCCCAGCCTGTCCGACGCCCTGCCAATGACTGGTGCCACAAGGCACTGCAGGAGCGAGTAGAGCGACCCCAACAGACCGCCCAGCAGAACCAGGTCGGCCCGCGAGCCCTGGAGCAAGAACCGCGAGGCCCGCGGCCCCGCCAGCGACAGGATCTGCTGGCGCAGCGACGACACGTGCTGCAGAATCGAGCCCAGCAGAGTGGTTGCGTCGGCGCCCTCGCGCGATTTGTAAGCCTCCAAGGAGCGCGGCAGTAGCGGCAGGATGATGGTGAACGACAGTATGTCCAGCAGCAGCGCAATGAATACGATCCGCGATATTCTCTTGCCCAGGTTCTGCTGCAGCTGCTGCGCAGTAGCTTGTGCTGGTGGAGCCGACATTGTTGGAATAAAGTAGAAAGGTTGTGTGCAAGAGGAGCAGAGGAGAGAAAAGGCAATTTTTACACAGGCATGGATTTGGCCAGGAGAGGCGGACGAGTGTGGGATGGGCTGATGAGCTGGCGCTTTTTTCTTTGGTGAGCGCCAGGCGATGTGTGGAGGGGTTTAGGAGGCGTGGGGTGAAATGGCGGTTTCGTCTCCACAGTGCCGGCGCACCTAGAAGAGACGAAGCTGCGAGAACTACAGGGTTCACTCCAGCGCTCGCGCCTTGGAAGAAAAGCGACGGACCTGTCTGCGGGCGGCGATTGGATGCATGAGGCCAGCAACAGCAGGGAAAAAATAAATCAGTGAATAGTGCGAGATTTGGAGCACGCCTTCTGCGAACACCAAACGGTTCCTGATTTCCTCTTTGGCCCTCGCGGTTTCTCTCTTCCCGATTTTTTATTCACTACTCTAAACCCTTTTCTTATTCACTCGCGCGCTCTCTTTTTCGGACTTGTACTTTAAGCCCCCCTGTTCTTTCACCTCTCGCTTTCTCAAAGACCGCCTCCCTTTTTTAATACCACTACACTCGCGCATTCATTCACTGCAGCCGGGCTCGAAGTCTCTGCTGCTCTACATCACCCTTCCCCCCGCACACACATTCATTGCTAAGGGTAAGCTACAGCATGCGCGGTATTCGTCTTGCCAGACGACCGGTAAGCTGGATGGACTTCTAAACCTCTCCTCGTTCTCTTGTAGAGTCGCAGCGATAGTCTACGCCACCAGCGCTTTGAGCTGGCTCTAAACGATAATACAGCTTGGTCTCACAAAGACCACAGTTTCTTTGGCAAGGTAAGCGAAAAAGGGACGCGCAAAAAAGGGAACTTGGGGGAGCGGTTTGTTTTGAGGACGCTACATCCGAAACTAATTGACAATACAGCATTGTAGACACTAGCACAATGGGGAGACGTCAACGCGCAAACACGCTCAGCATCGACACCAAGGATGCGTCGCTGGGCCGGCGGATAGGCCGACTGAAGCCCACCAGCATGTCGTTTGACGAGTCCGAGGAGCACGAGCCGCAGACGGCGCCAGCAGCAGCGTCATCTGACCCGCCCATGGCGACTCCGCGGCTCCGGAGCCACACAGTAGTCGACAGCCCGCCGCCGTGGGCTGCTTTCATGAAGCCTGGCACGGCTGTGGGCAACACAACGCCTAATGGCCGACCCCTGTCAGCGATGCTGGTCGATCCGCCAGATTCGCCGAGTGTCATGGGAATGAAGGGGCGGCACCGCCTACAGAAGGACGCGTCGCATGTCGATCGCGACTCGATTTTCATGCGCAACGGGCGCTGGTGCGACTTTGAGCGCAAGAACCTGGCAGCCTACGAGTACCTGTGCCATGTCAGCGAGGCCAAGGAATGGATCGAGGCGTGCATTAGCGAGGAGCTACCGGAGATTGACACGCTCGAGGACTCGCTGCGGAACGGCGTCGGGCTGGCCAAGCTGGCAAGGACGTTCTGCCCCGAGGCGGTGGGCAAGATTTACCAGCAGGACAGCGTCAAGCGGTCATTCAAGTACACCGACAACATCAACTTTTTCTTGCAGGCGATTCGCCAGGTCAAGCTGCCACGGCTGTTCCACTTTGAGTTGACAGACCTGTACGACCGCAAAAACATGCCGCGCGTTATCTACTGTGTCCATGCGCTCAGCCACTTTTTGGTCAAAATGGGCATTGCTCCTGGCATGAAGGATCTGGTGGGCCACCTCGAGTTCTCAGAAGCCCAGCTCCGACAGACACAGGCCGAGCTCGATAATCTGGGGCTCAATGTTCCGTCGTTCCACCGTATCGAGTCAGATATTGGCAACCGCAGACCGAGGTTGTCGCGAGAGCTGCGGAGGGCGTCACTGGAGAAGCAGGGGCTCAACCCAGACGATATCGAAGAGGAGGGAGAAGAAGAAGAAAAAGAAGAAGAAGAAGAAGAAGAAGAAGAAGAAGAAGAAGAAGAAGACCAGGTTGACGACGATGCTACAGAGAAGGCCGAGGATGTTTTGTCTCGCGGAGCCGACTCGCAGCAGGACACGGCATCGGACCATACGCGGTTCGATGGCGACGTGTCGTTCCTGGACGACCCGGACCTGGACCGCATGCAGAAGGCAAAGCTGTACTGGGAGAAGCGCATTGACATTGTGATCCAGTTCCAGCAGTCGGCTCGTTGTCGTCTCGCCGAGCGGCTTTTGGAGGAGAAGCGGCAGGCACGGCGGTACCTGCGTATGTGGGAGTCAGCGACAGTGATGCAGACATATTGCCGCATGGTTCTAGGCAGGCGCGCTCTGGATGGCTACAAGGCGGGGCGCGACGCAGCTATCGAGGCCGAGCGACAGCGAATCGAGTGGGAGGAGGAGAACAGGCGCCTGGCTGAAGAGGCGGAGATTTCCCGCCAGCTCGAAGAGCGTGCTGAGCGCGACCGTGTCAGGGCCGAAAAGGAGCGCCGCGAGCAAGAGGAGAAGCGGCTTGCCGAGGAGAAGGCAGAGAAGGAGCGCATTGCTCGCGAGCAGGAGGCAGCGGTGCTGGAGCGTCGTAAGCGGCTCGAGTCGGAGCGCGCAGAGCTCGAGCGGCGCATCGTCGGAGTGCAGGCGCTGATTCGCGGCCGGCTGGCACGCAAGCTGTACGCTGATATGCGCGGGTGGATTGCTGCTATCACCAGGTTCCAGGCGCTATGCCGTGGCTACATCGTACGCGAGGAGTACGGGTCGCGCCTGTCGTCGTGGAAGACGGTTGAGATGGGTGTGAAGAAGATCCAGGCGCTGTCCCGCGGGTACTTGGTCCGGCAGCGTCTGAAGGAGCGTAGGACGCACCTGAAGCGCAATGTGAACGTCATTGTCAAGCTGCAGAACATGTACCGGGCCAAGCTGGCAGGCAAGGCGTACCGCACGCTGACCGTCGAGGACATGCCGCCGACGCCCAAGGTTGTGCAGAGCTGTGCGTCGATCCTGGAGGACACGGACCAGGACATTGAGGAGGAGCTTGATCTGGAGCGCCATCGCCAGCTGGCAGTTCGGCAGATCCGCGAGAACCAGCAGACGACGCGGATCTTGGAGCAGCTCGATATCAAGATCGCGCTGCTTGTGCGCAACCGCATTTCGCTGGAGGAGGTGGTCCGGCAGACGAGCCGCCATTTCCGATTCCTCGATGAGATGCGCAAGCCGTCGACCATTGCCTCGCCCAGTTTCCGCAACTCGTATTCATCACTGGCGCTCTCGGGCGTGGTGCCGGCCAACTCACTGTACTCGCTCAAGAATCTTGACAAGGAGTCGCGCAAGCGGCTGGACGGGTACCAGCACCTGTTTTATCTGCTGCAGACGCAGCCTACATATCTGGCCCGGCTGCTGTTCCTGCTCAACCAGGGCGGCTCCAAGGTGATGCGGCAGTCACAGGTCACCAGCATAGCTAGCACCAATGGCGGTGGGCTGAATGGCCGCGCGTCCACTGACAGCGGCTATCCGGGGTCGCCCAAGGGCGGCAGCGGTGAGGATATCTCGATATCGAAGCTGATCGAGACCATCGTCCTGACGCTGTTTGGGTTTGCGCAGAATGCGCGTGAGGAGTATCTGCTGCTGAAGCTCTTGTGCTCGGCGATCAAGATCGAGATGGATTCGATCTCCAACATCCAAGAGTTCCTGCGCGGCAACCCCATCTTCATCAAGCTCGCAGTGCACTACAACCGCGGCGCCAAGGAGCGCAAGTACCTGCGCGATCTGCTCCAGCCGCTGATCAAGAAGGTGCTCGATGACCCCGAGATCGACCTGGAGAGCGACCCGCTGGTCATCTACCGCAGTCTGATCCGCGAGGAGGAGTCGCGGACGGGCGAGAAGTCGCGGCGGCAGTACGATGTCACCCGCGAGGTTGCGCTGAACGACTTTGAGACGCGCACGACGTTCATCAAGCACCTGCGGCAGCTGCGCACGCTGGCCGAGGAGTTTGTCGATGCCATCCTCAAGTCGCTGGACGACATGCCCTACGGCATGCGGTATATTGCGCGCGAGCTGCGGCGGGCGCTGACAACCAAGTTCCCTGACGAGCCAGAGCAGCAGGTGATGAAGGTGGTGGGCCATCTGGTGTACTACCGGTACATCAACCCGGCCATCATTGCCCCCGAGATGTTTGACGTCATCGAGACGACGATCACGCCGCTGCAGCGCAAGAACCTGGGCGAGATAGCCAAGATCCTGAACCAGGTCAGCGTGGGCATGAAGTTCAACGAAGACAACATGTTCTTGTCGCCGCTCAACAACCACATTGGGTATCTGTGGGGCCGGTTCCTGACATATGCGTATGAGGTGACTGACGTGGTCGACCCCGAGGTCAAGTTCCAGATCGACGAGTTCACTGACCTGGCGACTCTCCACAAGCCGAGCATTTGCATGACGATCTCCGAGATCCAGACCATGCACCAGGCGCTGGAGACCAATCTTGACTACATAGCGCCGGCGATTCCGGAGCAGGTCAAGCAAAAGTTTGGCTCATACGACGCAGTCATGAGCATCATTGAGCAGCGGCGCAAGGCCGAGGAGGACACGGCCGAGGTCACAGGCGGCGACCCGGAGGACACGGACCTGGTCGATGCGATTCCGCAGGGCACGGTGCTGGTGGAGCGGGCTGGGCCGGACGGCAGCGGCCGGGTGCTAGTGCTGGAGGATCCGCTGCGCGTGGTCCTGCAGGACCTGGGCAAGGCACCGCGGACCCGGTCCGACCCGTATTCGCACTATGAGCTGCAGCTGGAGCTGGCAGATCGGTTTGCCGATGACACGGTGACAATCATGTCGGGCAGCGCGTCTACCTCGGTGCTGGCGGCGTCAGCATCGCAGATCCTCAGCGATGCAGCGCTGAGCGCGAGCCAGGCGGCGTACGGGGCCGGCGGGCTGCTCCAGGGCGCGCAGCCAACAGCCAAGGAGGCGGTGCATGCCAAGGCCGAGCGCGCGGCCAAGCTGCACCGGCTGTTCCTCGAGACAAAGCGCAAGTGGCTGACGATTCTGCGGGTGCAGTCCGGCCCGTCGCTGCTCGAGATCCTGGAGCGGCCGGTGACGGCCGAGGACGAGTCGCGCTGGCGGGCGTCGATTCAGCTGGAGATAGCCAAGATGGAGGAGCGCAAGCAGCGGCACCTGGCGCAGTGGCAGCAGCAGTGGGAGGCGCAGCAGCAGCTGATGGTGCTGCGCGAGTCGCAGGCGGCCTTTATGAGCTCGCAGGTGGGCGGGCGGCCGGGCAGCGGCATGTCGGGCCGCAGCTCGCCCACGCCCTCGGTGAGCTCGCAGAAGCAGCCGCCGCCGCCGCCAGCGCTGGCGGGCGAGAAGGTGGTTCGCGAGCTGGCGTCGCTGACGTTCTCGGAGCTCAAGCGGCAGGTGGCCAAGAGCATGCGGATGCTGGAGACCGAGCGGTGGGTCGAGCGCACGCGCAAGTCCAACATCGGCACCGGCACAGTCTACAGCAAGGACCCGAAGCCGGCGTATGCGGCTGTGTTCCGCGTGCGCAAGAGCGATGGGTACCAGGGCATGCTGAATGCCATTGCACGTGACATCCGCACCAAAGCGCAGCGCCGCGACCGGCGGCGGGTGGAGATGCGGCGGATCCGCACGACGCTGCTGAACCTGAAGGAGAAGAGCGAGTACCTGGAGTCGCAGCGGCGGGCGTACGAGGAGTACCTGGCGTCCTGCACGCGGCGGCTGGCGAAGGATGCGCCGAGCAGCCAGCGCAAGATGCACAGCGTGCTGCCGTTCACGCGGCAGTACTTCCATCTGCGCGACCTGCAGCGGGCGGGCCGTGTTCCGCGGTTTGGCTCGTACAAGTACTCTGCCGAGAAGCTGTACTACAAGGGCGTCATCATCAGCGTCGACGGGTACCCGCCGCGGCAGCTGGACAAGATCAGCCTGACCATCTCGTCGGACGAGGCCGGCGTGTTTGACGTGCAGGTCAGCCTGCTCGGCGTGAAGATGCCCGGCGGCGGATGCGTGCTGCACATGCAGGATCTGCTCCAGCTGCAGTACGATAATGTGCAGACCATGACGCTCTACGAGGGCAGCGTGGTCGTCAACACGTACTTGCTGGTGTATCTTATCAACAAGAAGTTCTATTCGTAGGCGGCAAATCTGTTTCAGATGCCGGACATCGCTTTTTTATATCCTAATCAACTGTTACTTTCCCAAGGCGCTACATGAATGGCTCCTTAATTCGCCGGGAGGGCACATTGGGCATGCAGCATATTTGCCATTATTCGCCGCTCGGACATAAGGCCAAAGAGGGGGATGCTGCACGTCTCTCAGGGTGGCCAACGAGCCCGGGACCTGGCCATTGCACTGCGCCAGCTATGAAGTGGGGCACCCGGACCGCGCCTGGATATTTCGGTACACGCAGATGGGATGCTCCTCAAGATCCAACACTCAGACCCCTTATGATGGGCAATCCGCAAAGGGGGCGCGCGGTTAGACAACCACAGCCGATCTGGCGCGATAACAGGGGAACAATTGGGCCCATTTCCTCATTGGTTTACAGAGTGGAGCGATCAAGGCTGATAATGCAGCCAGGGCAGGACTGCTTGATGCTCGCTGACCCGGGCGCATCGCACGACATGTGTCCAAAATTAAAGCCTGATTTTAGCAAAGTCAGGCGTAGTGGAGGCAGCACTTGCGACATGCACATGGGCCAGGCAGCGCGCGGGATGGGCAGCACATATATCCGGGCGTGCCTGTCGCTGGAAGGGGCAGCCGCGACTCGACGAGGCTTGCCAGGCCGCCCGGGAAAAGCGTCTGAAACGACGGAGGGGGGTTTTTTTTTCGCAAGGGGGTGACGCCCCTTACGACCAGCAATGCCGTGTTTTCATAAAAAGCCACGGCGGCTGGCGTCCACCTCCCCCCGTTGCAATATCAGCTGCCTCGCAGACCACCACCCAGCCTACTGCTCCAGTCTCCCCGCCCCTCTATTCGCAATTCCATCGCAAGGTAAGAAGGCTCCTCCCCAGTCCTGGGAAAAAAGACGAATAACCGGGCGCCGAGCGTTTGAGGCTTAGTGACACATCCAAGGGCAAATCAGTGCTCAGCAACCCGGGCTTGGGCCCAAAGCGGTATATATTTTTAAAAGTCAGCGAACCCCCCCAGGCACCACCCCCTACCCTGGAAAACTGGCCAACGTTCCTCAGTCGGGGCGCTGGGAGGGTATAAAAGCCAGGGGGCGGGGCAGCGGCTTCGTTTTTCTTTTCTGTTCACTAACATTATTCCAATTATAGCAACTATATCTCTAAATATGAGTGCCTACGAGCTTCGCAAGAACGCCCTTGTTTCGGCCGTGTCCGGCCCCAAGCGCGAGATCATGTATCCGCGCCGCGCCGACGGCAAGCCGGTGTATCCGTCGGAGATGTACGGCGAGAGCGTTTTCACCCTGAAGACGATGGCCAAGTCGCTGCCCAAGCCGATCTTCGCCAGCTTCCTGAAGCAGCGCCGCGGCCGGCATAACCTGGACAAGCCGACGGCCGATGCGATTGCGCATGCGGTGCGCATCTGGGCCATGGATCGCGGCGCCACGCACTTCACCCACTGGTTCCAGCCGCAGACAGGCACCACCGCCGAGAAGCACGATGCATTCTTGAGCCTGGTCACCAACTTTACGCCGGGCGGCGAGGAGGTAAGACGCAGCGTGTTACTACCATTCCCTACAGGCCTGCCGCGCTGTGGGATGGGAGAAAAAGCGGGGGAGGAGGCTGTGATGCTCACATTTCGTTCGGCTTTTTATTTCGCATTGTAGACAACTCCCATTGACCTGTTCTCGGGCAGCCAGCTGCTGCAGTCGGAGCCCGATGCGTCGTCGTTCCCGTCGGGCGGCATGCGCACGACATTCGAGGCTCGTGGATACACGATCTGGGATACGTCGTCGTCGATGTTTGTGCAGGATGGCCCCAACGGTACCAGCATTCTGTACATCCCGTCGGTATTCATCTCGTATAACGGTGATGCGCTCGACGAGAAGACCGTGCTGCTGCGCTCCAACGAGGTCCTGTCGCGCGCTGCCTGCGACCTGATCAACCTGCTGGAGCCCGAGGGTAAGTCTATTGCTCACAGTCATCCGTATAGGGAGGGGGCCGCGTATTTGGAGAAAAAAATTTTCCCCTTCATTTTGCGATCGACCAAGCCCATGGTCCCAGGCACCGTGATAACGGGTGAGGACGGGGAAAGATAGGATGATCCGCTGATTGGTATCTGTGATTATTGTAGCCCACGTTAACCACGTCTACACGACGCTGGGAACCGAGCAGGAGTTCTTCCTTGTTGACCGCAACATGTACTCGCTGCGCCCCGATCTCAAGATCACCGGACGCACGCTCGTGGGCCAGCTGCCGCCGCGCCACCAGCAGCTCGAGGACCACTACTTTGGCCGCATCCCGACGCGTGTCATGCGCACGATCAGCGAGCTGGAGCTCGAGTGCCTGCGTCTGGGCGTGCCGATCAAGACACGCCACAACGAGGTGGCACCGGCGCAGTTCGAGGTGGCTCCGATCTTCGAGGAGGCGTCGGTCGCGGTGGACCACAACCTGCTGACCATGGACGTTCTGCACAAGGTCGCGCACCGGCACAACCTGCGCGTGCTGTACCACGAGAAGCCGTACAAGGGCGTCAACGGCTCGGGCAAGCACTGCAACTGGGCCATTGCCACGGACCGCGGCGAGAACCTGCTGGACCCGACGGTCCGCCCCGAGACCAACTACCGGTTCATCATCTTCCTGCTGGCGGTCCTGCGCGGTCTGGAGCAGCACGCGCCGCTGCTGCGCGTGGCCATCTCGTCGTCGTCCAACGAGCACCGTCTGGGCGCCCAGGAGGCTCCCCCCGGCATCATCTCGGCGTTCCTCGGCGACCAGCTGAACGAGGTCCTCGATGCGATCGAGCAGAACCGGCCGATCAAGAACTTTAGCGTTCCGCAGTTCCAGTCGATCAAGGTCGGCGGCACCGTGCTTGACGTCAAGGTGGCCGGACTTCCGCACATCGCCCGCGACCTGACCGACCGCAACCGCACGTCGCCGTTCGCCTTCACCGGCAACAAGTTCGAGTTCCGCGCTGTGGGCTCGAAGCAGTCGCCGTCGTTCCCGGTCACGGTGCTGAACTGCGCTGTCACTGCCGCCATCGGCGAGATCACGCAGGCGCTCAAGGAGCAGACCGGCGACAAGCCGCGTCCGTCGACCGAGGACAAGCTGGCTGTGATCCGCAAGTTCATCAAGCTGACCAAGCCCGTGCGCTTCGAGGGCGACAACTACAGCGAGGAGTGGGTCAAGGAGGCCGAGGCCCGCGGGCTGCCGAACATCAAGTCGGCGCCCGAGGCGTTCACCTACCTGAAGAAGCCCGAGCACGTCGAGATGCTGACCAAGACCACCGGCATCTTCACCGAGAACGAGCTTGACTCGCGCTACTACATTCTCAACGAGCGCTACGCCAAGGACATCCTGATTGAGGCCGAGACCCTGAAGACCATCATTGGCCAGCAGGTGCTGCCCGCTGCCTTCGAGTACCGCAAGACCCTGGCCGAGTCGGCTGCTGCCCTCAAGACCGCCGGGGTCGAGACTGCGCCCGAGGTCGACGCGCTGAACGAGCTGGCGCCGCTGGTGTCTGCCCTGCAGAAGGAGTACAAGAAGCTGTCGGACGTGATTGTCGAGTTCTGCGACGCCCACACCGAGGACGCCAACGTCCACGCCCAGCTGGCCTACAAGAACGTCGTCCCGGTCATCGCCAGCGTGCGCGACGCCTCGGATGCCCTCGAGGTCGTCATTGCCGACAAGTACTGGCCGCTGCCCAAGTACACCGAGCTGCTGCTGACTGTCTAAGCACGCAATTTTCCTTAGTTCTTGTTGGTCATCAATCACACTTTAATTTCAAGCAGTGCTGCTTATCTCAACTCTCTTTTTCTTTCTTGGAACCTTTTGCTATACCGCTGTTTTTTTCTTTCTTTCCTTCCGTCAATAGCCATGTCCGCCCAGAGCCGCCTTCAGGCCATCGTTTGGAACCGCCCCAAGCTCACCATCCTCAACCAGCTCCTGCTGCCGCACAGCAGCGAGTACATTGAGATCCCCGACAGCGCCGCCGGCCACCACGCCATCGTGACTATGCAGACTCGCGGAGCCCCAGCCATCGCCATCGTCGCAGCCCTGGCCCTGGCCGCCGAGGTCAGCGCGCAGACCTTCGGCTCGGACGACGAGGCCCGGCAGTTTATCCACGCAAAGCTGGACTACCTGTCGACATCGCGGCCCACGGCGGTCAACCTGTTTGACGCCATCACCAAGCTGAAGAAGCTAACCAACACGTGCTCCAACGTCGCCGCAGCATACGTGGACGCCGCCGAGCAGATGCTGGCCGACGACATCTCCGACAACAAGGCAATTGGCGCCAACGGCGCGGCTTTCATTGAGCGTCGGCGGCCCGAGACTGTGCCCCGGATCAAGGTGCTGACGCACTGCAACACCGGCGCACTGGCCACCGCCGGCCACGGCACTGCTCTGGGCATCATCCGGTCGCTGTACCAGAAGGACGGGTCGGTTCTTGAGCACGTGTTTTTCCTCCGAGACCCGGCCCTACAACCAGGGCGCGCGGCTCACTGCCTACGAGCTCAAGGAGGAGGGCATTCCGTCGACGCTTGTCTGCGATTCTGCAGTCTCGGCATTGCTGCGCAGCGACCCGTCTATCCGCGCCATTGTTGTTGGTGCTGATCGTGTGGCCGGCCAACGGCGACACGGCAAACAAGATCGGCACGTACCAGCTGGCCATCACCGCAAAGTTCCACGGTGTTGATTTCATCGTCGCTGCCCCCGTCACCAGCATCGACCTGGGCCTAAAGTCGGGCAGGGACATTGTCATTGAGGAGCGCAACATGGACGAGATCACGCAGACCGCTGGCTTCGTGAGCGAGTCGATTGGAGGAGAGCTGGTGAGGCAGACGTTGCAGGTTGCGCCGGTGGGGACCAATGCATGGAACCCGAGCTTTGACGTCACGCCCGCCGAGCTCATTACCGCGGTGGTTACCGAGAAGGGTGTGTTTGAGAAGAGGGGCGCCGAGTTTGATCTGGTCAGCGACATTGCCAAGGCCTGATGAAACCCTCTCCATAAATACCGGTATTTTGCCTGAGTCAATATATTTGTTAGGGTATACATCGCAGCGGTCAGGAGGAGCGAGCTACGCAGCCATTCCGTTCTTTCTTTCTTTCCTTTTTCCTTCTTTCTCGGCATGGCAACAAAACACGAAAGAAACCAGGAGGCGTCCGTGTACATTGGGAACCTGGACGACCGAGTCACAGACGAGCTGGTGTGGGAGCTGATGGTGCAGGCCGGACCCGTCGTAAACGTGCACCTCCCCAAGGACCGTGTCACCCAATCCACACAAGGCTACGGCTTCTGCGAGTTCCAGAGCGAGGAGGACGCCGACTACGCAGTCAAAATTCTCAACATGGTCAAGCTCTACGGCAAGCCCATCCGCGTCAACAAATCCTCTGCCGACCGGCGAACCCAGGACGTCGGCGCCATCCTGTTTATTGGCAACCTGGATCCGGATGTGGACGAGAAGCTCCTGTATGATACCTTTGGCGCATTTGGCCAGATGGTGCAGAATCCGAAGGTCTCGAGAGACCCCGAGTCTGGCAACTCCAAGGGCTTTGCCTTTGTCAGCTATGCCAGCTTCGAGGCTTCGGATAAGGCGATTGAGGCGATGAACGGCCAGTACCTGGCAAACAAGCCGGTCAGCGTGGACTATGCACTGAAGAAGGATGGCAAGGGCGAGAAGCACGGGTCGGCAGCAGAGCGGCTGTTGGCGGCCAAGGCTAAGAAGAGCGACCCGGACGCCCACCAGCAGGCGTATCCCCAGGCGTGGTGAAGGGATCACTGGCGTGATCACGCCGATGCGCAAAACAAAAGCCTGTGGCCAAGAGCATGAGCAGTCCACTGGTGACAAGGTTTTTTTTTTTTCTCATTATTCTCTTTTTCTTTTTAATTTTAATGGACCTCATTCGCATTACCAAAGTCGACCGCGTGCATCTGGTCTGTAATGGCACGCAGTATGTCGGGGCGGTCCACCTGACTACGCACCACATAATTTTCAGCGCCGAGGGACTCGAGCTTTGGGTAAGCGTAGAAAGGTGCACAGCCGACAATGCACAGCGCAGCCCAGTGCACTAATTCACCCCCTCATATGTCTAGGTTGGGTACCCGCTTATCCACTCGGCCATACTGAAGCGGCCACCCAGGACTGCAGCCTCGGAAACCCACGCCGGCAGCCAGTGGGTACGCCAGGGAACAGCCGTTCGGATCAGCGCCATCGCCATGGGAACAGGCGCCGCCATCGATGGCGCATTCAAAGGAGGAGCTGTCGGACTGGGCAATGCAGGGGTCCATTAGTATCCGCTGCCACCACTTTATGTTCCTGACCATACAGTGCGAGAGCGTGCGCCAGCTCTACGACATGTTTGCCACCATCAAGCACCTGTCGTGCGTGTCGGCAGCCAGCAAACTGTATGCGTTCTACTACCAGCCGCACCCAGAGTTCGACCCGCTAGGCTGGGGATGGGGCATGTACAGCCCGCAGCAGGAGTTTGAGCGCATGGGCGTTGGCAAGGAGACCGGCAGGCACTGGCGCTTTACCAACATCAACATGGGATACCAGCTCTGCTCAACGTATCCACCGATGCTCGTGGTGCCGACCAAAATCAGCGACACAACACTGACGTATGCGGCACGGTACCGCAGCAAGGGGCGCTTGCCGGTTCTATGTTACTTGCATCCAAATAAGGCCAGCATGACACGGTCCTCGCAGCCCATGGTCGGCCTAAAGCAGGCGCGGTCGGTACAGGATGAGAAGCTCGTGGAGGCCATCTTGGCGTCATCGGAGCCTGATGGCGTGACGCCGCGGTTCGACTACGAACGGTCCAACATTATCATTGACGCACGGCCCACCACCAACGCCGTGGTGAACCGGGCCGTGGGCGCTGGCTCCGAGAACATGGACCACTACAAGCGCTGTCGCAAAGTCTATCTGGGCATCGACAATATCCACGTCATGCGGGACGCACTGAACAAGCTCGTCGATTCTATCCAAAGCGACGACGGGTCGGACCGCGGTGTGGTGGCTAGGATACAGAGCTCGAAAACAAACTGGCTCAAGCACATCGAGAACATCATGGTTGGTGTCAAAACCATCGTGGAGACTATTGACCAGGGAAAGCACGCCGTGGTGCACTGCTCGGATGGCTGGGACAGAACCGCGCAGCTCACCAGCCTGGCGCAGCTGTGCCTGGATCCGTATTACCGGACCATTCAGGGGTTTGCTGTGCTTGTCGAGAAGGAGTGGGTGTCGTTTGGCCACCAGTTCTCGCTTCGCTGCGGCCACACCGGCCACCCAGGCCGCTTCAAGGTCACCAGGGCCTCCAGCAAGCGGCCCAAGGGCTCCACCGACGACACCGAGTCATCATCATCACCGGCGGCGGATAATAGCGACGTCGAGAGCAATGCAGATAACTCGGGTGCGGATAATGGCGCTGAGGCGGGAGGGTTCGATTTCATGCAGACTTCGTCGATGTTTGGGAGATTTGCGTCGCGTGCCTTCAAAACCGTGCAGTCGCGCGTGTCCTCGGCTATCCAGGCCGCCAACGACAGTTTGGATGACACTGACGACCCCGATCCGTTCTTTGCAGACTACCCCGATCTGCAGCCAAACTATGTGCCGCCGTCCTCAAGCGGGGAGGCAAAGTCTGGCGGCGGGTTCCGGCTTGTACGTTCCAAGCACGACCATGAGACCAGCCCAGTATTCCACCAGTTCCTCGACTGTGTGTTCCAGCTCTGGGTCCAGCACCCGACCATGTTTGAGTTCAACGAGCGGTTCTTGCTGGATCTATTTTACCACCTGTATTCGGCGCAATTCGGCACGTTCCTGGGCAATAACGCGCGCGAGCGGGCCGATGAGGACTTTGCCGGAAAGTCAAAGAGCATCTGGTCGTGGGTCGGCCAGAAGATGAAAGAAAACGAGGACGCGTATCGGAACGATCTGTTCAACGAAGATACAGTCGCGGGCCGCGAGAGGGTCATTCTGCCCGACACAGGGTACATACAGTACTGGTCTGCGCTGTTTTCGTGCCATGACCCAGCGTTGGCTGATAGGGAGGAGACTTTTTCTGACGAGGCCGAAACTGAAGGCGAACAGGCTGCCGAGGTCGAAGAAGCCAAGGAGGAGGCTGGAGGAGAGGGGCAAGCGACAGAGGCTGCTGCAACGAGTGCGCCGCCTGTGGCTGCAGCTCAGGAGGCGACTCCCACCCCAAAGTCCCGGGCCACTGATCCGCTGACTGCTGCGCTCGAGGAGATGACCATGGATGGCACCAATGTTTGGGCTGACTAGCAGGGGCCAGGTCCCACATTACTCTCGATAACTCTGTACTTTTTTTGCTCAGGCCCAATGGTTTTTATAATTTTAGAATATACACACGTCGTTTCTACTCATATCCCTACCCAATGTCTGCCTTTAGTGCCCGCACGTACGCGCTACCCGAATGCCATTCGGTGCCGCGAAGCAAGTATGAACCTGCCCAGAACTTGAAGGGATCGAAAAAGTCTCACCCGGCGCGACAGGTTGCCAACCCGGTGTTTAAAAACGTGCTCGGGTTTGACCATGGGTCGAGCCTCAACACGTTTGTGCGTTTGACCGCAACTATTCTAAGAACTGAGCTCTGGAACGACCGCATGCTGTTCGAGCGCATATTCTACCGTAACTGGAACCAGCACAAAAACTCGGTCTACTTCCGTCGCGTCTACGAGCTCCGTCGCGCCCTCCGCATTCTCGATCGCGTCAACATAAAATCCTTGGTGGACACAACCATGGCAGCGTTTTTTGACGCTGGCACAACCAAGGGCCAGCGCAAGACATCCATGTGGACAGCTCTGCCTTGCCAGCACTATATGACAGCCCTGAGTGGACGGGTCGCCAATGTTGCGCTGCTGGTGGCCAAAATCCGCGAGATCTGCCAGAACGTGTATGTACAGTTTGCAAAACAGACCGCTGCGACGCTGTTTATGCCGCTAGCCATGGTTATGCAGGGACTTGTTGCTCGGATGCACATGGTCCTGGGTGTCTGGCACCAGGATTTGTGTGCACTGTACAGAGAGTTGCTAACATGGCTACCGTGTTTGCCCGCATGCCCAGACAGTCTCAGCGGGAGAACAGAGCCGCTAGCCAAGAAGCTGCCGAGCCTCGAGAGCCTGGTGGTGAAAGAAAAAACGACTGCCAAGGTCCAAGCAGATATGGACAAGTCGGCCAAGGAACCTGTGCAGTCTGCAGCATCAGTCAAGCTGTCAGAAGATTTGGGCGACCTTGTGGTTTCCAAGACGAAAAAGGGCAAGAAGCGCAGCATCATGGATCTTTACGACGACGACGATCTGGGCGGTATTGTAGAATAGCAATTTATCGCTTTTGCGCAAATGAAACGCCTAATGAGTGGAACACTGGCGACCAGAACTCTGGGAACGGTGCCTGCACAGTGACCATCTCCGGTTTGGAGGAGCCCAGATTCGGAATGGCAAGCTTGAACAGATGCAAATGCATCTGCGCTGATTTCACCATGCCCTTGGGCGTGTATTTCGAGTCGCCCAGTACAGGGCATCCAAGCACACCAGAGCAGTGCACGCGGATCTGGTGCTTGCGCCCAGTCAGAATGTCAAACTCGACGATGGACACGGTTGTTCCGTCGTGCTTGCCTGTCTTGAGCACCCGGAACTTTGTGATCGCCTCCTTTGCCCTATCTCTGTTCTCGTCGCTGGCGGGCACCACGTCCACGTTCCTTTCCACCAGCGGGTGATCGATGACGCCCTTGGACATGGCTGGGATCCCTTGCAGAACAGCGACATACATCTTCCTGACCGTCCTGTCCCGAAATGCCTTTGTAAGCTGGACCGCCGCTAGTCGTCCACGTGCCACAGCCAGCGCGCCTGACGTCGGCAGGTCCAGCCGATGCACCAGCTTGTACCCTGACTCCTCGCTACTGTCCACCGCCCCCAGCATAGCGTCAATTGAATCCCCTTTCCCAATTTTGCTGCCTCCCTGACATGCAATCCCGGAGGGCTTTAGAAATACTGCCATTGCCTTGTTCTCAAACAGCACTGGCAGTTTCTGCGGTCTGCTAGTCACGCAATGGGGATCTTTGGCACGCATATTACTGTCAACTGGGATGCGGATGCGCATGCCTGGGAACACGCGGTCAGAGCCAGTCAGACGCTGGATTGTCCCATCGGGGTGCACCTCGGCTACGGTCTTTTTACGCATGAGTTTGTACAGCAGTGGCGAGGGCGCCGATATGTGCTTGAGAAGGAAGCGGTCGGCGCGCATGTCGATAGCGTCAAGGGGAACTGTCAGTATCCGCGACTCTGCACGCCGAATTGCCGATATTTTAAACATAGTCTGGGATGGGACTGCCGCGGCGAAATAGAGATATGGCGTGCATTACCCAATGCGGCTGGCTGGTATTCTGGGATTGGGCACTTTGATAGAGCAGAGCTGAATGATGGGTTGAATATTTCCAACATATATATTTTCAACTAGCGTGCTATGGCATATAGAATGGTTCACCAGCAGACTATGTACACTACAACTCTTTGAAAGCAAGGATGTCGCTCATGGTATAAAAGCAGGCTTTCTTACACAGCTGCTGCAACAATATCGAGAGGAGCAGGCAACGGTGTAATTATCTTGGTCGTGTTTGGCCGGAGATCGCGTGCAAGCGACATGGCGGGGTTCCTGGTAGCGTCGATAGCCATGCTGATGAGTCAAAAAGTCGAGAAAGCTAAAGGGCAAAGAGAGAAGAGAGCAGCAGCTCTGGAGTCTGCAGCATGCACAGCGGCAGGAGGAGGGACGGGGGAGGGTAGGGCTGCTGGCTTTCTTTTCGTGGCTGTGTGCTTGGTGTCGGCTGGAATCCCTGTTTTTCTTGCACCTCGTTGCGCGGCTGTCTGGCTCCCAAGCCTGCCTGCCTGCCTGCCTGGGGCTCTGTTTGGCCAAGGCTTGCGCCAGCATGAACTGCCAGTGCGATAGAATGCGGATGCGTATCTGCATCTGCTGCACGCGGTTTCTGGAATGGCTGGATTGCCGGATTGGACCAAGGTCTGCTTGCCTCGCACGAACCAACGCTGCCGTGCCTTCATTATTGCGCTGGGCGCGACAGTCATAAACCGCCAGCATCAATTAGCCACCGCACAGACAATGTGCGCCGCTTCCGCCGCTGCGCATGATATGCCGTCGACAACCAGCCTGCGGTGGTAATAGGACCCAGTGTCAAGCGTCTTTTTATTTGTGGTCAGTGGAACAATTAGCACGGCCGCCGTCCATTCTAGCCCACCACCGGCACCGCCATGTACACAGGTCCCGTGTGAACAGGCTCGGTCGCCTCTGGGTCCAGCACCATCTGCTTCGACTCCTTGTAGCGCACAATGCAGTAGCTCTTCTCGACAAAGGAGCGCTGCGGATCGCACACGCACTTGCTGCGAATGTTTGAGCCCGACGGACACTTTGCCACCGCCGGGTGGAAATATCCGATGTCCTCGAACCAGTGCGTCTGCGAGGCGTTGAGGAACAGGGCTGCAGCAATCGAATGCACCGGCGCATCGCCCCACCGCTCGTAGAAGAACCCGCCCGCGCGATCCAGATGCTGGAAGTATGCCTCGTACTCGGGCGACCGGTAGAACGACAGGTCGACGATCTCAAAGTTTGTCCAGAAGTGGCAGCCGTTGTAGTTGCCGGCATCGTCCAGCAGCCAGCGCTTCAGGTTGGCGGGGCTCACCATGCCTGGGTGCTCGGCGATAAAGCCCATGGTCGTGTTCCACAGCGTCGCCACCGTGTCCATGAACTCGGTCATGCCAATGACCCAGCCGTACTTGAGCCCGTTCTCCTTCATGTACACGAACGGGTCGTACTCCTGGTCGCAGAAGAACTCGACGTCGGGCTCGATGCGCCAGTAGAACTCGAGGTCGGCCAGCAGCGGGTGCTTGTGGATGAACCCGCTCTGGAACCGACACATCTTGCGGTAGCTGTCGCTGCCGCCGTGCGGGTAGCGCGCAGTCCTCTTTACCACCTCAAAGCGCTCGCGGTCGATCCACTCAGGCATGCCCCAGCTCTCGCTGTCGAGCTCGCCAAACGACACGTTGGCGCTGGTCAGGATGCGGACGCCTGCCTTGAACTCCTCTGTGAACGGCACATCGTTGAGGAATATGTATGGGTAGTTGAAGCGCGAGTTGAAGCGGTCCTCGATCTGCCGGATCGTCTGCCGCATGCCGAGCAGGTCGGTGTTGCGCACCAGTGCGACCAGCGCAGCCTTGACCGGCTTCTGGCCGTGGGGGTGGTACTGGTCGAGGATTTCTTGTTCGCTGGCATGGTCCTCGCCTCATCGGCGTCGTAGTCGTCGTAGATCTGCTCTGCCTCCTCGGCAGTGTTGTGGGCGAGATCGACTGGCGCACACGCAGGCTGGGGCGTCCGGCTGCGACAGCTCGTACTTTATCTGGCTGATTTCCTGCAGAGTCAGGTTCCGTGTGCCGGCAATGTACCCTGCCAGGATGCCGATTACGAGCGTTGGGAGGTATTTGAGGATGGCGCGGCGGTATCGTGAGCTGGTTGTCCTGGGCACAAACATGGCTGGGCAATTCTATGTGAAAACGAGCAAAAGGGCGGGGATACTGGACAGGATGGGCTGCATCCGGTGCTGCACCAAGCAGGCTGCTCTGGTCTTATAGACCACTGCTGGGCAGGCTAGTGGCAGTAGTAGCAGGGGTGGGACTGGCAGCAGCAGTAGCCACCGCATTTGGGCCAGCATTCTTGGCTCTCGAGCTGGCATAGACGTCAGCTCAATCATCGAGCGCGATGCTGATCATCAGTCGCAGCGATCCCACTATGCCTAAACAACTTTCCTCTTGTGGGTAGCACTGGCTCGTGCCTCTCCTCTTCGCTCGTCCTCGCATTAGCCCAACCGGTGCATACCTGTACTTTTATAATTCGCCATGTCCTCATTTGCCGCTCATGCACCGCGAAAGCGCCAGCCCGACATAGCCGCAGAGCCCGATAATGCAGTGAAGCGCCAACGCCAAGCTGACGTCGGGGACGCAGTAGCAATGGCCGACAGCGCCCTCTCCGCACCCATTACTGCCAATGCACCGGAGCCGGGTCAGCCTACACATGCTGAGGACATATACATACGACAGGCGGCACCTGCCTTTGATAGTGTACCAGCCGTTCTGCCAGGTGAACACAGGGGCACGGTCTCGCTGTCGGATTTTGCCGGGCAATATCTGGTGATTGTATTCTACTCTGGCGACTTTAATCTCCGATGAATGCGGCAACTATTGCGCAGTACAGCGAGCACATCGATTCCTTTCGGCAGATGGGGTGCAGTGTGCTTGTGTGCTCGACAGACTCAGGAGTATGCACATGGTGGTTGGCAGAAGCAGGCGCGTATCAATGGCGGCATTGGTCCAATCGCACTACCGATGCTGGCAGGATCGCACCCGTCCAGGTGTCGTTGCAGCTTTGGCGTACTGTGCCCACACAGTGGGCAGGCGCAGAACAGCATATTCATTATCGACCCTTCCCAGAACATCAGAGTTGCCATGGTTGACGAGAACGCGGCCAAGTTCTCTGTGAACGATGTCCTGCAGCTAGTCAGCGCTCTTCACTCATGTCCACGGTAGGCGAGGCGGCTAAATGGGGGCGAGAGCGGATGCTGTGCTGCCGATCCAACATGCCCGGTGGGACCATCTGTCCGGTGAGAGCATCTGACGAGACGAACGGCCTGTTGATTCTTTGCCTTAATCGTTTGAATATAATCAGCACTGCTTTTTTTCCAAGCACCCCGTCTGTAGCGCGCATAGCTCTTTTTTCGTCTCCACTTTGCAATTCAACCAAGCAATGCCCCGTGTCGCTCGCGAACGTACAAAGTATCATACTACCAAGGCCACAGCAGCAGCAGCTCCCCCAGTCAGCGCATCGGCTGCCGGACAGAGCCTCTTCTCAGGCTTGTCTGCAGCCTTGGCGAAGCCAGCGGAGAAGGAGGCTGATATCGTTTCGGCCCCTGTGCCACTCGTTCGCCGGTCCTGTGTCGAGTAACGATATTGATGGCGAGGAGAATGAGGACGGCGCTACTGGGCGCAAGACAAAGAAGGCGAAGCGTGTTGACCGGCATCAGAAATGGATGGAGAAGATGCAGGCGGCGCGCAATGCTGACAGGAAGCACAAGCAAAGGAAGGGACGGTCTACCAACAAGAGCGCACTGATCCGCGGAATGGGCGGGCTGGAGGAATCGCTGCGAGAGATCCAGGCCGACCAGCTGGCTAAGGATCTGTTTGCACCAGCAAAGAAGGCAAAGAAGGCTGCTGCTGCGGGTGGCACCACGGGTCCGCTGCAGCAGGGACCCAAGTCGCTGAAGGCAAAGCATAAGGCGGCGATCAAAGAGGAAAAGCGCTTTGTCCAGATTCTGGGCCATCCGGCGTTTAAGGCCGATCCGCTAGCGACGATTCGGCAGCATCTGGCAAACTCGCTGAATCAACAGCAGCAGCAGTAGAGCCAACAGTAGGTATTTTGTTTCGTTTTTATAGTGAAAAAGGCTACAAAAAAGCTGCTTAATTGCGCTGGTCTTGACTAGGCGGCGGCTTCCAGTGACTCGTCGGCGCTGTCTCGTTCTTCCGTCTCTTGGTGGCACGATCCTCCAGGTCTGATTCCTCAGCAGGATCGTCGATGTCAACTGCATCGCTGGCCGCTTGTTAGAAGGTGAAGCGGCTGCCGAGTTGACGTGGGTCTCGGGCTCTTGGGCAACATCGTTGTCGGTGACATTGAACACGATGTCTAGTTCATCCACAGTCTCCTCATCGAATTCAGCACCGTCGTCGTTAGTTGCTTCAACTGCATCATCATCCTCGTCATAGGCTTCTTCCACCTCATAGTCGGCGTCCGCCTCCTTGTCCTCACCATTGCCGAGGTTGTCGGCCAGAAGATCCGCCGTTGTGCCTTGCTCAGCCTCGGCAGTTGGCGCATCGTCTTCATCATCAGCCGACTCTGGGAACGTGCTCAACAGCCTCCTCTGAGAGGGCAGCCGGCTCGGCTTCATCGACAGATTCGGGCTCGACGGACCCCTCGACGGTGACAGGATCTTCCGAGGGCGGGATGACTGCCTCGATGGATGCCTCGTGCTGGCTAAGTGTGTGCATGATGTGCTCAAGAGTGCTCTGAACGGAGTTGCGGGTATGGATGACAAAGGCAAATGACTCGGGTGACGGGCAGTAGTTACTGGCAGAGGCAGATGTGAAATATGGCGAGCTTGCTAGGCCAGAAGGTAACTGGCTCTCCCTCCACCACGGCAGCATGACACTTATATAGCTGGGCCAGAGTAATTTCGAAGCTCTCTTGGTCGCGCTACACGGGTAACGGCAGAACAATATGGCGATGGTGTTAGTAGCAAATGAAAGCAGAAACGCGTAAACATGAAGGCGGCGGAGGGGAGGTCCCTCTGGCCACCCGCCATTCCGAACAAAACAAACCCGAAACGCACGAGTCCCCACTTACCATATCGATTTTCAGACCCAGCGACGGAAATTCGAGCGCAATTTCAACTTCGTCCTTGAGCAGCGTGTCCGTGTGCAGGTTGTTAATAAGCTGCGCAATCGACATGTGGAACAGAACATGCTGGTACTCTGCGTCATACGATGTCTGCTCTGGTCCCAGGTACACCATCCAGTCGCCTTCGCAAAATACCCATGTTACTGGAACCTGCGCATCTGGCACCCGCCGGGTCGGGTCGGTCTCCAGCGATAAGCGCAAGCTCGGCATCAATAGCCGCTTCGATGTCGGCATCGTCAGTCAGGTCTACCACCTCGTGCAGGACTTGCACTTGAGACCGTGCGGATCTCCTCGATTTCGGCCTCAACATCTGAGTCTTCATAGTTGACAAGCGCATCGTCCTCTGTCTGGTGGTCATAGACGCTGTGGTCAACAGCGTGTGTGCCCTCAACGTCGTGCACGAAATCTGCAGGTGGGAGAGCTGGCGACGTGGCCGACTCGAAGGGATCCGTGACCAGCGAGTCATAATTATCGGTAGCCGCAAGACTATCATCGGTGCCGGCTGTGCGTAACGCAGGAGACCTTATCAACTCGGCGGGAGTTCCAGCAGGCAGATCAGCGCCATTGGTATCTTCGTCAGCGTGGCCCGAAGGCGCTGGGGCTAGTACAGATACCTCAGCAGACTCGGCTGGGTTCACTGCTGGCATGCCATCGTCACCTTGTGTCCACTGAGGCTGTCATGGAGCTTTTCATCATCAGGCAGACTAGAGCTGCCGGCATCCTCAGCAATACTATCGGGCTCAATCAGACTTTCTTCTGTGAAGTCGACAAGCTCCTCTGTGTGTTGGCCAGCACCCTCGGTATCGCTGTGGATGGCGGTGGCAGTTTCTGTGGGCGGATTATCGACCAGCATTTCAAAGTCTGCGTCATCCATATTTGCATAGTCAAACTCGTCACCTGGCAGCGCCGGGGACTCATTATGTTCGGCATGCGCCGCAGCGGGTGTGTCTGAGTCAGCAAAGTCGAAATCCACCAGCCCGAAATCGTCGTCAGCCGCCGGCTCTGCAGTGTCGTAGTGGCTCATTTGCGCGTGGTCAGCTATGTGGGTAATTCGCGGTTTTGTGTCAGTGGCGAGATTCGTTCTGCGGTTGCTTACCTGGGCGTGATACAGCAAATGCGGCAAAGGCGAGGGTAATGAATTGAAGTGTCGGGAGCAGAAAAAAGTAGCAGAATATTTCAAGTGAGCCCTCTGCGTATTTTTCTCTGTTGTGGTGTCTCGGCCGAGTCGAGCCGACTCGCTGCGATTCCAAGCGTCCAGGCAGTCACAGGACGCGATGGGTCCGCCGGATGCGGAAACTTTCCCATGTTTATCTTGTTTCGTGGGAACGAGGCAACCAGACACCAGGCAATGCAGCAGAACCGCGGCGCCAGTTAAATAGAAACGGGATGCCGGCTGTCTTCTTCCTTCCCCTCTCCCACCGACTAGTTCGTTACTTGTGCACTATTTCTCTGTTCTCCCACTCTCAGCAACACCATGATTTTCTCGACGCTGACAAAGAACCAGCCGCTTATTTCGGGGCTGCGCAGGTTGCACACGACGTCACCGGCTAGGTACTTTGGTCCGTGCAAGACGACAGAGAAGACGTTCGACAAAATCCTGATTGCGAACCGAGGCGAGATTGCGTGCCGCGTCATCCGCACCGCCAAGCGCATGGGCATCAAGACGGTCGCCATTTACTCGGACGCCGACGCCTAGCTCGCTGTTTGTCAGAGAGGCTGACGAGGCGTACCGTGTTGGTCCTGCACCTACCAACCAGTCGTACTTGAATGTCGATGCCATCATGGCTGCGATCAAGGAGAGCGGCGCCCAGGCAGTGCATCCGGGGTACGGATTCCTGTCCAGAGAACGCCTCGTTCGTGAAGCAGCTCGATGAGGCTGGTGTGAAGTTTATTGGCCCTGGCGAGTACGCCATGGGCGCCATGGGCTGACAAGATCCAGTCGAAGATCATTGCAAAGAAGGCCGGAGTCAACACAATCCCAGGCTATGACGGCGTCGTACGCGATGCACAGCATGCAGTCGAGATCGCCGAGGATATCGGCTACCCAGTCATGCTCAAGGCGTCTGCTGGTGGAGGTGGCAAGGGAATGCGCATTGCCCATACAAAGGAGGAGGTGCTGGAGGGCTTCAAGCTTGCTTCCGACGAGGCACTCAGCAGCTTCGGCGACAACCGGATTCTGCTGGAGAAATACGTCGAGGAGCCGCGCCATATCGAAATTCAGATTATCGCTGACAACAAGGGCAACGTGCTGTGGCTGCCCGAGCGCGAGTGCTCGATCCAGCGCCGTAACCAAAAGGTCATTGAGGAGGCACCGTCGACGCACCTGGACCCCGAGACTCGCCGCGCCATGGGCGAACAGGCTGTGGCCCTGGCGCGCAACGTCGGCTACAACAGTGCTGGCACTGTTGAGTTCCTGGTTGACAAGCACCGCAACTTCTACTTCCTTGAGATGAACACCCGCCTGCAGGTAGAGCACCCTATCACCGAGTACATCACTGGATTCGACTTGGTGGAGGAGATGATCCGCTCGGCTGCGGGCTTGCCGCTGACCTACTACTGACCAAGGCAATGTCAAGATCAACGGGTGGGCTATTGAGTCTCGTGTATACGCTGAGGACCCCGAGAAGTACCTGCCCAGTATCGGCACGCTGTCCAAGTACCAGGAGCCAACAAGCTGGAAGGTTGAGAACAATGTGCGGTGCGACAGCGGTATCACTGAGGGTTCAGAGATCTCCATGTTCTATGACCCGATGATTTGCAAGTTGTCGACCTATGGTGCTACCCGCGACGAGGCGATTTCAACCATGAACCATGCGCTGGACAGGTACCTGATCAAGGGCGTGACGCACAACATCCCGCTGCTGCGTGACGTCATCTCCAACGCTGACTTTGGCAAAGGCAAGATTACCACTGCGTTCCTGGCCGAGCACTATCCCAGCGGCTTCAAGGGCCACCGTCTTGACGCCGACCACCACTGTTGAAGCTTGCTGCCTCATCAGCTGCCCTTGAGCTCATTCGTCCAAATCAGAGAGCAGTCGGCCAAGGCGCTCCAGCAAAATGTTGTTCCTGCGCCGGCCACATCGTCCGAGCTTGTGCTGCTCATTCCGCAATTCCAGGAGGATGGGTCAGTTGAAAAGCTCGAGGTCACCGTTAGCCTGAAGCTGACGTCCAAGACCGTTGACCTGCAGGGAACCAACGAGTTTACCGCGATCACCACGCTCCCTGATGGCTCGCAGCACGAAGTCTCATCTTTCTGTCACTTGGGATGTCGACGAGCCCTTCGTTGAGGTAGTTAAGCGCGACAGCGAGACAACCAACATCACGCTCCAGTACCTTGATCCACTGCCTCTTGGATTCCGCGTCCAGTATCTCGGTACCAAGTTTGACATTGACATCCTGAGCCCGCGCCAACGCGAGCTGATGAAGTTTATGAAGGAGAAGGAAAAGCTCGATACCTCGAAGCTGGTCCTTTCGCCGATGCCTGGTACCATTGTGTCTGTTGCTGTCAGTGCAGGTGACGTCGTGGCCGAGGGTGCCGAGGTCGCCGTGGTCGAGGCGATGAAGATGCAAAATGTATTGCGTGCCCCGCGTGCTGGCACGATCAAGGCAGTGCATGTCAAGCCCGGATCGACAGTCAGCGGTGAAGATATTCTCATCGAACTCGAGGATGAGAAATAGCTGTTCTTTGGATGTTGGTGATATTATCAAAGCAATACAAAAATCCAATGTTTTCCCTCTGTTCTTACATGTTGCGCATGTAGGATGCAAAGAACAGGCGCGTGAATGATACACAGACGGCAGCTGTGTAATATTAGCATGTTTTATCGTATTATTCACTCAAAGCCTGAGGTGCTCTATCAATTGGGTCGGCACTCCAAAGATAAAACGTAATAATTGAGATATAACGACAAATAAGAATATTACCACAGGACCTAGGTCTTCTCTGTTTACAATGCATATGAACATACATTTTAGGCACTGCCCGTCAACCAGCGTCAGAGTGCTTCCTGTTATCATTTGGAGCTTGTTTATATTACAATTATTTTATCTCTATTCCTTGCTACAAATGAGGGGGTTTAAAGACAATATTTCATTGTAATGAGTTGAAATATATTTCACCCATGAAGTATAACTACCAAAGTAGCACTACAGCTACTCTGTTGGTTTCGCTCCAATGAAAACAACACCCAAGGTCAATATTGACGTGTTTGTATTGAGTAAAAGAATAAACCTGTGGAAACAATCTGTATCTCTGTTGCATACGGCCTTTTATCTGCGCGTTCTGGGGGGTGGGCTTCATTCCTTCATGGTTGGTCACACGTGCCCGTACACTACACATCAATAGCTTTAATGCTATAGGGTTGACCAGCAGGTATAGATATTATACAAAACACAAGCAGCAGGTCTAATAGCATGTGAAAGGGTAGCACGACTGTCGCTGCGTCTGGCCAAAGTAATTGCTATCATGTATGATACTTTATTTGCCTTTTATTACCGAGAAAATTCCTCAAAAGACACTAAATTGTCTTTTCAAAAGTCCTTCGTTATGGTGTTTGACTGTCCTACCACTGTTCTCTGCCTAACCCTGACCCGGAGAAGCAAGGGACTGCTTGGTATTGGAGCTACAAATCTGTTTTGCTCACTAGACAAACTGCCTAGGTCAGACAATCACCTGCTTCCCTGAGGGCTTAGGGGATACAAACCATGCGCACTATTCAGGCGGTATACCATGGAGGTCAATCGATAGAGTGATAATGCGTCCCCAAGCCACTCGAAGTATTGTGTTTCTGAGTAAGTGGCAGGCGTGCCTCCTAGACTATCAATGCACGCAATAAGTGCTTAGCTGGTAATTTTAGGGTGTATATCTATACTGGGCACTATGGGCTAAAAAATTTGCTCGTGAGAAAAGGTGGTGCGCTGTCAGCTTGTCTTGATTTTTGTGGCGTAGCGTTCACTCATTGTCATTTGATATGCGTTTTCCTTTATCGTCTAAATGGCCGAAGCTTGCAATCAAACTTGTATGTTTTGCATGCATATGAATTCAAGTTGCAACAGGCAATTTGCTAAGTGTGTTGGGTAAATCCCAATTTTCTTGTGCTTGACCGTCTCCAACGCCTATCCGTGCTACACTTCCACATCCCAAGAACCACATATGCTAGCATATCCAGTTTAAAGCAGTTGAATCATGTGCTATGTGACTTTATCATATTTGAAAAAAGCCAACCACCCAAAAACTCAGCCGCCAGCTGGAGCAAATGCGTGACATGTAGCACAAATGCACTCAACAATGAGCCAAGTACTCGCTCACACGCCCCTTTATAGCCGCTGTCGAATCTGTAAGCATCATGTCAATAGCTGGGGTGTAGGGGCACTATCCTAATGGACAACACATCTGAGCCTCTCTGAATTGTGCTTGCACTATTTCTTGCACATGGGCTTGGGAACAAGGTGTCTGTTTCTCACAAAGCTCCCTGGGTGTGTACGTTTGGTACCAGAGGCGCTTGAATGGATTCACATGCCAAACATGAATACAATGTCAAAGCTGTCTTGACCTGTCGGGTACAGTGAGGTCAGTTACAGGCAGGCACAGCAAAGTAATCCATTGCTGGAGTAGAGACGCACCAAATTTCCACAAATACTCGCCAACCAGCCTAAAAACTCGAGTTCACCCTACCGAGAATTTCTCAACCACTCCATTCAACCAAGCTCTATATCGGTTTTGACTAGCTAGTACTCAATACTTCCCTCACCCAATGGTTCACTACCAAGTTACTATCCATGGGGTTGCTATCAGTATCCCAGACAAGGACTCTGCTCATGCAGAAGCTCTTGTCGCCCGTTTTCCGTACGAGGATTCGTCATTTGAAATCGAGACTGTTGCACGCTTTGTAAACTTTGCTGCAACCGAGGACACCGATGTCGCTGTCGCTGCCTTCCAGTACCTTCACCAAAAGTACTGCTCGATTGACAACATACATGTCGTTGTCCAGCAGCTCAAGCTCACGACCGAGCAAGCTCAGTCTGTCATCAAAGGATACTACTCGGTCTGGGATGTGCTTGAATCCCGTGAGATGCTGCCCGATGTCCCCCGCCCCGCGCTCTTTACCGACGACGGGGTGAAGCCAACCGCTATGTTTGGCGGCTACGGCGGCATGGACAACTATCTGGACGAGGCTGTCTGGCTTCTTGACGTCTATCACCCACTTCTTGCCGACTTTGTCGCTGAGATGGCTGAATTCTTGCTGGTCACAACGCAGGATTCGCCTTTCACACGTGTTTATAATCAGCCGATAGACCTCATGGGCTGGCTTCTTCACCCCGAGTCGCGTCCGAATATGGATCTTCTCGCTGCTATCTATATTGCGTCGCCAATCCTAGCTCTAATCCAACTGATGCACTTGATGGTCTTGTACAAGACACTCAGGATTACCCCGGGCGAACTTTCTCAGTCATTCAGAAGTAGGTATCGGCAGAATTATGTGCCACATTGATATCATTCTCTGAAGCAGCTATGTACTAACTAGCCACTCCATATCGTAGGTGTCATATCTCATAGCCAAGGCATTGCTATTGCGACAATGATTCCGACGGTGACTGATGAAAAGTCCTTTTACGCAAAGTCGAAGAAGGTGCTGGGCACGCTTATCGCTGGATCCTATGCGATTCAAGTTGCTGTCCCCTCGAGTCAGTGGATACTGATACTGCTGCCAATGTTGTTCCGTCTGACGGCAAACCATCACCCATGGTGTCCATCCGTGGTGTTCCTCTTCCGGCGCTTAAGAAGCTGATTGCTCAGTTCAATTCCTGCTACCTTTCGCCCACCGATCACGTCTACCTGGCGCTCATCAACACCTTTGACCTATTTGTTGTCACTGGGTCGTCTGAAGGTTGTCGTGCAATTTGTACCAGTTCCTCCGCC